GGAATACGACCAAAACAAACACGACGAAGCAGCTTCAGACCCAACGTCTTCTAGTAGCAGCAGTAAGGAAATGGACGCAGCCTCAGAAGAAGAACTCATCCCAGACAGCGCAATGGCAAGTGAGCTTCTTTCAGCTAGAGGACCAGCACCTCTTAGGAAAATGGAATTTGACGATGTAGGAACAGGTTCCAAGATTCCGAAGATTGATTCTCCGAAGAAGAAGTACCCTCCGTTCAACGTAGGAAGAGTATTTGAGCACAATGATGAAGAACTACCTGAAGCAGAACCAGGTACAGAGGACATTTTCTGGGAAGATTCATATTCGGACATTGGTGATTCCGATGAGGAACAAGACATCTTCAAGAGCGAAGATTCTGGACCTCCAGAAGTTGCAGAAGCCCAGTTGCAGGAACTGGATCGTGAGGCAATGCTCACAGAGATCAACAGACTCACCGAGATGAAGGCACTGGCAAGGAAACCCTTGCAAGAACTCGAGAGAGAAGAGGAGAGAGAGACAGAAGAAGAAGAGAGCAACCAAGGAACAAAGTGGTTGACGACGAAATTCGTCTTCGATTGGCGATTCAGGAACGGCCGATGGATGCGGAGAGCTAGGTTAGTAGCGAGAGAGTTCAAAGGAGCAGAAGTAAGGAACGACACGTTCAGCCCAGCTACGAGCGCATCGTTGGTGAGACTTATTCCGATCTTGGGATTACAACAGGAACATTCCCTGTACTCCATTGATGTCAAGGACGCATTCTTGCAGGTCCCACAAAGGACTCGATGTGCATGTCAATTCCCGAAGGAATATGTGGATCTGTTTGGCGACCAGGACCCCAGTTGTAGGAACGAAGGTTTGTTACTGCTTAGAGTACTTCCAGGACAGCGAGATGCAGCACTACTATGGAGTGATCATTTTGCAGGAACCCTCAAAGAGCAGAACTTTGATAGGAGCAAAGCTTGCCCTACTTTGTTTCGTGACGACAGGAACAGCATACTTGTTGTGCATGTAGATGACATTCAGGCAGCAGGGAAAACAAGGCACCTAGAGCCCAAGCTAGGAAAGCTAGGAGAAACCTACGAGCTAAAGGTTGAAGGCCCCTTCTTGACAGAGCAGGAACTTGAGGTAGGAGAGTCACACCAGACAATCCGATTCCTTAAAAGGAAATTCAGCTACCACAATCACGAGCTCCACATCACGAGTGACCCGAAGTATCTTGTGAAGCTTAAGGAAGAACTGAAGCTTACCAGCAAAGCCTCGAAGCCAACTCCGTGCACCCAAGAGTCGCAGGAACAGGACAACACTCAGACCTTGAACCAGGAACAAGCAGCATCGTTCAGGAAAAGCGTTGGCATACTCTTGTATGTCAGTCAGGACCGCCCTGACGTGCAGTTTGCCGTGAGAGGTTTGGCCTCCAAGATGTCGGAACCAACACATGGTTCTTGGAAACACTTAGTCCACCTAGTGCAGTACATGTCGAGAACTGAAGGATACCATTTAGTGTACAGGAAAACGCCTAGAGGACTCAGTAATCTCCATGAATCCATCAGGAATGGTAACTACGACTTTACAGGAATAAGGCCCAAGGAACACCACCTTTTGGAAGTTTTCAGCGATTCAGATTGGGCAGGAAAGAAGGACACAAGGCGCTCAACATCTTCAGGAATTGTTTGCCTAGACGGTCAGTGCATTTACTCCTTTTCTAGGAACCAGAAGTCGGTTAGCTTGAGCAGTGGTGAAGCAGAGTACTACGCAGGAGCGTCAGCAGCGTCAGATTCTATATTGTTGAAGGAAGCAGTAGAATTCTTGACCAGGAAACAATGCAAGGTACACTTGTACATGGATTCTTCTGCAGCTAGAGGAATTATTACAAGGCAAGGTGTAGGAAGAGTCAAGCATTTGCAGATCAGGACCCTTTTTCTTCAAGACCTCCACAAAGAAGGAACAATTAGTGTTCACCCAGTAGGAACCAAGGAGAACACAGCCGACATAGGTACCAAGCCCCTTTCAGCGAAACGTATCAGACTGTTGTTGCACTGGTTAGGTTTTCAAACCAGCGAGAACGAACCAGTAGGCAGAGAAGAGCTCAAGGAACACAAGGCCCAAACACAAGCTAAAGCAGTTGTAAGAATGATCAAGAGCCCAGGAACTTTGTCTTTTGCAGCTTTGTTGTTTGCAGGAATTTCAGGTATTTCAGACAGTCTTCAGATTCAGAGTTTCAAGGAACAGTGTCTTGAGAGTTGTGTTCAGGAAGAAGAGTTTCAGCCAGACTTTCAGGAACATGTTTTCTGTTGTGCAAGTGCATGTGAGCAGGACGGCATGTGCAGTGACACGAGTGCATGTGAGCTAGGAACGTCTGCAGGAACAGCGCATGGAACAACATGTTGTGAGATGCTTTCGCAGCTCAAGGAACTCTGCGGAACACTCGCGGAACGCTCAGGTATCCAGGAACTAGTTCGCCCGGTAGCAGAAGGTCAAGGAACCTTAGAACGACAGAGCCAAGGAACCTTAGCAGCCATGGAAGCAAGCGCGAGTTCGAGCAAGAACACAGCGGAAGTTTTCAAGGAACTTGAGATTTTGAAGGAAGCGGCGACAGCCTTAAGGAACGCTTCTGATGAAAGGAACTTGATCGCGGAGTCGATCAGGAAGAACACAGAGGAAGCTGCGCGTTTGCGCAAAAGCCAGGAACACGTGGCTGGTTGTGTGGAGTCCTTGACAGGACAAATCTACGACGTCAAGCACCAGGTTCAGGAAATGGCCGAACAGAACGACAGAGACCGGCAACAGGTCAAGGAACACATGGCCTTCGTCCTAGGTACATGTGACGCCGTAAAGGAACAGCTGAACCAGATGATGCAGGACTTCTACGAGCAGCAGCAAGAGGAACAAGAAGAAGAGGAAGAAGACGAAGAAGAACAAAGGAAAAGAGAAGCCAAGGACCGAGAACTAGAAGGTGAACTACGTCGTGAAGGACACGGACAAGGAACAGCACCGTCGAGAGCTACGTCACCTACGTCCCAGGAAAGGAAGGAATATTCGGACCGAGGCTACTTCGAGGGCATCCAGGAACGAGAGCAGGAAGCCGGCAACGAGAACGAGGCCTACGTCAACAGCTACGTTGGAGGAGAAGATCCCGGGGAGTACCCCGATGAAGGAACAGCAGCAGCAGCAGAGGAAGAAGAAAGTGAGGAAGCAAAGGAAGAGAGAAGAAAGAAGAAGATCGCGGAGATCAACGCCAAAAGCAAGCAAAGGCTCAAGGAAAAGGAAGAGGAGAAGAAGCTTTTTCCGTACCCCTACGACTACGCCAGCGAATGGAAGGAATACTCCGAGAACGGCGAGATCTACAGGCAACACAGAGTTACAGGAGAAAAGCAGTGGGTCGACAAGGACTACACGTACAAGCACGAGAAGGGAACAAAAGGAAAGAAGGAAGGAAAAGGAAAAGGAAAGCCAAAGGCAAGAGCAGAAAGCACAGGATTTCGACCTCGAGATGAAGATGATCGCAAATACTGGGAAGAACAGGACAGGATCTCAAAGGAACAAAGAGAAGCAAAAGCAAAAGCAGAAGAGGAGAAGAAGGCAAAAGAGGAGCAAATTGCCAAAGCAAGGTTGATTCTGGAAGCGGCAGCAGAAGAACAGGAGAAGAGAGACAAGGAAGCAGCAAGGCAGGAAGCAGCCGCAGCCGCCGAGAGAAGGCGAGAGGTAGAAGCAGCAGCCAAAGCCAAAGCAGAGAGAGAGGCAAAGGAAAAGGAGGAGACCGAAGCAGCAGCAGCCGCAGCAGCCAAAGAGGAGAAGGAAAGAAAGGAGCAGGAGAAGAAAAGAAAGGAGAAGGAAGCCAGGAAGAAGAGAGAGGAAGATCAAAAGGCAGCGTCAGCGTACATTGCCAAGAAGGAAGCAGAAAAGAAGGCAGCAGCAACAACAGCAACAGGATCAGGTGAAGGAGACAAGATCCAGAAGCTTGAAGAAATGATGAAGGAGATGATGAAGGAACGCAAAGAGGATAAAGAAAGGATTGCAAGCCTTACACAGGAGCTTGAGAGCAGAGGATCAGCAGCCGGGTCGCAGGCACCCACAGAACCTGACACAACACCAGCAAAGGAAGAGGAGAAGCCAGAAGCAAAAGGAACAGGAAAAGCAACAGGAAAGGAGCCACCGAACGTCACACAGCACAAGCAGAAGGAAGAAGACAAGGACGACCCAGAACTGTCCGCCAAAGGACCAGTGAACGAAGCATCGTTCATGAAAGGAAAAGGAAAAGGAGAGTTTGAAGGAAACTGGTTTGCAGTCTACAGTTTCCAGAACAGGAAATACCAGTGGAAGTGGAACGAAGCCAAGGCACAGTGGTACTGGTATTCAGGATCAAAGGAAACAGGTTGGAAAGCAGCGTCAAAGGACAAGCAAGGAAAAGAAAAGTGCAAAGCGCAAGCAAAGATGAAAGAAGAGTGGCTAAAGGAACAGCTTCACGACCAAGAGGAAGCTAAAGACAGCGAAGAGGAAGGCAAAGTAACCTTCCAGTGAAGCAAAGGAACCGCGAGCAGTACTGAGGCCAGAGAGCCGAGGAAAGAAGCAGCAGGACACAGGAACCGTGGCACAGCCCTTTTTGTTTCTGTGGTGATCTAGGTAAAGTGCAGGAACGTCTTTTGTACAGTCGAGCAACCTTGGAGAGGATTGCGAGTGAACGTGCGCATACGTTTGCGATGAGGAACAGTGTTTGTTTTGCAAGTGAAAAGGAACTGCAGCGTGTTTACTGTTTGTCAAGGAAAAGTCGGAGTCACCTCAGTCGAGGAACTTTCGCTAACTCCGAAGGCGGGGTGTTAAACATTCTGCCAGGAACAGTAACACAGCTAGTGCAGTACAGTTAATGTACAGGAACAGCCGTCACGCACACGCGACGTGCAGGCTCGAGACCCCAGGACACACCGTGCCCAGGAACAAAAGTGTCCGACAGTCTTTGTGGGTAGGAACCCTTAGTAAAGCCCGTTCTTTAACAAATTACCTTAAGGGTAAAGGACTTCGCGAGAACCGCATCTACCGCGCGTTGTACAGTTACACCGACGCCGATGGGGTTGTACAGTTGCTCTTGACGTCCCACGTAGACGATCTATTGTGGGCTTGTGATCCGTCATGCGATTGGATCATGAACGATCTCATCGAGACGTTCAAATGTGGAAAGGTTGAGACCGGGAGCTTCAGGTACTGCGGGAAGGAGATAAGCCAAGACGAGGATTTCAATATCCATGTGACCTGCAGCGAGACAACGAGGAACGTGAACAAGATTCACGTCGACAAGAGGAGGCACCCGGGAGATCCCTTAACGGACTCTGACAAGACGCAGATGAAGAGCGTCGCTGGGTCCCTTGCTTGGGTTTGCAGACAATGCCGACCCGACTTAAGCTATAGGGTATCCAAGATCCAGTCGGCTTCTAGCAATGGTACCGTCGCTGACATCAGAGATGCCAACAAAGCGGTCGAGTACGCTATTAGCACATACGACAGAGGACTTGTTTTCAAGTCTGGGCTGTTGGACTGGAAGACACCAGGTGCTCTTTTGAGTCTGGTGATCACGGACGCTTCTCACGCGAATGAGTCCGAAGAGATGATCATAAATGAGATGACATCTGTGGAAGGACACCGGAGCCAAGGTGCAAGGATGGTGTTTCTTACAGACGGCGCCCTGTGGAAAGGGAACAAAGGTAGCATTCATCCCATCTTGTGGGCGAGCAACCTCGTTCGGAGGGTATGTCGCTCCACCATACAGGCAGAGGCCTACACACTTCAGGCAGGTGTGGAGGACGGTGACGTGCTGAGGGCAGCTGTCACTGACATCTTCGGATGCCTCGATATGAAAAGGTGGGAGGCTACGTCGGCCAAGTTTGTGAAACAGATCTGGATGACAGACTGCAAGAGTCTGGAGCTGACGCTTTCGAATCCGAAATGCAATAAGCATTCGGACAAGAGATTGAGCATCGAGATCGCGTCTCTCAGACAGGAGCTATGGCGCAAAGCTGGCGAGAAAGCAGGAGATCCGTTTTACGACGACTACAAGCCAGTAGATGATCAGTTAACTGACATCGTCAGATGGATAGACACTGACGTGATGATCGCTGATCCGTTGACGAAGGTCATGGAGCCGGTCAAGTTGGTTGAAGCTCTGAAAACCAACACACTCGACGTAGAGCAGCCGCTCGAGAGTGTCGTGAAGAAGCGCGCCAAGCAGCTTCAGAGGAGGTCGACGAAGAAAGAACAGGACAACGAGCAAGACCGTTGATCCTTGAGCACGAAGTCTCACCACACTGACGCTGTAAGAGTCACGGGTGTGAAACCAACCTGTTTTGCAGCGCGTACAGTGTGTGTACCTAGCGTTTTGTACAGTTGCAGACGTTCCCCTCTACCGCAGGGGCCCCTTGGACCAAGCCTACGGCTTTGCGGAAAAGTGACTAGTCTTCGCAGAACCCTTGACCCTCGGATCGCGCCTCGATTTTTTCGAACAAAAGACAGCCTCGGTTGTGCAACGATGTTCCGACCTGAGCGACAGCCATGCTTCACGCAGTTTGGGCTTCGATGTTGGCAAAAGAGAGGCTTTTAAGGGCTCGGGGCCTCGGGATCAAGGATATATGATTGACGTAAGAGCACCGGGATGTAGCTCAGGGCCTGTATCGTTACGCCTGTCAAGGGCTCAGGGCTCGGAATTCAGAATTTATGTTAAGATTCCCGCGCAGAAACCTTGTATCATGAACCCTGGAAGCATGACAAATCGTGCTGTACACCCTAAACTTTGAATCCTGAAACCCCCAAGCCCCACGACCCCAGACCCTGAAGCCCTCAACTAAAACCTCTGCGCGCCTTTAAACGTCAAAAGCCACCCCTTACCCCTGCCAAACCAGTCTCAGTAGGGAATTCCCATCGTGGACGATGTGGTGGACGTCGTTGAGGACGGCGTGGATGTTGTAACCGACGGCTCCCAGCCTGGTTTAGGCCTTTAGGCTTTAGGCGTTTGTGGCTAAATGTCTCGGGCTTTAGGGTTCAGGGTTTGGGTTTGGTACCTCAGATCTCCAATACCCAACCCCTAAACTTTTCGAACCCTTATAGTTTAGTAGTTAGTATCCTGAAAGTTTACCCTTTTATTTCTGCGGCTTATTGGGCAGCAGAGGTATTTTTAGGATTCAGGATTCAGGGTTGCAGGTGCCCGATTACTAAGGCACGTTCTTGCTGCAGGATTCTTTAATGTCTTAGACACAATGCTAGTTTACGAATTCCCCAAGCTTGAAGTCCTTACGGTTCCCCAGTATGTTTGCACTGTTCAACCGCAAAAGCCCAAGCAAGCCCAGCAAGACCGACATATTCGCCCATAAGCCTACAAGCCCCAAGAGCCCCATAAGCCCGGTGAGCCACTGAAGCAGCCCACGGGTGCCTTCGGATGCCAGCAGCGACAGCACGGGGTGCCAGCCTGCCAACGAGAGCAATAGCAGAGGATCTTTGGGCCGAGCTTCGAAACCTGAACCTTGAGCCCCGGGCTCTAGACTCTAGGCGTACCAGATCCGGACTACCAGGCTGCAAAACCTTCGCCTCGTCGAGAGAAGCGGATGAATCGAGGGTTAGAGCTTTGTAAGAGTTGGAAAGAGGTGTTGTAATTCCAATGTCTTGAAGGAACCAAAATCCACCCGACATGGTTGTATCTCCCATTCGGATTCTATGGTTGAAGATTTTCTTGGGTTTGCTGAACAAACAACGTTGCACCAACCAAGAGGGAATATGTTCAAATTGAGATGATAACGTTCAGATCCTAACCTTAGAACCCAAAGCTTACACTCAGAACTTCGAGCCTTAGACAAGGTAATAAAACGCAACACCCCCCGAGGCAACCCAAACCCTGCAGCCCCTAGCCCTCAAACCCAAAAAAGCCCCCCAAACCCCCTTAGCCCTAAGCCCAAAAGAGCAGAAGGCACCGGCTTGGTCGGAGATGCCTTGGGCGACGCCTACGAGGCCGCCGAGGACCAGGCTCTCGGGCTATGTGTGGCATCACGGTGTCTCATCGGGTTTCGTAGGGTTCTTGGGAAGTGCTTCGAAAAGATCTTTTTTTAAGACGAGTGTGGAAAAGGCCTGTATATATTGGGTTCTCGCGCGGTTGTTCGCGGGCTGTACAATTATACAGTTTTCAAAGGGTCTAGGGTTTGGTCGGTTTTGTTCGATGGCTCTATGACAGACCGGCTTCAGGAACTTCAGGGCTTGGTTGCTGCACAGGTTACAATAGAGATTGGGGAGGTCCAGAGTCTGGGATGCTTTTGGGTGCCTGGATCACGCTACGTCCGAAAGCGTTGCACCCGAAGATCTTACAGAAGTAAATCAACTCCCATCATTGAAAACTCCGAATCCCAAAAACCCTAAACACTCCCAAAGCCCAAGTCCCCGAAGTCCGGAACTAGGTGTCCTTCGTGGCCACAGCCAGCAAAAGCGCTTACAAACGCCAACAAGACTCGGTAGACAGAGTCTAGAAGTATCAGTGCTTTCGAAGACGAGGTTTCTTTCGTGGCCGACACCTCAGCTCGACTTGCGCATCAAGCACCTATGACACCCCGGCAGATTGAGCAGTGCAAAAGTCGATCGGTTTCAGTGACCTGTAGAGCCAGAGCAATCGACATTTCCCGGACGTCTTTCAACACGTCGTCGCCTGTGCGACGCTTTCTGGAACCTAGCTCCTCTTCGTCGAGGAGCCATGCTCATGAGCTGACAACTCGGGTCCTGTAGAGACCCCTCAGTTGACTAAAGTCAGAGCAGATCCGCAGCAGCCCTCCTGGGTCTATATGGAGGGCTTCCGTTCCCAAACAATTATCCACTGTACTTCTTCCGCCTCTCACGAATTCCAGAGCCCATTCGAAAGAGCATCGCCAAGTGTGAGAGCCTGTCAAGACCGAAGGCAAGACAAAGGTTGCGTGCAAGGCCTCGCCAAACACCAAAAACAGAGCGAAAGGCTTCTGCAAAAGTGTCACCAAAGCGGGGATTGCTTCGGGCCGACGGACGGGCAGCAAGGTTCGAGATCTTCCCGAAAGACACGGCCTTGCCTAAAATTCGAAGCCTCGAGCAAGAGTCAGAAGCTGGAGCCCGAGGCCAATACCGTCATCGATACCGTTGAGATGGCAGTGGACATCCTCATCCGCCGCTCTGCCTCCGATCTCTCCTTCCTGGAGGGTTCTTAAACATTCTTCATGTTTTACGGGAAGCAAGGTTTTCGGTTTTGGGTCTTTGGCTCCCAACGAGCTATGCAGCCTACGGCTTCCACACAGTCAATTCAGAGTCCTTGAGTTATCATGGGCTCTCCATCCCAGCCTCAGTTGCAAGCAGAATCGATTCAGCACATCTTAGGTGGTCATCATTTCCACGTGCTACCATGCTTCGTAATTCAGTAACTTGGTCTTTGTGTAGGTGTCCGCATGACTTTGTCCAGCGGGGCCTCTGATCTTCGAGTCCAAGGAGCAACAACAGAAACTCTGAGGAGCGCAAAGCCATGGCAGCCCCACCTCGGCCACTGGAATTTTGCGGTTCTAAAGGAAGCTTCAGCCCCCAACCCTTTGCAGTAACCCCAGGCGCTCCCAAACCCTGTCCCTAGCTCGAAGCTCCAGGCGGCTTTACCGATTGGAACGCCGGCTGCGACGAGAACAGGCCGTTAAACCTCAACCCGAAGAAATTAAGGCTTCGATTTGCGCCGGGCTCTGCCGGGGTTGTGTGCACATCACAAGACCTCGAAAGCTCGCTCCCTCAAGCCACCGAAAGCCCTGAAATCCCTGACCACTAAACCTCTACACTGCAGGCCCGAAACCGAAACGCGCTTTGGGTTGCTGCGAAACCTTGCCCTGACCCATGTGTGTTGTCAACGATAAGATGAGACGAGTGCAGGCAGCTCAATCGTGATGTTGATCTTCCTGAACCACCCAAGCTATACTCGAAAAAAGCGGAGCTTTCCCAACTCACCTAGGTCTCCAGTAGTGCCGTTTCTGTTTTGCGAATCTCCTGGCTGAGATTGATGTATTATTCCTGGTCTCAGCCAGCCGAGTGGAGGTGGCCCTCGATGTCGGTGGGCTCCCAGGGCATTGACGTTGACTGGGGTCGGCAGAAGTGCTGGGCCCGGATCCCGGGAACATGTTCAGTTGGAGTGGTGCAGTCGTCTTCGACGTCGTCCGAGTCTGATATCATGGGATCCATAGCCCCAAGGTGTTCTCATCACGTTGATACGTTGCTGCAGAGGTGAGGCTGATGGGCCAGACCTGCACTCTCTTCGACTTCAACTTCGGCACGACGGACCTTCTCAAGCTAGACAGGGTTCAGGGTCCAGGGTTTCGGGCGGTAGGACTTTACGACCCTCGTATCCATGTAGCCCGAACAGCCGAAGCTCCGAACGTTTGCTGTATTCGACCCAGCCCCTCATCAGGAAGTATGACAGCGATCCTGACGGTCCTAACATGAAGGCCTTGAAAGGAAGGGGGCTCATGAATCAAGGATCAGCTACTAGTTTCAGCAGTCTCCGACAGAATCAGACCCCAATCCCAAAATGCAAATAACCAGTCCGAAGCCCCAAACCCTATCACTACCTGCAGTTGCCCTTAAACCGTACATCCTCACCCTCAAAAATCCTAAACGCTTCGAAGCCTTGACGATACCCTCAGTCGAAAGGACCTCGATTGGCCGGAGCCATTGAAAACGGTGGTTGGCTTCGGCCTCCAACCCGTGAAGGCTCGGGCATATTGAAACGCTTGGGAAGAGCTGTCGAAGGGGTTCATCCGGTTGTGTCGCATATGAAAGTTTAAGGTTTTGGAGTGGGTTCTTGATTGGTGCGATTTTGTGTTCTAGCATGAGGGGTTTGTTGGCTTAGGCAAGTCCCAACGATTCCTCACGTCCTAAACGCAAATGTTGACAAAGACACTGGCCAGACGACTTGCCAGTCAAAAGGGTCTGGATTACACGTTAAACGCTTTAGGCAAATTGTACCATAGTCTAGTGTTCTAACTTTTTGCTGTGCTTTCAGCTGGATTCTGTCACAGTACTGTGACCATTCTCACCCGTCTATACCCCAAAGCCCTGATCCAGCGCAAAAGGATCTGAGGTTGAGGGTTTGAGGTTTGGGGGTTTAGGGTCAGGAGGAGTTCAAGGTGTAGGGCTTCAGGCTTGCAGTTTCTTTTTGTTTCGGAGCTTTCCCTCCGAAAAACCCCTTGCCTGGAAGGCGATGATCAACATGGGCAAAGAGACGCTTTGATGCCTTGAACCCAAAAGCCTACTGTAAACCCTGACCCCTGAGTCCTAAAACTCCTTCACCCTAAACCCAAACCGCAACGTGTCCCAAGTTGACGGTCTCTGAACAAAACCCTAAACCCCCAGACGATGCACTTCCTTCGACCACTTCGGTCTCCTGCAGGCCCCCTTTTCCAAAGAAGTCAAAACACCTAAACCCTAAAACCTTCATGCTAAGCCCCAAGCCCGGGGTCCCTGAGAAGTCGGGGTCGTGAGAAAACTACTGTATTTATACAACAGTACAGCTCAAAACCCTGTCCTATGTATGCAGGCTTCGATATACTATAGTAAATCCACAGAGACAACTTACAAAGCACTGCCCCTAATGCTTCGTTGCCTAGCCAAGGATGCTGTCCTGCAACAACTTCGATGATCCGCAAGAGCTGATCAAGTGCCGGGGTTCATGTTACGGTCTTTGTACAGATCGTATATGAGGGTTATATTGCAAGGTCTCAAGGAGCTTCAGGCTTAGGAGGGTTCGGAAACAAGATTTTATAGGCCCTCTTGACTTAACGCTGAACTCAAAACCGCATCACAAGAGCCCAGGTGTTTCGGCTTCAAGCTCATCGAGATTGTCCCTCCATTGAGCCTGGGCCTGTTTGGCGGGTTACACCTTTACAGGGGTTTTTACACGGGCCTGAAAGATGGGTTTAACTGTGTGGTCTATTCTGGGTTTGGGATCCCAACAGACAGCAAGTGTCACAGGCAAGAATTGTTCAGTCCAAAGCAGTCTTCAGGCGCTGGGCTTTTTGATTTATGAGTTCGCAGGCGTCATCGCCTTTCACAAGCACGGTAGACAGTCAGTGCCGATGCCATCGTCATTCGCGTCATCGTCATCCTCGTAACCATCATCATCTTCAATATGGTTTGATGGGCTTTTTCGCTCCTTGCTGCCTTGCTTCCTCTCTTCATACAGTCACTCGCTCATCCATTCATCCATCCATTCATTCATTCACTCACTCATTCATGCATTCAGTCTCTCATTCATTCATACTTTCATTCGCTCATTTAGTCCTGTGCTCGTTCGTTCCTTCCTTCCTTTCTTCATTCGCTCCTTCGTTCATTCCTCATTGCTTTAGCTGTTGTTTTTCTATCGCTATCATCACCAGCATCGTCATCATCGTCATCATCATCATCATCATCACCAGAGTCTTAGTCTTGCAAGCTCTGCTGGGCCAACCGCTGCATGCCGAGGAGCACGCTGAATCGCCTGAGCGACATGCTCACCCAGTTTATTGAGGTCTTCGCCCAGATTGCCGCAACAGTCGTCAAGCAGGTGGGCTGGTTTAAACGGTGCGCGTGTACCTGTCCATTGACCCCTAAGCCTGAAACACCTTAATTGCCGAACTCTAGCCACCAAATCCCGATGACGGATTCGCCAGTGGAGGTTTTCGTTTATGATTTGGGGTGTGGGAGTTTCAGAGAGTGGGGACCCTGCTTTAAACGTAGTTCTTAAAGAGTAGGCTCCGCATACCAGGACCTTACAAACAGGTATTGCTACCACCAACATACAAAACACTGAGAGACTCTATAAGACCCGTTTCGGGCTAAGCTCAGGGTCGCAGCAAATTCACCCGGAAGTCATTGCCCCAACTTTACGCCTTAAGTCAGAAGCAACAACAAGCGGAGCCCGACTGAAAAGCCTAACCCGCAAGCCTCTCCTTGAGTTTTTGGGTGCTGGGATTCCGGGCCCTTCGGGGTTTCGAGGTTCGACGGCCTTTTGTCGACGGCCTTTTGGGAGGTTCTTCATTCTGAGACCTCAAGACTTAAAGCTTCATACTGAAACCTTAAGCCGATAAACCCGAATACCGAAGCTTCGATCTCCAGCCCAGCATCGGCAGACCTCCAGCACGTGACTTTTCTACGGTTTCAGAACTTACGTCGCATTTCCGTTTGAGGGTTTGGGGGTTACGTGGGCGTTACCGTGTCGTCGAGTATTGACGGCAGACCCTTAAAACCAAGGCCCTTGAAAGCCTAAGCAGAGTAAAGCTGTTCGCCCAAAGACACACACACACACACTTACACACACTTACACACACTTACACACACTTACACACACTTACACACACTTACACGCACTTACACGCACTTACACACACCTACACACACTTACACACACTTACACACACACACACACACTTACACACACACACACACACACTTACACACACACACACACACACTTACACACACACACACACACACACTTACACACACACACACACACACACTTACACACCACACACACACACTTACACACACACAACACACACTTACACACCCACACCCACACTTACACACCACACACACACACACTTACACACACACACACACACACTTACACACACACACACACACTTACCACACACACACACACTCACACACACACACACACACACACACACACCACACACACACACACACACACACTTCACACTTCACACACACACACACACACTTCCACAACAACACACACACACACACACTTACACACACTTACACACACACACACACACTTACACACACACTTACACACACACACTCACTTACACACACACTTCACACACACACTTACACACACTTACACACACTTATACACACACTTACACACACTTACACACACACACACACTTACACACACACACACACTTACACACACACACACACACTTACACACACTTACACACAACACACACACACTTACACACACACACACAACTTCACACACACCACACTTACACACACACGACACACACACTTACACTTACACACACACACACACACACCACACACACACACACACACACACACCCACACACACCCCACACACACACACACACACGCACCACCCACACCACACCCACACCCACACCCACACCACACACCCACACCCACACACACCCACACCACACACACCCACACACACCCACACCCACACCCACACCCACACCCACACACCCCCACACCCACACACCCACACACACACACCCACACACCCACACACCCACACACCCACACACCCACACACCCACACACCCACACACCCACACACCCACACACCCACACACCCACACACCCACACACCCACACACCCACACACCCACACACCCACACACCCACACACCCACACACCCACACACCCACACACCCACACACCCACACACCCCACACCCCACACCCACACACCCACACACCCACACACCCACACACCCACACACCCACACACCCACACACCCACACACCCACACACCCACACACCCACACACCCACACACCCACACACCCACACACCCACACACCCACACACCCACACACCCACACACCCACACACCCACACACCCACACACCCACACACCCACACACCCACACACCCACACACCCACACACCCACACACCCACACACACAAACACACACACCCACACACACACACACACACACACACACACACACCACACACACCACACCGCATACGACGCACAAGACACACAGGCACGGGCATGAGAAGCTGAATGCCCAACAGCCGAATCCGTAAAGCTGAAAGCCGCATATACAGACAAAACCCTAAGCTTCCAAGCATCGCAGGTCCTGGACGATAGCCAGTCCTTAATACAAAAGGCAGCGGCATCTGAAATTCTGGGCATTCGGCAGGGGTTCAGCATCCGGATTCAATACCACGCGGAGAGGCTGTCCTGTATTGCGGTTACAAGCACAAATCTCTTAGGGGCTGTCCTGTGTGTTCGTGTACCAAGTCCCTGATCCTTGGAACCCCCCAAAAGGGTCCCCTTTGAGGACTGCTAGTGGGGTCCAGGTAGTTCAGGGAGGACAGGTTTGCTAAACCGTTTTCCATCGTCTGTACAGTCTTTGCGTATGACCGGCATTTGCAGTAGTCGTGCTGTCGTGGGATCTGTGCGAAGTCCAATGAGCAGTACTGTGGAGATCATTGATTCGGATGCTGCTGCTGATGATGATGGTGAGGTTGTTGACAGTGGTGACGGCGAATACTGCAGGCAGCTGCTGCTGCTGCTGCTGCTGCTGCTGCTGCTGCTGCGGCTGGTGGTGAATACGGCGGGTGGTAGCTGCGGCTGTCGGTGGGCGTATTTGTGCTGGAGTTGTTGTTCATGGTTGCTGTTGTTGGCGTGGTGGTCGTCGTTGTTGTCGTTGCTGCTGCTGTTGCTGCTGCATCGAGTCGGTCGTATTGACTGGTGGATACTACAATATTTCTCGCACTTGTTGCCGTTCTTGCTGCTGCGGTTTCGCTGTCGGAATTTGACTATGGCAAGACGGAAAGACTGTGCAAAGCTCTGCACGCACATACGCAATTGGATCACCAGCACCGCAGGTAACCTCATCAGTACCGCTTTCTATGAGTTGTTTCTGCAGCGCCAGAGCACTCTAGATCAGCGCGAGAATCGGCATTGATCCAAACCTTGCCAGCTGGATAGTGCCAACTCTCGACACTGCTACATCCTTCTAGTCGCAAAGTTTGACTAAACCTTGCAAACCCGAAAGCCCAAGCCCAAAGCATAAAGCGTACACCGCACGCCCTTCATCCAGGCCTCGCAGTCCAAGTTTCCCGCCGCTGGGGATGCGCCGGTGATCCACCACTCGGGCACCTCGGCTTCGACGACTTTTCCCCTGTTGCTGCCATCCGGCTCTACGCAGGCAGAAGACGGCACGGTGTCCCAGCAGTCTTCCCTTTTCTATCTCTCTCTCGCTCTCTCTCTTCTCTTTCTCTCTCTCTCTCTGTGTCTTTCTCTGTGGCTTTAACAAGACATTTAAGCTGTTCCGGCCACATTGCCGGAGCATATAGACCGGCAGGAAAACTAGGACTCACCCCCTTGCACGGTCGCGACCTGCACGATCTCAGAGACATAATGATGAACACCAATCTCTTACAGCCTAGATGTCAATAGATCCCAAAGTCTAAGCACAAACCCTCAACACCTTAAACACAGAATTTAGACCATGTGCGAGCGAAGCGATTGGAAGTGTGTCGGCAAGTTCCGCTTCGTTACGCTCAGAGAGCGGTTTTTGCTTAGCATGAAGTGCACGTACTATAAACTCGGCCCTTTTTGAACGATTACCTGGGGAAGGGTCGGGGGATCGGCTCCATTGTTCTAGACCTGCCAGAGCTGCGTCGTGCAGGGGGTTCAAGGGTTTGTATGGCGTTTCATCAGGTTCTTGTGGTTTTTCTTTGGGAGCTTAATGTAAGCTACCATAGCAGACGACATTGATCCGAGGGTGTGCTAGCTGGAGGTCATGCACAAGCGGCGATTAACATGCCTCATCTCCGCCGGAGACCTGAATTAAGATGGGTCGAAGTGGTAGGCAAGATGCGAGTCTGGTTAGGAGGACAACTTCAATCTGCCTCACACGAATCCAGAGAGGCAATACAAGCAAATCCTTAAGTCTTAAGCCGAGAACCGATGCCCTAACCACTAAACCTCAAACCCACCCCCCAAAAGAAGCAGCACACCAACCCCGAAGCCCCGAGAACGAGGCAGAAACCTCGTGATCAAGACCCACTCGCAGCATCCGAAGAAGCGGACCCGATCCAAGCTGCCTCGCCATGAGATGTCTACAGTGCAGGCGAGGCTCTGACCGTTTTTCACCAGAGATTCGGGAGTCAGAAACTTTGCGTTGAAGGTCCTTTTACAGGAAGATCTTACTCTATTTTATTTGGCTGTTGTACTAGGATCCCTTACACTCTAGAACTCCTGTTCAGACGAGCCGGATGGACATGAAAGACTCCCTTTGCTGGGTCTATTCGTTGTGGGTGCACTCAGGGTAATGCAGGATGTGGTCCATCGAGAAACTTCTGCAACCCCTCTGCAAAACCTCTCACCGCGCTGCGCCAGGTGCAGGCGAAGGGTGATGACGAAGAGGGTGGCGGTGTGACGGGCGTTATCAATTTCGCGGTGCACGACCAGGAGTGGGGCTTTGGGCTGGGGGTTGAGGGTTATGTAGAGGTTCAGGGTTTCGGGACTGAAGGGTTTTGGGAGCATAAGCGTGTAGGGACCGTTACAGATTGCTCCCGGATTTGTTTCTGTCCCGAACCCAAAGCTTCGGTCAGCCTATGAGTGTTCCAGGACATAGGACATAGGGGGCCCCAACCTAGAGCCCAAGTCCTCAACCTCATGTGGTAGGGATTCAACCTGGAAAGCCCGCATTCTTGACTCTCGGGCTTGCTGGCAAGTTCGGGGCTTCGGATTTTGGGTGCAGGGTTAATATGTTTAAGGGTTTATTTTTGGTAACTTCAGAGACTCGCACACACTGCTGTACACATCCCTTGCACCGAGGAGGGTAACTATGCGACGAAGCTGATCACACAGTTCAATGGAAACCTGGTCGCATACTGGAGTGTTCTCGCCTCCATGCATGTGTTTTTAAATCCACTTCTGTAGCTCGTCTGAACGCCCAGCCGACTCCCACAAACGCCAAACCCCCCGGAACGCTTAAACCCGAAGCCGCCATACCGCCCCTTTCATCCAGAAAGCCGTAAGCATAGAGCCTCGTCTGACATTGTATTATAGTATACTGTTGTATACTATGTTATAGTATAATATATATAGATATATAAATAAATATATATATATATAAAATAGAATATGTGAATATATATATATATATATATATATATAACATACGCACATTACCTGTCTTCAAGAGGAGCTACAGCTAAGGCAAGGAGACGGACACCAGCTCGTGCCTGGCTTTCGCTCCGAAGAGCAAACACGGAAGAAGGAACCAGGCAGTAGGGGGGAGTTTAGGCTTGGTGCCGCGAGGTTGAGGGTTTCGGGGTTTGGGGTGTCAGGGCTTTAGACTGGAATCACCGGTTTGGCATTCCAGGCATCCGAAGATTTAGTCTATTAGTCACGAGTTTTGCAGTACGATAGGATGCAACTGCAATTCTTCGAGCGACCTTTGACGTAAAGACATCGAGGAAAGACTAGAAAACCCTGCTAGATGCAAGACGTTGGTGGGGTTCCGGACTGGCCAGATACACCCGCAATGTGCCCATTCCACGGATCCAGTTTTGTTGTTTCGTCTTGCCAGGCAACGAAGGCGGATTGGCAGGTCAACAACGAGGGCGATTTCATCCAGCTGGAGCCGTGGGCCGTACCCTGTGACAACTCGTGGATGAAGGACAGGACCTCGAAAAAGAAGCAGTGGTTTCGCATGACGTAGAGAACATAGTGGCGCCAAACTAGACGGCAGCAACCACGCAGTGCTGTCTCATGACTGTGTTTTGCAGTGATGGTGTATCGATCCCGCAGATCATCGCAACAAGGCGATCAGGAGATGTCACGACGGTATCAGACAAGGCAACAAGAGACATGGCAAGAGCATGCAGCCAACACCAAGCCCGAACCTTGAATTCCAAAAAAGCCACAAACTCCTGAAGCGCTACACCAAAACCGCCACAGCTGAAGGACCACTGGAACAAATGGCAGGGCTACTCCTTCTACACCTGGGAGATGTCCATTGAGACGCTCAGCCAGCCTGTGCTTTTTCGGAAAACAGCATGTTTCTACACCTATGTACTGAATCAAGTGTGACTTGCTAAGGCTTTAAGGTCTGGAAACTATGAATCCTAAACGCCCAAAGTTTCAGCGGCCCTAAGCCCGAAAGGCTTCAGAGCGCCAAGCCACGAAACCCCTGACAGCCCCACGCCCTAAGAGCCCTCTAAAACCTTCATAGACTTAAGCCTTGAATGCCGGAAAAACCCTGAAGCCTTAAACTGACAAAGACGTAAAGCTACACACCCATGACCCCTAAGCCCTAAGCTCAGAGCCTTAAATCCTAAGCTCCTAAGCCCATACCCCGAAACCCTGAACCTAAAATGCTGAACCCTTAGACCCCCAAACGCCTAAGCCCTCTGAGCCCGGAGGAAGTGCGTGACAGTGAGCTTCTCGCTGTCCATGCAACCGGTGCTCTCTTTCGCGTGGGCCTCGGCCGGGGCTTTGGGCGTCCAAGATTTTAGAGCCAGTGTTTTGCGCTTGCAATGCAGAGTTTGATGTCACGAAAGCTCTCAGGGGGTGTGGGGGGGTCACTCTGGGCTCGTTTTTGCATGCAGCGGGCAGGGATTTAGGGCTGGGCACGCCGTGGGTTCCTAGACCACCCTCCAATGAGAAACGAGCACCCCATGATGCTCATGATGCTCGCCTGCCGGCGCCAATTGGCGCTTAGCTGGCTTAGCTTCTTTGAGACGCCTAGCTTCTTTTGTGTGATCGTTGTCTTTTTCACCGATTTTAAGATACAGGGTCTGGGGCTTTGAGTTGGGCAAGGGTTGTGTATGACCCCGTTCGTTTTCTTCTGTATGCTCCTTGGAAACTGAAACAACGGTGTATGACACCCTTGGTTGTCTTTTTCAGCGATTTTAAGATACAGGGTCTAGGGCTTTGAGTGCGCAAGGGTTGTGTATGACCCCGTTCGCTTTCTTGTATATGCTGCTTGGAAACTGAAACAACTGTGTATGACACCATTCATTGTCTTTTTCAGCGATTTTAAGAATTTTAAGATACAGGGTCTAGGGGCTTTGAGTGCCCAAGGGTTGTGTATGACCTTGTTCTTTTTCTTCTGTATGCTCCTTGGAAACTGAAACAACTGTGAATGACACCATTCGTTGTCTTTTTAAGCGATTTTAAGATACAGGGTCTAGGGCTCTGAGTGCGCAAGGTTGTGTATGACCCCATTCGTTTTCTTCTGTATGCTCCTTGGAAACTGAAACAACTGAGTATGACACCATTCGTTGTCTTTTTCAGCGATTTTAACATACAGGGTCTAGGGTTTTGAGTGCGCAAGGGTTGCGTATGACCCCGTTCGTTTTCTTCTGTAGGCTCCTTGGAAACTGAAACAACTGAGTATGACACCATTCGTTGTCTTTTTCAGCGATTTTAAGATACAGGGTCTAGGGCTTTGAGTGCGCAAGGGTTGTGTATGACCCCGTTCGTTTTCTTCTGTATGCTGCTTGGAAACTGAAACAACTGTGTATGACACCATTCGTTGTCTTTTCAGAGGGCTTTGAGTGCGCAAGGGTTGTGTATGACCCCTTTCGTTTTCTTCTGTATGCTCCTTGGAAACTGAAACAACTGTGTATGACACCATTTGTTGTTTGTTTCAGCGATTTTAAGATACAGGGTCTAGGGCTTTGAGTGCGCAAGGGTTGTGTATGACCCCGTTCGTTTTCTTCTGTACGCTCCTTGGAAACTGAAACAACTGTGTATGACGCCATTCGTTGTCTTTTTCAGCGATTTTAAGATACAGGGTCTAGGGCTTTGAGTGCGCAAGGGTGGTGTATGACCCCGTTCGTTTTCTTCTGTATGCTCCTTGGAAACTGAAACGACTGTGCATGACACCATTCGTCGTCTTTTTCAGCGATTTTAAGATACAGGGTCTAGGGCTTTGAGTGCGCAAGGGTTGTGTATGACCCCGTTTGTTTTCTTCTGTATGCTCCTTGGAAACTGAAACAACTGCGCATGACACCATCTGTTGTCATTTTCAGCGATTTAAGATACAGGGTCTAGGGCTTTGAGTGCGCAAGGGTTGTGTATGACCCCGTTCGTTTTCTTCTGTATGCTGCTTGGAAACTGAAACAACTGTGTATGACACCATCTGTTGTCTTTTTCAGCGATTTTAAGATACAGGGTCTAGGGCTTTGAGTGCGCAAGGGTTGTGTATGACCCCGTTCGTTTTCTTCTGTATGCTCCTTGGAAACTGAAACAACTGTGTATGACACCCTTGGTTGTATTTTTCAGCGATTTTAAGATACAGGGTCTAGGGCTTTGAGTGCGCAAGGGTTGCGTATGACCCCGTTCGTTTTCTTCTGTATGCTCCTTGGAAACTGAAAGACAACTGTGTATGACACCATTCGTTGTCTTTTTCAGAGGGCTTTGAGTGCGCAAGGGTTGTGTATGACCCCGTTCGTTTTCTTCTGTATGCTCCTTGGAAACTGAAACAACTGTGTATGACACCATTTGTTGTCTTTTTCAGCGATTTTAAGATACAGGGTCTAGGGCTTTGAGTGCGCAAGGGTTGTGTATGACCCCGTTCGTTTTCTTCTGTATGCTCCTTGGAAACTAAAATTCTAAAACAACTGTGTATGACACCATTCGTTGTCTTTTTCAACGATTTTAAGATACAGGGTCTAGGGCTTTGAGTGCGCAAGGGTTGCGTATGACCCCGTTCGTTTTCTTCTGTATGCTCCTTGGAAACTGAAACAACTGTGTATGACACCATTTGTTGTCTTTTTCAGCGATTTTAAGATACAGGGTCTAGGGCTTTGAGTGCGCAAGGGTTGTGTATGACCCGGTTCGTTTTCTTCTGTATGCTCCATTGACAGTGAAACGACTGTGCATGACACCACTCGTTGTCCTTTTCAGCGATTTTAAGATACAGGGTCTAGGGCTTTGAGTGCGCAAGGGTTGTGTATGAGACCGTTCGTTTTCTTCTGTTTGCTCGTTGGAAACTGAAACAACTGTGTATGATACCATTCGTTGTCTTTTTCAGCGACTCTAAGATACAGGGTCTAGGGCTTTGAGTGCGCAAGGGTTGCGTATGACCCCGTTCGTTTTCTTCTGTATGCTCCTTGGAAACTGAAACAACTGTGTATGACACCATTCGTTGTCTTTTTCAGCGATTTTAAGATACAGGGTCTAGGGCTTTGAGTGCGCAAGGGTTGTGTATGACCCCGTTCGTTTTCTTCTGTATGCTCCTTGGAAACTGAAACAATTGTGCATGACACCACTCGTTGTCTTTTCAGCGATATTAAGATACAGGGTCTAGGGCTTTGAGTGCGCAAGGGTTGTGTATGACCCCGCTCGTTTTCTTCTGTATGCTCCTTGGAGATTGAAGCAACTGTGTATGACCCCATTCGTGTCCATTTTCGACGGTTTTAGGGTGTAGGGTCTAGGGCTTTGGGTGCACAAAGTATTGTGTATGAACCCCGTTCGTTTTCTTTTGGATGTTCTCTGGAGACTTTTTCCAACGGGTCTAGGGCTTTGGGTGCACAAGGGTTGTGTATGACCCCGTTCGTTTCCTTCTGTATGCTCCTTAGAAATTGAAATAACTGTGTATTCAGTGATGCTCATGATGCGCTTAGCTTTTCTGCGTACTGTCTTCATGCTCACTCAGCCGATGAAGCTAGAGCTTTCATCACCCCCCTCCGGGTCTCAAGTCTTAGGGCTTAGAACTCAATTTTGAGGTGAATTTGAAAATGCAGGGTTTCGTTCAGGGATCTGGGGTTTCCGCATTTAGGATTATGTTATGCAAATCTTCAGGGCAATGCCTGGAGACGGAGTCTACCCCGGCCCCCAAAGCCTAAAAGCCCTGAGCCCAACACTCCACTCGTAAACCCCTAAGCCTTAAACCTTGTAGCTCACTAAACCCACAACCCTGAACAAAAAAACCCTGAAACCTAAACCATGAACCCCAACACGTTGCGCCCCAAAGCCTGAGGCCCTAAACTCTCAAAGCCCCACGCTTCCCTCAGCTCCTGGAGGTCGGAGGCTTAGAGTTCGATCTGATGCCAGCGCCTTTGGCCGCCCTGGACACCACGGTTTGCTGGTGGGGCTCCCGGAATTGGACTCTCTTCGTGGGGTTTGGGTCCTGGTTTAGGGGTCTAGTGGGGCCAGTGGTCTAAAGCGTTTTGGGTTTCAGGTGGGGTTTTACTGGTTCTGGGGTTTTTGGGGTTTAGGGCTCCAGGGCGGTGGGGTTTAGGAATGGAAGCCAATAACATCCGGTCACGGTTGGCTTGAGCAGTCTTGGGCGGTTTTCGGATGTAGGCACATCCTTGGTTCAGAATGGTTGCGAGAGTTTTGAAATGAAATCATGTCCGTTTCACGCTACGTGCTTGGGGTTTCTTTTTTCTGCTCGCGCCGGTTGAAGCTGAAGAATGCCCGCTTTAGTGTGTAGAGATTGTCATGATGAGGACCTGGACACATCACCCCGATTGGGCAAATCCTGGACCCATCACACCGATTGGGCAAATCCTACCATCCCTGTTTGCGAGTTTGAAAACAGGTCGGATCAAGAATAGTAGGATCAAGGTTATCCCTTACACACCCCTGATATCGCATACAGAACCTGAGTAGGACCCCTAAGCCAATGTCTCCAGGCCCGACAAGCAGCCAGGGGGAGTGGACTTGAGCGTGCTGCGTACGGAGATTCGCTCCGGGGGCATTCTCCTCTTCAGCAGGACTAGTGCTTGGGGGTTTCAGGGTTTCATTGTTTGGGCGTTATGTGTTGGGGCTTGGTGTTGGAGGTGTAGGGGCAGTTCGGGTTTCAACATCTTCTGTTGTTTCAAGTCATTCCCATCAGTTGCAAGCGAACGAAATTACCGACCCCCAACGTGAACCCTGAACCCGGAAGCTAAACTCTGAACCGAAGCCGTGGACCCCAAAGGCCTTCGCCTGTAGTTCTCACAACTCTAGGAATCGTACAATATACTCCAGAACACCTGTGGCAGGACCCTGCGCTTGACCAAGCGGTTCGGCGGAAGCACGGACTTCACGAACTCGAACACGTGACTTACTTCAGTCCAGTCACAGGCTTTGATTTGAGCTTTCAGCCGGACAGCTTGAGTCCGAAGCCCGATATCCATAGGCCCTAGGCCAGAAAGTGAACCCCGAGGCCCAAAACCCCAAACTCTAAGCTGCATCCTTGGACCAGAGCCCTCAACTTTGACCCGAAGCTCCGTCCTGGCCTTGGGGTAGTTTGTGCTCACGCAGATTTTGGACTTTTGGGTTTTATGCCTGGGATTCAGCCCCACCTTCCAGCCGACAGCCGTTTGGGCTGTCGGGGTTTCAGGGTTCAGGACCTTTAGGATGCGAAGGTTTCGGGTTACACGGCTTAGGGGGCCACGTCTCGAGAGTTTTTGGGCACTTCAAGGCTCGGGTGTTCTGTGGCTTGGGGTTTTGATTTTGGTCCTTTCTGATTTTGGGTTTGAAGGTTCGGTGCGCACGAGACCTGGCGCAACCCCATCGGCATCGCGGTGGGCCAGCATCTTCGAGTACAGATTAGGTTCGGGCATTAAGGCATTAAGCTAGATTGCCTGAGCCTTTGCACTGTACACAACCAATTCGAGATGTGTTAGGTGTGCTTGGGCCTGAGTACAGGGTTTGTAGGTTTTGGGGTTTTGCAGGGTGTTACAGTCAGGTAGGTCTTGCTCACTTTGGGGAAGAGCCCCGCCGTTTCTGGAGTTTAAAGAAAGACGGGCTGAGGGAGTTTGATTATCAGACGCCTCAACAAAAGCACTCGAGGAAATACTACCCTGACAAGATTTCACATAGTGAACAATGGAGCACACGAATACTTATGCACAAAACCCTGATGAAGGAACAAGAAGTTATGCGGGAGGAACTTGGTTGTAATGTTAAAGTAGCTGAGTTGTGCATGTTGCGAGAGGTGTATGGAAAGGTGTTTGGCCAAAAGGATTTCGAACATGAGTTATGCGGGAGGAACTTGGTTGTAATGTTAAAGTAGCTGAGTTGTGCATGTTGCGACAGGTGTATGGAAAGGTGTTTGGCCAAAAGGATTTCGAACATGTCGTGGCAGACATCTGTGAACTGTAACGAAGACAAGAAATCGATTAACAACCACTCAGAAACAGCTGAACCCATTGAAGCTCTTTCTACTACTGATGCTTGTAAAGATGCAAGTTACTGAGATGAACAGCCTCATCCTGCCAAATGTTGAATTCAACAGCCCATTCCAAAACATGGAAGAAGAGTAGGGCGAATGCTTGAAACGGTAAATGTTGAAGAACCAATCTAGCTTCATAATGAATTTTGCTACCATTGAACGAAGATTTCTACAAGCAGACCCGAGGCCATAGACTGAAGAAGCTGAGTTTTGCCTAGTTACAATCTCTATATATGGCAAGGTGTCTGGGGAAACAGTGGGCTATAGTTGAGAGCAGTTGGGCCTTCCATATGTTTAAGCAATCGCGGATATATTGGGCTACAGCTGGGCGTGTAAATTACCATTACCAGACACGGGCAAGGCCTGTCCCAACTGTTACACGTGTACTGTATCAGATTTACTAGAGGGTTTTGTCAACTGTATGGCTTTAAGCTTTCCTCAGCTGAGCCTATGGCGACTGCACATTTGGCAGGTTTCTGCTCGTCATGGTCATTTGCGTAGCAGCCATGGTTATGGCAACAAACATCATCCCACCAGCAGCATCCACAGTAGGTAGCGAGGAGAACATAGTTGAATTTAGCAAAGCTTTGGCATATGTGCATGTAGAGAATTTCCAGTTACATTTTCCTTAAACTTTAAGGACCTTAAACCTTGATCCCGCAACGTACAGGTCGCAGATGCGTTCGTTTGTTTTGGCTTGACCAATCAACACCAAGGGTACTGCCTCAGCGCTGCTGGTGACCCGCGAGCGTCGGACTTTCCGAAACCCTAACCCGAAACCCTTAAACCCTTAAGCCCTAAACCCTTAAAAACCCAACCCAAGACCATGGACCCCCCCAAAAAAACCCAATCTAATTTCAAAACCCCAAAACCCCCCCAATCTAAACCCCAAGCCCCGAAACACCCACATCTGCCTAGGCATGCGGTTGAGGACGATCGGACCCTGGAGCCGATGGACAGGACTCCACGAAGGTATTGCAAGGCTTGAAGATATTTAGGGGTTTAGGGGTTCAGGGGTTTAGGGGTTTAGGGTCTAGAGCTCTAGGGTTTAGGGTCTAGAGGTTTGGGGTTTAGGGGTTGCAGGGTTAGATGTGGAGGCTATCTATTCCAAAGACAGTCCTAGCAGATTATCCTCCTCTGAAGTCCACTGGGATTTCCACAAATTCCAACAGCTTCAAGCCAGAAGCCCCGAGGCCAAAAGACATAAAACAACATGAACATCAGCAAATCTTAAGCCACAAAACCACCCTAAACCCGTAAAGCCCTAAACCCCTGCCCTGAAGCCTAAGCCCTAAGTCCCAAGCCCCACAACATACCCGGAGGACCTCCAGCTTCTTGCAGTCCAACCACACTGAGAAGGCTAATGCCTCCGAGGCCGAATTGTAGGGTTTACTGTGAGGGTTGTGATAAGGGGTTACGGCTAGGGTACAAATCAAGGGTCAAGGGGTACTATGGGGGGTAGTAAAAGGGTATAAGGTTTGGGTTGAAATTAGGTTCCTGAATTTCTTCCTGCATAGTTTAGGGGCTTAGGTCCGCCAGTCCTGGTTCGGGCTGACTGGCTTGCGGCACGCGGGGTTTATGCAGTTTTGCTCTGATTCTTCAGGTTGGAGTCCCTTCGTGTTTTGCGCCACCTAAGGCCTAAAGGGTGAGTTTTTGAAGGTGTATTTGGGGCTTGCCGGGAGGAGTCTTTCGGTTTGACAAAGAGAGAGACTGCGGGCGGCGCCACGTAAGGCCTACAGCGCGAGCATGTTCAGGGTTAGAGTGCTGGTGGAGGTGAGAATTTAGACGGTGGTGATCCAGTGGTGATGTCTTTACGGGACTCAGAAGACTCAGATAGGCCCGAACTCAGCGGACCTCCCGCACTAATTCACATGCAGGGACTCCACTCTGAGGCCGGCATAATTACATAGTTTCAAGGCATAAGCTGCATGAATCAAAAGCGTCAAGCGCAGGAGTCTCACCCGCAGTCCTCTCATGCACATTGCCCTCCCTCCTGTTTCCTTCTAAGAGACACCAAAGTCGTAAGCGCTGAGAGGCAAGCCAGAGCTCGTTGGTTTGGGAAACGGACATGGAGGATTTCCACCTGGCGTCCGTTGACTACGGCCAGGACACAGGGGTATTGCATTTCCTTACGGTTTCCTATTATGGCTGTAGCATTTTATACGCCACACCCAACTCTGACTATGAAGGGCTCTATTTGCACTCCTTGCTTCCAGGACCTGGGTGTCAAGAAGACTTCAGAGCGGCGGGGACGGGAAGCCTTCAGCACTTTGCAGCAGAAGGCCAGAAGCGTGGGTCTTAGGTTCCTTTGATTGGGGTTCGATTTAGAGGTTAGGTTTAGGATCGGGTCTGGGGCTGTAGGCTTTCAGGGTTTTTCGGTTTGGGGGTTCGGGTTCCTTTGCGAATCTTTGCGTCCGTGGGACATTTCTTAATCGTTGCGTTATTGGGTAGAGGGGTTGCGGGTTTAGAGGCCTGCTGATGGGCCCTGAATCGGAAACGACTCCAAAAACGCTTCGGGTCGGAGCAGAGAAAGGCAAGGAGCTCCGAAAAGCAATCCTAAAAAGTGAGTAGATCATAGCCAAGACCCTGCACAAGCCTTATGAGGCCCGTATGAATTCAACCTTCAATCGGCATCGGACGCAGGGCATTTACCATCATTCTGATTGTCAGTTTCGTCTGTGCACTGCTGCTGTGAACAACTGCTACCCTGCTGTCCAGGCTTCCTCATCGGACTACTTCCAGCTTTTCAGCTTCAAGCGGCTCGGTCTTGTGTGCATCACCAATGGAAGGGCATCCTTCGCGTTCGTAGCTTCGAACATCTTGGTGGTATGAAAGGCCCAGAGGCTCATCGGGTTCAGGGTTGGGGTTTAGGGCTTCGGGTTTAAAGTTAAGGATGGTGGTGATGGCTTCGAGGGTTTTGTGGTGTGTAGGTAAGCTGCGTGTTAAGAGTATGGGATTTCAGGTGGTGCAAGCCTGTAAATGAAATTAGAGGTCGGGCGGGGTAAGTTGCTGTTAAATGGGGACTACGAGCGGATGTTACCATTAATTACTTGGGCAGGCCTTGTAGCAGACATTCGTAGAGTTTGCGGTTTTGGGGATGAATTTTCGGGAAATGCCATTGAGAAACCCTCAAAAACCCCAGTCCCACAACCCGAAATTTCTCAGCCCAGGAATCCCGGAACGGTGAACTTTGAAATTCAGGGCCTTCTGGAGGACAACAAACTGGAGCTTGGAATGAAGGCACCGTGTTTTGAAGGTTTTCTTGAGGGTTTGTGTGTGTGTGTGTGTGTGCGTGCGTGCGTGCGTGCGTGCGTGCGTGCGGGTGTGTGTGTGTGTGTGCGTGTGTGTGTGTGTGTGTGTGTGTGTGTGTGTGTGTGTGTGTGTGTGTGTGTGTGTGTGGTTTTTCAGGGTTTAGATCAGTTTGGAGATTTGGAGCGTCTGGGGCCTTGACCGATTCGAGAGCTGACGGTACGAAGATTTTGGGTTTACGGATAAGGTCTGGGGGACGGATGTCGGTTGGGTTCAGAATCTGTAGGTGCAAAAGACGGAGATGTCTATAGGCTTTTCTGCTTCAGTTCTCGGGCCGGGTTGAGGAGAGAGCGTGCTGGCAGTTCTGCACATGAAGCGGACGCGCCCAAGCCACGGAAAGCTCCAGGAAAGCCAGGATCAATCCCTGTGCATCCATGTGCAACCCCGTTCAGCGCAAGATCAACAAATTGATAGGTTTGATAGCTTCAGCTCTCGACAAAGGGCCCTAAACCCTAAACCTCGCAAGTTGCACAAGTGGAGACAGGCCATTGGTCCTCCCCGAATTATGAATTCCAGCACTCAAGCTCACCAAAACTCGAAATTCTGCAAATGATAGGAAGAATACAGCAACAACGATACCTCTTCCGAAGGTGAATATGGGCCCCTTCTCGTCGCCAGAAAGAAGAATCCGCCTACTGGACATCGTGGACCAGTCACTCAGTTGTTTTTTTGCTATTATCATTCTGCTTCTTCTCTCTTATCAGTCTGCTTCATCTCCTTATAACCAGGGGTGCTATAGAACTTGTCCTCGCATGGCTCTTACTAGTGTGTATTTGCAGAATATGTCTAATTTCCTGGCGTTCTCTTTCAAGCTTTCGAGGAGGTGTGCCGGCAAGCATGTGTGCATGGTGTGCATGAGAATTTGGGATTAGGGTTTAGGGTAGGATTGGAGGAGCGCTGCAGCCAATACCCCTGAACTTGAAATCGTGAACATAAGCCCCGAAGGCTATGATCTTTACATCCCATAACCGATAACCCCAGAAGGAGCATCTAGGATTTAGGGGTGTAGGGTTCAGTATGGTCTTGGTGGTTCAGGGTGGTATTGTCTTCTTAAGGGATTAGAGGATGCCAGATGTCCGCTGGCATGAAGAAGCTCAAGGCTTAAGGCTTTCGCAGACTTTCGGCAGTTCAACGGTTGCATGTCGTGCTTTCAGGATTCACGGGTTTCGGGCTTAGGGGCTTGCTTCAGCGACACAGACTTGCTGTGTCGTGCGCGTGTGTGCTTAGGGACAGGCCGGTGAAGCGCCAACCTTCTCGAAGTGCCGACAGTGTCGTTTGTTGTTCGTTCCGCTGCCATCGGCGATTGCGCAGTCCGAAGGCCCAAGGACACACTAGATGCGAAGCCTTAAACTCCGAGGCTTAGCCACTTGACCCCAAGCCCTAAACCATAACCCCGTAATCGGAAGCCGCAAAACCCCAGACGACCTTCGCTTCAGCGAGGTTTTCCCTCGTACTGACGGCCATGCCTTTCGTGTCCGCAGAAACCAAGGTGCGCATTGATGTGTGGAAGGGTTCGGGGCTCAGGGTTAGGAGGTTTAGGGTTCCGGGGTTGGGGCTTTTTGGTTTCGGTTCTGGAGCATCGTACCAAGAACCTTTTGACGTAGAAAACAGTCAGGCGAACCCGGTGTGCTTCTCGCGCACGCTTCGGCAAACGAAGGCTCCAAGAGAAGCTCCCCAAAACACCCCGAAGGGTGCCTGCGCTTTTCATTGTCAAACCCCTCAACTCTGAAGGCCCGGAATCCTGAACCCTGCCCACATCGCTTACACGCTGAATGCCCACCGGAACAAGCAGGCGAAGGCCATCCTCGCTCTTCAAGGCTTCACTGGTGACGATGTGGGGCAGGCAGGGAGATCAGCATGATGATGCCCACAACTGAGTCTCTTTCAGTGTGCTTCTGCTGTTTCCTACCACACTATATGTTACTATACCTAAATTGTGATGTGTTATATTGCATATTAGGCATGGAAACGTTCAGAACTCGAGCCCGCTGCGCTTTTCGAAGGTGGCGGTGGCAGTTCCACCTCCGGCACTCCGCCCCGGTAGCACCATCGCCTTGTGCCCGAGCCTTTTTGGACTCTTCTTTGGGTGGAGGGGCCGAATTCTACCCGAATTCCTAAACCCTGGAAGCTTGGAGGCGTAGGATTCAGGCTTTTCGGTTCGACTTTAGGGTTCGCATCAGAGGGAATGCCATCACTTAGATACCTGAACTGCCGTTTCGGCCTCAGGAGCTGCTCGGCCCGGCTTCTTCTTAGCGTAGAATCTAAGAAGGTCCCTTCTGTACACTGCTAAGAGGGCCTGGATTGTCTTAGATAGTGGTCCATGTTGGTTTCAAGGAGGGTATCAACCTCCCCTGTCTTCCCCATCTCTGAAGGCAGAGATAGTCCATGGTTCATGAGCTTTAGGGGCAAGCTTTCGGCGAAACCTAAACCCTTTCATCATGGAAGCCCGCAAAACACCCGTCCCACGATCTGAGCCTTGAACCCCAAATCCCTAAAGCTTTGAATCTCAAGCCCGACATCAACCCTGAGAGAGTCCCTAACACCTTAAAGCCTTATAACTTATAACGCACCAAGGTACAATGCCAGGTGGCGGCGATATCTCCGGATGAACGATGAGGCCGGCGATTTTCACACCCCAAACCCCACTCTACTCTTGAACCCCAAACGTCAACGCCGAAGTCAGGGCCTAGACCCAAAACTCATTCATTCTCGGCGTTGGCGGGCATCTTCCGCTGTGCATGTGCCCGAGCCGTTCGTGAAGGTTTCTGGCCCATCTTGAACTCGTTTTTCGACTCTGGCAGCTTTGACGATGGGGGTCGCTACTCTCTCCTCTTCCGTTTTGCTCAGCCCATGGAATGCCGAAACTCGGTGCTCTCGGACCCCAACTTCGTGGCGCTGAAAGAAGAAACTCCCGAACCCAAGGAAAGGATTCGACCTCCCTTCGTGTTGACGCACATCAAAACAGATGTCGGATCCCTAAGCCATAGAGTCCGAGCCTAACATCCACGCCGCCCTGCCTAACGCCCCAAAGGCCCAAATCTTGGGCCCTTCGAGACGCGAAGGCCGATATGGATGGCAGCAGCAACAAGGACTTCGAGGACGCGTTCCCTTCGGACTGGAACTGGGAGCGCTTCACGGTGGCGGCGGCCCCAGAGATCTCCTTTGCAGCGGCTCCAGTGGGTTCTTCGTAGGACTTGCTGATTCTGCATGGGCCACATGTGGTTAGTAAGGGTTTGGGGTTTTTGGCAGTAGGGCTTTGTAGGCCTGATCTGCTTAGTCACAACCAGACACTCCCTCTGCCAATAGAATGCCAATACAGCTATGAAGAGCTATGTGAAGTGATACCCAAGATCTGCACGCGAAAGGCTTCATCGTTTTCGAGCGTGCGGGATTCGCAGCGGATACACACAGGTACATATAAAAGAAGACGCACAGGCTGTTTATTCTGGTCCTGGTTGCGGAAGGTTGACTGCCGGCAGGCCCAGAAGGCACAGGTTTCGTTTCGCTTCAACTGACACCTCACATTCTAATTTCTGCGGCTCAACGTGTGTCGTATGCCAAGTCACCAATCATTATGATCTGGCGACTGTTATCCAGTCACCACTATTGTACCATGACTGCTCAATTCGGCCGTTGTCAACAGGTCCTCGGCATTGCTATGCCGACGATGAACTGAGAACTGGTAAAAGCTCTTACCAGCACAGTCCTAATCGTCGCCGTCGTCGTTGTATCGGGACAAGGACTAGTACTAGTGCTGGTGCCAGTGCCAGTGCCAGTGGTGGCGCCCGTGCTAGTGCTAGTGACTGCTAGAGCCAGTTACTTGTGCAAGTAGTAGTACTGCTAGTACTAGTCGTAGTAGTAGTAGTAGTAGTAGTAGTAGTAGTAGTAGTAGTAGTAGTAGTAGTAGTAGTAGTAGTAAGAATAGTAGTAGCAGCAGCAGCAGCTGGTGTGGTTGTTTAGTCTAGCTGTCATAGACAGTCGTTAAAGCAGGAGAAAGAGCTTGTAACGGCTAGAAGCCTGAACCCGGTACAGAGCCCCAAACTCCAAAGCCCCTAAAGCCCTGAAGCCCTAGATGCCTGCACCCTTAGCCCCTAATTCGCCAAGACCTTCAACTCGTTAGCTCCTGGCTGTCATGCTCAAGCCAGGTGGATGCTGGAAATGGGAAGATAGCCCTGCACAGCAGCAAGCACAATCGCTTTGTAAAGATGGCTGGAAATCGCGATATGATGGCGGCCCGTCAGCTTTCCATCAGGGTTTGGGGGTATATCAGGGTTGAAGGTGTAGGGTTTTTGGTCCCGGGTTCAGGTTTCGGGGTTTTAGGGTTTGGGTTTTGGATTTTGGGTTTAGCAGGCTCAGTGGCAGCACATTTTCGGGTTTAGCTTCCGGGTAGCTCCGAACCTTTCTCAAAATCTAGACCCTGGACCCAAGACCTGATGCCGCAAGCTTACCGCCCACGTGACAACGCCAACGGCCGACGGGGAAACCCCAAACGTTACTACCCGTACCCTCAGCACCCTAAACTCTAAACCCTTAAATCCCTGCCGGAAGCCCAGATCCAAGAAATGCCAGCCGCCCTTTTTATGAGGCCAGCCCGGTCAAGGCCGCCAACAAGCTGCCAAGCTCATGGTCGTCCGAGCGCTTCACAGCGGTCTACGTGGGAGATGGCGAGATTGGGCTCCACAACTCCGTGCGAAACCGCAGCTCCGGCTTGGCAGAGCTCGGTTTTTGAGTTCGGTTGTACGGTTTAGCTTAGAGCGAGAGGTATGGGTTTGGGTTAGGCCCTAGACGTTTTGGGGTTCACTTGGTCGCTCTTCGGAATCCTGTGTGTTTTTGTACTCGTTTCGCAAGGAAGTCCATGAACAAGCTTTCTAGCCGTTTCTTCCTACAGGGGATCCACTTGAGGGTAACGGCTTCCGGGTTCCGAGGGGCTCCCGACGATTCTGTTTGGGGCCTCGAGAAGCGAGGTTACATCCGACTGGGCAGCAACCGCAAATGCGACGCCAGCACTGAACAGAGTGCCGCTGGCATTCGTGACGGATGGACCTGGGAGCGGTTTAGGGTGAAGGAGTTGCAGCCTTTCTTGAAGCCAGGCCCGGATAAAAACTGCCGTTGAAGCCCTGAAGCCCGAACCCTACTGTAAAACCCTAAACCCTAAGGCCCTAACCCATACAATAAAACTGTAAGCCAAGGCCTCATCCCCAACTCCCCAACCTTCCAAACCCTGGAGCCCACAAGATGCTTGCAACTGGAACCTTACCCCAAAACCCCGGGCAGCTGCAGAATGAGTAAGCTCGACAGGCACCATCGTTGCCCTCCACAACGCAAAGTGGAACCGATTCCTGCGCATGAACAGTAACTGGGTCCCAGCACTAACACCTCATTGTGGTTGCTGCCCTTCTTTGTAGGAGAGAGGTCGGAAGACTTGTGAATACATACGGTTAATTTTCACCGTAGTCCCTAGAGAAATTTTAGTATAATAAATATGCCGATTTTAATTGTTGCGGCCGCTACATTAGCCTCTTTTCTTCTTTGTTCCCTAAGCTCTAAGCCCTAAGCCTCAGGTGGCGCCGACATGGATCGAAGCGGTGAGAAGGCAGCTAACGACCTTCCTGTCAAGTGGAGTCACTTGACTCCTGCTCTGGACCAAAGGAAATTTGGGAATAGGGGCTTTGGGGTGATTTATAGGGGCTTTGGGGTGATTATCGGGGCTTTTGGGGTGTTGTAATGTAGAAGTACCTAGACCTAAACGCTAGTATTGCAGCTGCTCTTTGGTCCTCAAACCCAAACCCACATGCTGTGAAGAGCTTTTGGGCCCGGCTTATCCACGAAGCCCAAAATCCGCGAGCCCCGAACCCCATTATTTCTGTCTTAGAAAACAGTATCAACCCCGTGCAGCTTTTCTGAAACCTGTGAACCCTAAACACCGACGCCTATGCCCTGCATCGTGCTCGCAGGAACGTAGTAGCTGAGTGAGAGAATGCCGTCAGGTGTACGCCCCTGCAGACATGAAAGCTGAGTTTGAGGCTTAGGGCTTCAGGTCCTGCTGGCGACTCCGTGGTGGTACATTCCCCGTCGCCGGTTGCGCCATCATTCTCGGGCTTATTCGGGTTTGGGATTTAGGACTCCGAGGGCAAACCAGGAGACCCCCCCCCCCGCACCCAAAATCCCACACCTTTACGCCTGAGCCCAAACCTTTGAGCCAAGCAAGCCCTGAAGCAATAGACTTGACAGTCTGCATCCCCAAACCAATCAGAGCCTCAAAGAATGCTCGAGAGAAAACAGGCGAGCGACAAGACAAGCAGTATTGAGCAAGACATTACAGACACACTGAAGACAAGAAGCACGGAACAGACAATTAGCAATCCGTAAACCCCCCAAAAACCCTTCACATCCCTAAACACACTAAACGCCAACATGCTTGAAACCTAAAGCTAAGGAAAACTTTACAACTTTAGATTCTAAGCATGACAATCCGATGGCAATAACAGCCGTTGCCCCGAACCAAAGGTTGGGAACGCTTCCTGGTCGTGGATGCCAAGAACGGGCAGGCCCGGGGGAGGTCTTGTTTGTGTTCATTGTTTTCATTTGATTCATGGTTAATCCTTCATCTCGCTACAAATGTTATCATTCTCATTTTTCTTATTCTGACTTTGGTTTTCCTTATGCTTGCTCTTAATCTTATTCGCATTTTCGTTTTGCTCGTAGTCTTCTCACCGTCTTGTATTGATAGTCATATTCTTATTGTTATGATATTTCTTAGTCCTACTCTTGTCTTTATTATTGATTTCAGAACGTTTTCTTTCTCAATTGGTTTTGATAATAGTCTTGGTGTTTTCCTGATTCGTGCTGGAGCTGTGCCGGGAGTGTTTTGCGCCATAAAGGTTTACGGACTGAGCTCCTTCATTCAGGGCTGTTGACAAGGCCTTGTTGGTTTCAGAGGTTGCTTTGTTGTGTTAAGGTTCGTTTTCGGGGGGTGAGGATTCATCGTTTCTCAGGCTTAGGAGTGGCCGGAAAGGGTCTTGCGATGTAGACACAGGGCATGAGTCAGTCGTCGCAAAGCGCGGAGCAGAGTTGTTGATAGCTCGACAGGTTGATGTCGGTGGGCCATCGCGATCAAGGCGATGATGGATGATGATTGAACCACGTGCTTAGGGACTTTGGGGTTTCAGGCTATGGCGGGGTGTTTCGGGCGGTGTTGCTAATGGCGATGATGGCGACGATGAAAGCATGCGGGAAGAACGGAATTGTGCTCGGGCCGTGAGCTTGAAGACCCTCGAACCCTGAAGCCCACGGCGAGACCCTGAAGTCCTACACATGAGCAGCTGGTGACAGCAAGAACTGTCGACCCGAATGCCTTGACCGTCAGTGATGGCAGGAGGGGGCGAGAGGTGGGAGATTGTGACGCGACAGGAAGCACTGCAACCATGAGCTCTGAACACTTAATTGACGAGCTGTTGTGTTCTCGCGAAGCATCGGAAGCACGCGGTGCACGCAGCACACCAAACCACCCGTGGGTGAGTTTATGATACAAGGGGTGGCGATCTGACTTAGGGACTTAGGGTTGAGGGCTCTGACATGAAAGTTCAACCTCTTAAATTTCTGACAGACTGGAAGTTCAATTCTAGGGCTTAGGACTGAGGTTTGAGGTTGTAAGACTTGGCACTTCCCACCCTCGAAAGGTGGCGCTGCACAGTGCAAAGTGGAATCGCTTCGTAAAGATGGATGGCAGTGAGATGCTGGCCAGCTTTGGTGGGTGTTTGTGTGGTTTTTTGGGCTTTGGATAGGTTTCGATACGCCTTACTAGACAAGGGCTTTATGCAGGTTTGCATGGTTTGGGAGGGCTGGAAGGTTTCGAGATTTGGGATTTAAGTCTTAGAACTAGGCGTTGTGAATCTTTGGTTTCGGTTTTTGTGGGTTGTGTCTCTGCGTACAAGTCACGCGAAGCCCCGAACCCCTAAATACGATCTTGCAGCCGTTGCTGGGTAATCACGATTTACCTAAACCCGATGTACACCCTATGAACCCTCACCCTCATAACTCATATGCGCTTTCAACCTTGACATTGCAGGTAGAGGCTAGCAAGCCTGAGAAAGGCACGAGGTATCTTCGGCTTTGCCTTGAATTGTTTTGGAAGCTCCAGCCTATAGTACTTCAGCAGCGCCAACATTCACCATACACATCATTCCTTTGCGATCCGGATAGATCTATCAGAGTAAATTCTCGGGCCTTATCGAAACCTTGAGCCCAACTTGGAACTTGACTGCAAAGTGACCCGAGTCCTTCGTTTGAAATCATGTGCATTCCTGGAGGCCAGCAGTACGAAGAATGCAGATGCCCTGCCAAACAGCTGGACCCACGAGAGATTTGCCGTGGTGTCTGCCGGCAACGGGGAAATTGCCCTCCACAACACCCATCACAATCGCTTCTTGGGCGCGGAGTGCAGTTGGTATTATATAGCTTTTTGGGGCTTGAAGCCGAAACACCTGAAGGCCAAGCAGGCCAGCTTTTCCCGCTTAGCACGTAAGGCTTTGTTCGCATGAACTCGGATGACGTCGACGCCAGCAGCAGCAAGCAGCCGCAGGATCTGCCTAGCAGCTGGACGCACGAACGGTTTCGGGTGGTAGTGACCTACGACCCCGATACGTCCTCCGATAGTTCTGGAGATCCCAGCTGGTCCTTCCAAGCACGATAGACACATGGCAGCCAGATGAGAAGATGAAGCTGGTATTGCTGATGCAGTCGGCCTACGGAGCCAGGTCCTGTGCCTTCGTTGCCGTGCGGAGAAGACGGTGCACTGGGTGCCTGCAGGATGTAACAGTACCTTTAGCTTTGCCACTGCGCAGAGTTTACCAAAGTTTAGTTTTCAGCTTCAAGATGCCACCCGCTGCATCCGGGCGTCCCGCACCTGAGTTCCGCAAAAACTCGTGCTAGAGCCTCAGCCTGAATAGGCTTTCGGATCTCACGGCGCTCGAGGCCTGACGAGGTTTCGGGCTTGGGGTTTAGGTTCTTGGGTTCGGAGCTTCAGTTTTGATGTTCGAAGGTGCAGGGTCAGGGTATTGTGGTCAAGGAACTTCAGCAGCGATGGCTGCAGATGCAGCACACCAACACATGGTCGGGCAGTGCGGTTTACCACAGTCTTTGCTGGTCATTCTTTCAAGCTATGCTAATTGTCGGGGAGCCCCATGCAACACAAGCACATGACGTAGTTGTAGGCAAGAACCGTTTCATCGTCCACATGACAGCTGCCATTGTCTCCATCGTCGTCATCATCCTCATGCACATCCTCCTCCTCATTGTCATCACCATATCCATCGCCATCATCATCATCATCATCATCATCATCATCATCATCATCATCACAATCGTCGTCGTCATCATCATCCTCAGCAGCAGTACTAACTTTGAGGTGAGCTCCGGGATTACTCACCTCCCGAACTTGCATCTTCGCCGCTATCATAGCAGCGCCAAGCGAAGCACTACAGTGGACGTGCAGTCCACCACCCTGACTCCGAAGACCGTTAACATTTGAGATCTTTGTCCGAGACCCTTCCAAAGCTCTTGAGCCTGGGCTCTTCAGACACCCGACCGAGCCAAATCGAGGGCCCATGACGCCAGACTATCCACCGACGTCCAAATCCACCAAACATGCAATACCATGCAATACCATGTACCACGACTGCAAGAACGCATGATGCCCACCCTTTCCGAGCCCCGTCTTGGCCGATCTCAGCTGCGCACTCAGCAGGCTTTGAGAGGGGACTGTGCTGCACTTGATGCAGAGGTTTAGGAGCAGAGGCTCACTGAGTTGATGGTGTAGGGTAAAGCACAAACCCAGGTCATTCCCGGTTTCTTCTCACTTGCGCCGGACGAGCCCGTCTTGTTTTGCAACATTGTTATAGTGTTCGTTCGGTATCCTTAATATGGTGACCTGAGCTTCACCCCTTTAACAAGCTTTGGTGGCTTTGGGCTTCAAGCGCTCTTTCTCTGTCGGGCGGGTCTGTTGCGAATGCTCTTCGACGACGCCAACTGTTTGCTCCGGCTCAAGGCTGGCGACCTCTTGTGCCTTCAGTTCAGCAATGCGTGACCGTGCGGCAGCCCTGTATTGCATCTCTCGCCTGTGCGCGGCATCAGGATGAGAAGGCCAAGCCAGAGAAGCGAGGAGTCCATTCAGAGCTTGACGGTTCCAGACGAGTGGCCTGACAGTGATGCAAGAGAGGCTTGCAGCGTCGGCAGCTCCATGACGATCCCCAACCTTGACATGGCACAAAGTCCTGGAGGAAGCATAGGATCCGTGCACGAGGTCATGCTCGAGATGGATGAGATGTTGCCACGCGTGGTAGAACAAGTTACCCGGATGCTGGGGCATTGTTAAGTGCAGCTGTCGTTTGCTTGCGTGCATAGGTGCACAGAGCTAGTAAGGGGGACAGGTTCGAGCTTTTGAACCCCAGCAATATCCCAGGATGGATGTGGTAAACCCGGAGGTCTTGAGGGTGACGCCAGTGTTTCGTGCTTTGGAGCATTTTGCTGTAGCTTTGCGGTTTGGATCTGACGAAGACTTCTACCACAAGAGCCGTAAAAGTACAAAGATATCGACGTTTTGGAGTCACTCTTGGCACGGAGGGCAGTGGAAGAAAATTCTCACGCTTGTGATCCTCTACAACGGCACTGCCGCAGTTTCCTTGGCTTTTCTCACCGGCATGTTGATGATGGTGCTTTTCAGCTTTGGGACTCTGCCTGGAATTAATCGTGGATGGTGGGTTGCCAATTGGGAGTGGTCTTGTTGGTCGACTGCTTCAGGGTTTGGCGTAGCAAGTTTGGTGCTGACTTGTTGGCGATCGCAGACGAGGGTCTTCCTAGATCGCATTTGTATCAGCCAAAACGACGATCGCCTGAAGACCGACGCCATCCTAAGCTTGGCTGGGCTCTTGAAGAACTCCGACACAATGCTGATTCTCTGGGACCCGACATGGACTGAGAGGCCGGGGTAGGGCCTAGGGCTAGATCAGACAGAACCCCGCCCCCCGTCGTGGATGTGGAAGCTAAGCCAGTCCATAGCTTTGGCGAACTTGCGAATCTGTTTCGGATGTTTTGCTTTTGATACTTGCGTGGCTCTTTTGTTCTAATTTTGGGGAAGACCTCACCCGAGAGGTTGTGGTGCTTGTTTGAGCTTGCGGCCTTCCTAAAAAGCAAAACGACGCAAAAGCAGCACCTTGTTGTGAGACCCATCTTCTTCGGGCCTCTTTCCATCGGAATTTACATTACTGTTTTTGCCCTGGCATTGCCGATCTCGACAGTACCTATCCGCAACGAAAGAACCATCGTGGAGCTGCTGTGTGCCATGGTGTTGTCGTCTTTGGCAGTTGCCTACCCGACTGCCCGCACTGTCCGAAGCTACTTCAGAGATCTGGACACCATGAAGCTGCAGTTGTTGTCGATCTCTGTTGACTCTACACGGAGTGCATGCTGCGATCAGGACCATGTGAGCCCTTCAGGCGGAAGTATTCTCTGTGACCGTAAGATGCCTGGCCATTCTACATCTTTCAAAGCATGTCTGTCTAAAGAGCGTTTGTTTATTTTTTCCCATTGCGAAGCACGAATGATCGCTCGTTGCTGGTCCGGAAAGCTACCCAGGATCGTGAAAGAATGCGTGAAGATTTGGTTTGGCAGCGAGATGTCCTTTGAGAACACGGTGCGCACCGAGGTTTTGGACCTTTTGAACCGTGACCTCACCGAGAAAGTCTTCAGCACTCCATGGGCTTTGGGAGTGACTTCTCCAATATTTCTGGCTTTCATGGACGTCTCTGCCAGCATGGCTGTAGAACCAGACGATCAGCAGCCCGCTCTTGCTCTTTTTCTGGAAGGTCTAGTGATCTGGTTGTGTTATGTTCCAGCTGCCAAGGATGTCATGATACTATTGGTCAGGCTTGGTCGGAAGAGACCGAGGAGCACCTGTCTTGAGATTCTCAAGAACGCTGTGGTGGTGGCAGCTGCGGCTAGCCCTGTCTTTGTAGTGCTCGTAACTTACGGCTCCACTCGATTTGTCGAACCCATTGCACTCCCGCGCGCAGGGATTTTTGTATGCTGCGCACTGCTTCTTGGAGCGTGCAACCTCCTCTTAGGCCTTGGTCTGAAGGCATTGCTACGGCGGCCTGGGTGGTAATTCCCCTTATCTGCGATCCCTTTAGAGGGAGCCCCCCCCCATGCATTTTTCGCAGGATGCGCCTCAAAGGGGATGCCATCTTCTTCGGGTCGATGTTTCGCGGTGAGCTTGCCGCCATGCTGCTAAAACCAACCGTTGGTACAGAGGTGGCAGCCACGGTGTCTCCGCCCATAGTCACCCTTGACAGTTCGACCCTACGAGACCCTTAAAGCCTTAAATGTAGTACCCAGGTAGTATCAGTCCACAATGCTGCAGCAATCGGCCGCCTGGAGCTGGTGCGCCTCTAGGGGGTGGAATCGGCTTACGGAGGGATGCTGGCTGGGTAAAGTCTCACGTTTAGGGCCCGGCTTTTTTGTGCACAATGCTGGCTATGGTTACGGGGGCTTAGGCTGTATAATGCCTCAGGGGTTCTTTGGCTTGGGGTGCAGAGATAGGCTTGTAGAGTATGGTTCCATGGGCATACATGAGACCCATGGGATAAGCTGTTCATTTGTACAGGGTTCAGGGCCTATTGTGGAAAATGCTCCTTAAACCCTAAACCGAGTTCTGGTCACCCGTCCCAACCCCGGTCGGAGCTTCCCTAGGACTCGACAGACTTGTTGTCTACAGTTCGGCACGGCGGGGTTACGCAGAGGGTGTTGGTGGATTGCTGAGAAGTGCGTGGTTGGTAGCTTCTGTCCGTGTGGGTCTAGGTTTGCAGTGCAAGGCCTTCGTGGTTAGAGTCATTCAAGGGCTCAGATAGGGTTTAATGAGGATTCTTGTAGCGACCCGCAAGCGCTGAACCCGACACCCCAAGCCCTAAAACCCGAAAGGGTATGCCGGGTTTTTGCTGCTGATGAACCCGAAGCCCTAGGCTCTAAACCCTACACCCTACATGGTCTTGAGTTCCGGACCCCCTGCAAACCCACCAAATCTCAGAGAAAGAGAGAGAGAGAGAGAGAGAGAGAGAGAGAGAGAGAGAGAGAGAGAGAGAGAGAGAAAAATTCAATATAATAAACTTATGGAGAACATAGTATACGAGCAGTGTTTGACAGTGTACTGTGGTATACTATAGTCTACTATAGTATTCTACTTTCCAAATGCCCATGCAGAAGTTTCCAACAGGATGCATGAACCTCTTTGCGCCACTTAAGCTTAACGGCACAAGGCTGCTTGTCTTTTCCTGGAAAGGATGGATGGATGGTCTGAATATGCGAAGGATGTCTGCTTGCACTGTGCGCAAGGAAATCAGAACCATGCTCAAATTAGTTAGAAAAACAGCGATCAGCCATGCCTGCGTGCCTGCTGGATAAGCACACGCCCATCAATAACCCGAGGAATCGGGCACCGGAAAGGGTTTAGGGTTAAGGGTTTGCAGGTTCTGTTTCCAGGCTCATCTATGAAATGTCCCTTCGAGTAGCATAAACAAAACCGTAAACCCTACAACCCGAAATCCCCATCCCCTAAAGCCTATGTAGGGTTTCGGGCTCAGGGCTGTTAGCGCATATGGGATTCGTGGTTTATTAATGGTCTAAGGTTTAGCCCGACAGCCCTGTACCGGTATAGCTTGTGTCGACAGGTTCCAATTACAAGGTTTTCCAACCTGAGGCTGTCGTCAAGGTTTAGAGGCCTAGGGTTCAACGCCGTCAGCCCTAAACCCCAAACCCCTAGCCCTTAATCCCTACACCCAGGTGTCAAGGGCCCCTGGCGGCATTCTACGCCTTGATCAAAGCGCAGGGCAAGACCTACCTCGGCCAGTGTCAGCCGGTGGCTCAGGGCCTGCAGAGCTGATGAGTTTGGGATTTCAGGTACTTGTGGGGCTGTTCTGGTTTGAGGGCCCAAATCCTTCGCCCTGATTCACTAAATCCTAAGCCTCGGGCCCTGAAACTTAGCTCCACACTGACTCACTCACTCAGCCGTCCCAAGAAGTCCAGAGCGATGCATGAATCCTGCTATAGGAAAACCCGGAGCACAGTGCGGATCACAAAGGTTAGCTCCACACCCTAAATCCTAAACAACCCCTAGAGTCCAAAAACCCAAATTTTGAACCCCAAAACCGGAGCTTTCTTGAATCACTCCCCCTTGTTACAAAGCTCGTTTGTCTATCTAGAACTAACTCCCCAAACCCAAAGCCTTCAGAACCTGGAGCCCTGCAAAAACGTTATGAACCCCCCGCAAAGACTTTGAATCCGGCAAGACATTCCGTAAACCCTAAACCCGAAACCACCTGAACCTGAGCCAGGAAGGCCCCGAAAGACTTTGGGTTCAGACGGACACCATGCCGATGCTTACGCGTCTCGTCTGGCTGGTCTGAGGACGATGTGAGCCTAGTGAGCCTTACTGCTAAGTGGGTAGGTTCCATGTTTAGGCATTAAGACTTGCGGCGCCATGCTTGGTGAGGAAGCCCTAAACCCCAAGCGCTGACGTGGGAATCCCGTGCAGGTTGCAGTTGCAACTCTGTGCCCCCGAAGCAGACATACCCTATAAATGTAGCTTTCCCGACTCCTCTGATCTTGCTGTTGAAATGCAGCTTTGGGCTCATGGATCCGGGCTGGCCTGGGTCTGGCTTAAGTTGCTCCTGAGCTGCAGCTTCAATGCGTCGCATCTGTTGTTGCTACGCGTCCTGATGCTGCGAGTGTGGAAGGCTTCTGGCGAAGAACTGACTTCAATCACAAGGGAGGAGCTCACCCAGATGGCAGAAGCAGATGGCTTGCCTGTGAGGGCCCTGAAGCGGCACCTGCATCAGCTTTGCAGGCAACCTAGATTCCGGCAGAGACTGCTGTGGGCTGATGGCTCTGAGCTGACCGACAACTTGAACTTGGACGATCTCCAAGCCGGAGCCCAGGATCTGCAGCTTGTGCTGCTCCCTTGTGCTGAAACCTCCAACGAGCAAATGAATGAGCTAGATGCAGCCGCGCGGAATGACAGCGTGCTTGATGTTGAAGCCATTCTCCACAGACCCTTGAATCCATACAGAAGGCATAGACTGATGCAAGTGCCATTCTTGGTGTCTTCTGTTTGAAGGGGTGTTGGGGTGAGTTCTCTGGCCGTACGCCACTAGAGCCAAGGACCTCAAGATCCGAATTTGGGCTCAGCTTTGCATGAAGCCGCTGTATGCGGAAGTCTTGAAGTTGCAGCCTTGTTGGTGGAAGCTGGGGCAAGTATCGACAAGGAGGGGGGTCATGATAGGCAGACTCCCATGCACCTGGCTTCTGCACATGGCCACTTGGATGTGGTCCGCTTTCTCGTTCATTGTGGTGCTGACAAGGGCATGTTGGATATTCAGGGGCAGACTCCCCTTCACCTCGCTTGTGCAAACGGGCATTTGGAGGTAGTCCGTTTCCTCCTGCTGGGTACGGGCCCCAGCATTGACATGCCTGGGCCTGATGGAAACACACCTCTTCACTTGGCTTCCGCAAACGGGCACTTGGATGAGGTTCGCTTCCTGGTGCTAGATGCGGGTGCTAATGTGCACTTGCACAATGATGATGAAGAGACTCCGCTTCATCTGGCTTCAGGAAATGGACACCTAGAGGTGGTCCGTTTCCTAGTGACAGATGGAGGCGCCGACATAGACGCCCTGAACATCGCAGGATGGACTCCTCTTCACCTGGCTTGTGAGCATGGTCGCTTCGAGATAACCCGCTTCCTTGTGGCTGCAGGCGCCGATATCCACCAAAAAGATGATCAGCGACTCACTGCCTTGGAGCACGCGTCTTCCTGTGGGAACCCTGCGATTGTGGACTTCCTGCTGCGAGCACACCTCAACAAGGCCCGGTCGTGACCGTTCAGGGGAGGAGGAACTTGATTTCAACCCTGAGCTTGCGCAACATAGGCAGGGGTCTCTTCGATTGGTAGCAGCCCCTCCCAAGTCCCTTGTGGGTTCTCTAGCTTATCCCGGAACCCCATTATATTTCTTCAAGCCGCTATAGAATCAGGCACCTGTGGTATATTCTGGGTGTTTGGGGACTGGTGGGCTCGCCTTGCAGAGCAAACTCTTGGATATGAGTGGGCACGATCAGGATCGACCTTTACATTTATGTTTGTAGGCGTTGATTTACTGCATTAAGTAAAGCTTTCGGCTCGTGCTGTGTATTATAACATATCACGATGTTACATGGTATCCGTCTTGATTCGTAACATGAGATGGTGCACGGCGTTTGTAACATTCCGCTGTGTTCAACACAAGTTCTATGTAGCTGTGCAAGCTGTGGTGGGTTGGTAAAGACTTTTGTTGGTACATACTGTATGCCTCATGATGTCTAGATTTATGTTTGGGTTGTCATGTAGACAGGACACAATACTCCAACACTCGATTCGCGGTAGATTTCATCCTGCGCCGTGTATTCGACTCTGTACAATGGTATACGTTATGCTCAGACACACGGAGATTTCTGAATCCATTCATGTGCACAAGTTTGGCTGTGTTGGCTGGAGCTGTGCTCGTTTACATAGGTACGACCTCATGCTTGGACCCTGTATTCGACAAAGCTGGCTGGCTGGCACGGTTGTCCGAATGGAACACACAAAGCATGAATGAACTGCTATAACTAGCTAGCCAGCTAGGCAGTCAGGGAGGGATATAGGTTTGCGGCTGGTTTTGTAGGTGCTTGTGTACGGGAATAGGGATGCCCTTATCTGTGTCTCGGAACAGCTGCATTGATGAAACTGAGTTTGCTTTGTTGAAGAATCTCAAACCCTAAACCCTGTAAAAGAAGACTTCCTAAGCACCCTGAGCTCTCTTGACGATGATCTCCTAAGCCGCAAACCCTGCAGGAGCATGTTCAGAGCGAGGATGCAGCCCCTGCTGCAAAGCGAGTCTGTCGCAGGTGCCCGGCCAGAGCCCAGGGCCTGCGAGACCATACCAACTCACCCGAGCCCGAAAGGCGATGCGTGGTACAGTAGCACTGAAGGCTCGAGGCCCGCAGCATCTGTACATAGAGAGCGTTAAAGCTTGCGGGCCTTCGAAGCATCGTCATCCCAATGCCTGCTTCCCGAATCAGCGACCCCGGAGCAAGTTTTTGGTAAGGCTACTGAAATGCAGAAGGGTCTCACCCTCGGGGGCGCAGTGGCGGGGCGGGTTCTGGAACAGCAAAAGCGGAGCGATTGGGATTTGTACGTGATTGTCTGCGGTTCATTGCCAGCTTCACCAGGAATTGCAAACTTCATGCTTACTCTAAACAGGACCTGTGTAACCTTATGTGCAAAGCTTCGAAAGAACAAACTCTGCTGCTCCCGCAGTCCTGCGAAAGCCCGTGCACTATTACCTGTCTCCAAGGCCGAGACATGTGACGAACCTGGACGAGGCTCGCAGCTTACGCTACGGTGCCGAGCCCATGGCTGCTTCCACACTTTCGCGGGGTGATGAGCGACATGGGGGACGCGTACCACGATGCATCTACAGGTGCTGATGCTGTCATGAGTTCCTGCTTGCTTCCCGCTGTACCCTTCCTGCTTGATGCTGAGATTTGCAGAAAAACAGTAGTTGACGAAACTGCCAGTAGCTGCTGGGGAAGGCCTTATGTGCAGAGCGCACCCGGCTCTTCCCAAGGCTCGGACTCGTAGGGTTTCAGAGTCTGGAGTTGCAGGGTCCGGTGAAGGCGCCGGTTTTTTTGCATTGATTTTGGTTTCGCGCGCTTGAGGGTGTAGGTGTCGGATAGGCGAGCAGACTAGGGGCTCCTGGGTCCCCATAACCCCACTGCCATAGCACTGTCAAATGCCACCCGCAGCCCTCAAACACCCTGAGGGATCTTCAGACAGTGCATTACTTTCCTGGTTCGCCTGATGAAGAGATTGCATGACTAACTACATTCCGCAACATAAACAACCCCCGAACCTAAACCCTCAGGCCCTAGGCCCTGCGAAGGCCGGCACCCAACCATCGACATCGCATGCTCCCCAGTCTCCAGGAGGTTAGATGCCATCCTCCTTGAATGAGGCTAGGGCACTTAGGGTTCTCTAAGTTATAGGGTGCAAGTCCAAGAGGTTCAGGGGTAGCTGCCCAGCTGGTGTGGGACTGATGGGCCCTTCCGGGTTTGCTCGGGCGCCCGGCTTTGATGGTTGTTTTGAGTTCATGGGCGGTTGGAGCAGTCGAAGCACTCTTCATCTTTCTTGAGCCTTGGTTTACGTTCATGTGTAAGGGAATCCCCAAAAGGGCGGGTAAGACTTCCAAAGTTCCATGTATCGTACATGCATATCCCATGTCCTACTCATTCGAAATCAAGGGTGCCTTCTCATTCAGAGCGTGGTCTGTGAGAAGTAGAGCAAGCTTCCAGGATAACACGGGCTTCATCTTCGGCTGCCGAACTCTGGGCTCCGGCTAAAAGCGTAATTTTCCCTAGGAGTCTTGGGCATCCTATTGCCATTCACGCAATGTGCTCCCGATACATCAGCTTCGTCACTTCGACCGCGAACAAGACCCTTGCAGATTATTTGATTCTGTTCCACCGATGTGCGATCGCAGATGTGTGGCTTGTCCTAATATACGCAATCCACGTCTTTTCCAGCGTGTCGCTCATGGTCAACAACTACGACGAGGCCACCTTCCTTGAGGTGATTCTGGTGGTTTTGGGGGTCTCCGTGGTCTTCTTGTGGCTGTGCGATGCGGCGCTGGTGACTCGCTTGCGCAGCCGCGTGCGCGAGGCCTCCTCCAGCGGCGTCGTGAGCCCAGAGAAGGTGGAAGGTGTCATCAACATGAAGCGCCTTTGCGTTGCCGTGTCTGGCTTGGGCATTACCGTCTATGCTTTACGATTCTGTGTGCAGCTGTGGAAGGCAAACGAGTCACTCAACACTGTCAACAGTTGCTTGCTGGCGGTGCTGCTCTTGACGAAGGTGCTTCGGCTGCTGGCCCTGAACTCTTTCAGCGATTGGCTGAGGGCCACCGGCCAAGCCACAAGCGCCAGGCAGATTGAAGCCCTCCGCACTCCCCTGGAGCGTTAAGCGCTCTCAGGAGAACACAGCAGAAGAGTCCCTTAGTCCCCGAAGAATCAGAATTCCCTTGCGGCACGGGGAAAAGCAAAGAGTCTCCAGACACGTATAGGCCCACGTTTGCAGACTGCTTTCGCCTAGGCCTAGGCCCGCAGTAGGACCTCAGCCCAGGTAGACGGCGTTGACTGCCATTGCGCATCCGCCACAGCCCAAGTCAAAGTTCAGGGCTTTTGAGGTGAGCCTCCCGTAACGAACCTAATCACCCTAAGCCCGAAACAGAGCGCACAGGGCCACGGATCGTGTGCTCACCAAGGCTTTCCCATGCGAAGTCACAACAGCCAGACGAGGGTACATCGAGTTCTTCACAGTATACTGTCGGAGTGACTTTCATCTGGGGCTCTCATAAAGTGCGAGTTGTATGACATCTCGTTTGGTGCTGATCGACTTTTTTTGCCAGACTTTGCAGGCAAGGTGGTGGGGAGTGGGGAACGTTTCAACTGCTGGTGGACATCTCCGGAGCTGCCACTCAGACTGCGCAATGCACCTCGCTTGCATAGAACATGTGCTTTCGTGCCGGAGGGTCCGTGCGCTGGCACAGAACGTCAAGTCTTGCATATTCTTGCATGAAGACATGGGAGTTTCGTTTTGAGAAGCCCCCATCTGTAGCAAGCTCCGTAGTGTCCCCTTAGCAAGATGCGAGATGCCAGCGGTATAAGCATGCATATTGCATTGTTCCACCTCGCCAGGGGGCATCTGTAGTGAGACACTTTTTTATCCGAACGCCACACCTTGCACCGCAGAGCGGAACATCACACCCCTACTTAGACACTTGGCGTCAGGGCCTCGCACGAGTTACTTTCGACGCTGGGGCCGAGGGAGGCAGGCTGGGGTTTTGAGCTGGCTGACACGGTAAGATCCTGCGAGGGCCTTCATTGGAGTAATACCTGGGGGCGAGCTGTGTAGAAAGACTTAAACCGTGTTCCAATTTAGAGTTCAAGATCGTTGACCCTGGAAGCTCGATGGAAAAGAAGCACCTAAATAGTTGCAGCAACTTTTACGTACGAAGAGCGCTTGTGTGCTTTTGCGCTGTTGCGCTTCGGATCTGCTCAGCTACGGCCTTGACCAGGTGATCGCGGCGGCTGGCATGGAAGATTTGGGATGATCCCAGTGGCTCAGTTCACACTTCTCTGAGAGCACAATAAGTGATCTTCAAGATCAGGCTTTGCAAGAACTCTGGAAATGCGAAAGGCAATGGCCGTTGACCAGGATGCTTCCGAGATCTCGAGATTCCAGCTAGATGAGAAAAGGAAGTTTGCTCGCACGGGGGTTTCCGTTGAGGGAGCCGTAATCTCCGAGAGAGAGGTCAAAAAGCCCCGAAACAAGCCCGAAAAGTGACAGCTCGGAATCGTTTCTAGGACCTTCATCGATCTAGGATGTAACAGGGGCAAGCCAAGTTTCGGGCACTACGCACATCAGCATGTGTGTGCCAAGACAGCAAGTGAAAAGAAGATTGCCAAGACAGCAAGTGAACAGAGGATTGCAACAACGGAAACAGCATTCATGACATTAACAAGTAGAGTAACCGCCCGTATATTCATACTGCCGGCATCTAGTGTAATTACAATACGAAATGATACGAATCAGGTAGCAGGTAACATGAAAGGCGTGTTTTGAAGCCCATATTGCCTACCAGGTGCACATGTATAGAAGTCTGGGATTGAAAGCAGCGATGCAGATGTGCCACTGCCACGCAGTCCGAGAAGCTGACCCGTGACACCCCGTCCCTTTTCTTCTCGATATCTGGTTTTGGTCGTTCGCCAAGTTATGGTCGATGTTGCGAAGCATCATGGAAGACGGTGCAGGAGCCATTTTTATCGTGCAAGTGGCAATGGTCATCATCTCCACCATCACCGCCATCGGCGAAGCCCGCCAGTATTATCATCTCCAGGCATCGGCGAAAGCAGTGATAGGTGATCGCACGAAAGTCCAAAAGCGTGCTGAAGATATCCACTGCTGGCTCTTCGACCGCGTTCGGAACCTTCATCTCTGTCGCTTCCTGAGCATGACAAAGCCAATCATTGCGGTGCATCTTCTGACACCCCACTTTTTTGAATTAGCCCGCTTGCTTAATCACGCTTCTACAGCCCTGAGCCTGGCCTGGACCCTAACCCCAGCACGCACACACACACACACACACACACACACACAAAGACCCACAAAGACCCACCAAGCTCCAAAGCCAGCAGACGTGCAAGCATCCAATGCTGTCTACCACGGGTAAAAGCACCCTGAAGCCGAAACCCCACATCCGATGTTAAACGCCCAAACACCCGGAATTGGGGCTGCCTGCCTGGTCCATGGAGCCCCGTCTTGGCTGATGTCAGCAGGCTCCGGACTGAGCGTCGGCTTAAGTCTTCGGGCTTTGAGAGACTGGGGTTATCATGTAGAGGATTTACGAGCGAAAGCTGGCGGATTTCATGGTGTAACGGGTCTGTTCTGTGGATGGCTACAAAGCCCTAACTCCAAACCGGAGTTGGTTGCCGACAGCGGTTGCTGCACGATGACCCGGTTGCCCATTGAGTTTGAGTCGCAGTCGCAGCCACATTTTGAGTGTGTGGTTCGTTCATCGCTGCAGGGAAAGGGTGAGTGTTGGGATGGCGTGGTAGGTTTGGGTGATGGAGAACCGGTTGTTGGCGAAGCCCTAAACCCTAAGCGCAAACCTCAATCGCGAGCAAAGGTGTCTTCGTTTCTCCGTAACTGTAGACGCAATTTTTTTGACTCATCTGTACTGGTAGGGTTCATCTTCGTGTGTGGAAGGTGCTTGTGGGAACGCAGAAGGTCCTGTGCGAGTTCGGGGAACGTGTGAATGGTGCGACGGTAGATCGGGTGGAGCGGCTGGCCAAACAGCCAGCGCATGTGGTTGTGGTCGTTTGTGCATGTGTATGTGCAGTCTGCATATGCGCCTGGGCCTATGCTATACGTTCATGTGAAGGCATGTGACAATGCAGGGAGATAGTTTAAATTAGATAAGTTCGTAAAATCTGAGGGCATGAACATTCTGCAGCTCTAGGTCCACAGTGCCAAAGCTTAGGGTTGGTGGGCTCTAGGTTGTTGGACTTCATAAAACGGTTCAGGGTTAAGGGTTGCGGGACTCCGGTTTCTTGTAGTTTACAGGACTAGGGTTGAGGATTCTAGCATCGGGTTTCTTACAGTTCAAAGGTTATGGTTGGCTTACCCCTGGTGCCAGAGTGCAAACGCTGAGCCCGAAAATCTTAAAAAACTTGTAGCCCCACACCGTACATAAACCCACCGCAGCCCGAAATCCCAAGCCCAAAAGCCCTCAGCACTATATCATCATCCTGTTATCCCGTCTCCCCTCCTGATGTGGAGGCCACCAAGGATGGACAAAAGCAAGGTGCCGCGGGTTCTGGGTTCTGTGTGAGCGTTTGAGGGTTCGGGTTCTAGGTCTCAGGTTGCGCAGTTTCAGGGAGTCAGGTCCATGGTTTTTTTTTTTCCAAGGTGCGGCCAATCCTTGTTTGCGAGGTGCGGCCAAGGGTCCCTGGTGCATGCGGTCCCCTAGTCCTCTGGTCCTTGGTCTTGTGGTCCCCTGGTCCTCTGCTCGCGGTCCCCTAGTCCTCTGGTCCTTGGTCCTGTGGTCCCCTGGTCCTCTGGTCTGCTGGTCCTCTGGTCCCGTGGTCTCCTGGTCCACTGGTGCATGCGGTCCCCTAGTCCTCTGCCACAGCCACAACCACAACCACGGGATAGGGGTTAAAAACAAATTAAATAAGGATCAAAAAAAATTAAGGATCAAAAAGAAATTAAATAAGGATCAAAAAGCCGTGAGCGGGTTCCGGTCCGCAAGGCTATGCTACAAGGGCGTCTTAAGGATCAAAAAATTAAACAGGTATCCACGAAAGGAGGGGGGGGTAGCGGAGGAAAGAAAGACAGAGAGAGAGAGAGAGAGAGAGAGAGAAAAAAAAAGAAAGAAAGACACAACGAAAGAAAGAAAGAACGAAAGAAAGAAAGAAAGAACGACAGAGAGAGAGAAAGAAAAAGAAAGAAAGAACGAAACAAAGAAAGAGCGGAAGAAAGCAAGAACGCAAGAAATAACGAAATACATAAAAAATAGTTATAAGGAAAGAAAGCAATCAAAAATAAACAAATAGATAAGTAAAGAAAGCTATAAGGAAAGAAAAAAGAAAACACAAGGAAAGTACGAAAGAGAGTTAGAAACAAAGAAAAAAAACAATAAAGACATAACGAAAGAACAAAAATGGAGAAATAAAGAAAGACGAACGGACATAAATTAACTAAGATGTTGTTTTGTTCTATGTTATCTTCTGTTATGTTGTATCGTCGTCTTTTTATTATGTTATTATATGCTATAAGAAGCAAGGTTCTGTTATGTCAGAAAATGTCACACTATTTTTGTGATGTCGAACCATCTTATGTCGTTCTTATGGTTTACTATGTTATATTATGTTATAGGGTGCTGACGGAAGAAGAGACACGAACAGGCACGGAAGAGCGAAAGACCCACCGCCGCGCTTTTCGAGCCGTGCAAGCTTGATTCAAAGAGTGTTTTCGAAACCCATCATGTGAGCGTTGTGTCTGCAAATGGGGGGGGGGGGCTGCGCCCCCCCCAACCCCCCCGGCTAACCAGAATCGCCAAATGAGGGGGTGTGTTTTAGATAGGTGATGAACCTGATGTTATATAATATATTAATTATTATGTTCTATATATACAAACTATATTGTACTATGTTACAATGTACTAAGATGTTGTTTTGTTCTATATAACTTCTGTTATGTTGTATTGTCGTCTTTTGTTATGTTATTAGATGCTATAAGAAGCAAGGTTCTGTTGTGTCAGAAAATGTCGCACTATTTTTGTGATGTCGAACCATCTTATGTCGTTCTTATGGTTTACTATGTTATATTATGTTATAGAGTGCTGACGGAAGAAGAGACACGAACAGGCACGGAAGAACGAAAGACCCACCGCCGCGCTTTTCGAGCCGTGCAAGCTTGATTCAAAGAGTGTTTTCGAAACCCATCATGTGAGCGTTGTGTCTGCAAATGGGGGGGGGGTGGGGCTGCGCCCCCCCCAACCCCCCCGGCTAACCAGAAGAATCGCCAAATGAGGGGGTGTGTTTAAGATAGGTGATGAAGCGGCATACCAGCAACAGCTACAACACGAAATCCGTCCTAAATGCGAAATTGTAACGAAAATTTGATTTTCCCGAGGAACAACCAAAGATAACGTATGTTTTCCTTCTGAAAACCTGAAGAAATGACACGAACGCCATAGGTAATAGAAAAATGGTGTTTTTCCTAGGAAAAACCAAGGAAAATTTCAGGAAATACCACGGAATCCGTAGGAAAATCGTGTCTTCCCGAGGAAAAAAATCAGATCCTAAGGAAATGAAAGAAAATCCATAGGAAAATAGTGTTTTCCCTTGAAAAATTCAGGAATTGCTGTATTTTGAGTGATTCAATTTTTTGGTCCTTATTTTTTTTTGATGCCTCAGCCCCAGGAATTGCTGTATTTTACGTGACTTAATTTTTTTCGATCCTTATTTTACTTTTTTTGATCCTGCTGCTTTAGTTTTTTGATCCTTATTCAAGTTTTTTTGATCTCTCACCCTGTCAACCACAAGCACAATCACAACCACAACCACAACAACAGCAACCAACGACAACGACAGCAGCAACAACAGCAACAACAACAACAACAACAACAATAGCAGCAACAACAACAACAACCACGACCAACAACAACAACATCATCATCAACAACAACAGCAACAGCAACAGCAACAGCAACAGCAACAGCAACAGCAACAGCAACAGCAACAGCAACAGCAACAGCAACAGCAACAGCAACAACAACAACCAGGACGACGACCGCGACGACATCAAGGAAACTCCGATGAACCCTCCACAGGGATCCTGCGCGTCGAAGCGCTGGCGCTGTGGTGCGGTGCAAATTTTCTACGTCCCCGATGAACCCTCCACAGGGATCCTGCGCGTCGAAGCGCTGGCGCTGTGGTGCGGTGCACATTTTGTACGTCCCCGATGAACCCTCCACAGGGATCCTGCGCGTCGAAGCGCTGGCGCTGTGGTGCGGTGCACATTTTCTACGTCCCCGATGAACCCTCCACAGGGATCCTGCGCGTCGAAGCGCTGGCGCTGTGGTGCGGTGCAAATTTTCTACGTCCCCGATGGAACCCTCCACAAGGATTCTGTGCGTCGAAGCGCTGGCGCTGTGGTGCGGTGCAAGTTTTCTACGTCCCCGATAAACCTTCCACAGGGATCCTGCGTGTCAAAGCGCTGGCGCTCCGGGCAAATTCTTTACGTCCCCGATGAACCCTCTACAGGGATCCTGCGTGTCCAACCTTAAAAAAAGGGTTGGCCGCACCTCGGAAAAAAAAGGGTTGGCCGCACCTCGGAAAAAAAAAAACCACCCCGCCGGTTGAGGATTCAGGTTCCTGCCTGCTAGTTCAGGATTCAGACATCAGGGTCTGAAGCTTGCGGGTAGGGGTCCTGAGCTGTCGGGAATGGCTAGAACGTGAGATTGGAGAGGGCTTATGCTTCGAAGCAGCATCTACCCTTCCATATCCCAGCAGTCACGCCGTGTTTAAGTGCACGGAGGCTTACAATGTTTCCCCACAGCAGTCTCGGTCCAGGAGGGGTTCCAGCGGGAAATTGATGGCAGTGCAAGTATCATCTCATATTTTTCCGTAATTGGCCTCGGCTGGCGCTCGCGCTACTGGGCTTGGCGGCTGTTGTAAGGCTGGTGCTCGTGCTAGTGCTTCCGTGCTCATGATGTTGTTGCGCGGCCCCGTCCCATGCGTTGGAGCTTGCGTCAAGAAGCTTGCCAAAGCTACACCTCGATTGCCAAAAAGTTTGCCAGAGGCTTGGATACAATCTCGGGGTTCCTTACGCGCAACCCGAAGCTGGCAAGTTCCAAGACTACACGGGAGGTGAAGACCCAAACTTGCAGACACTCTGCGAGCACTTCGTGGCGAAGCTCTAAGCACCACAGACCCACGCCCGGAAAACGACACCCTTTCAGTGGCAGCAGGCACGGTGCCGGTAATCGAGAGAACCATAGGAACAGGCACAGTAGCAAACGGCCACGGCAGTCGTACAACCCAAAGCATGATAGGTACAGCTTCCCGTTTCCGTCTTGTTCTGTTCATGCAAGCTGGCGATGAGCAAGCAAAGCCCGGTAGAAGTTCAGACGTCAGTGCTCTCTCAGGTATAGCACTTTTTCATTTCGAAGACCCATGTGGCGAGTCAAACACACTGTAGCGGCAGAGTAGTGGTCATGCCATGACAAAGTCATGACGGAGGCAGCACCAGTGCCATTGAAGTGGCGGCGTCAAGTGCTTCCTCCCGCCCCACCTGAGGACGGCAGGTGCGAGACAGCGAGTCAAAGCGGGTAGCGGAAGGTTCAACATTGGATTGGGGTTGGGCTTGCACGAGTCGCGCCTTCTTGAACACACTGTCAGTTTTGAGACGTCACACTTTCGGGCGAGCGTGAGGAGTGCAGGGCATGGGCGTGTCGGGACGATGTCAGCGCACATGACGATGGCGATGTCGAAATGGTGGTGATGATGACGGTAACATTTGTTGTTCACGCGGTTTCTTACAACAAGAGCATACCTTTCCTGAGCCTTTGTTTGACATGAACGACAAAACAAATGCAACTTGTAATGCAACTGCCCACAGCCCTGGTTCGAAGTCATTTTCAAGGCAGCTTTGTCCCAGAAATTCTCCGTCTGAACGCCATGCTCTACATCCACGTCTTCACCCTCAACCCCAATTGGCCCAAGCCCTCAATCGTATGCCCTCCCTAGAGTCCCTAGAGCCCACATCCAGGCCCGAGGAGCCTTGGCGTGAGGCCACGGGTTGCAGAGGGTTGTTGGAGAATTAAGGGCGTTGTTGAGTTTAACAGGGTTTTGGTGGGGATTTTGGAGAGTCTCTGAGTTCGGGGATTTGGAGTTTCGGGTTTGGGGTTTCGATTTTTTTTGGTTTGGAGTTGCTCGGAGGTATGGGGTCTGGGGGTCTCGGCGTTTCAAGGTTTGGGGCCATCAATAAAGCTTTCAACCGAGTTGTCTAGGACTGAGGGCATTTGCTATCGTTCTTGTGAAGGATCTTGCTGCTAGTCTTTTGCTTCTACTGCTGCCAGCAGCATTTACACTACCACCCTGCTCCTGCTACTGCTACCTCAACTTCTACTATTTCTTAAAGTTGCTGTTGCCAGGGCTACCGCTACTGCTACGGCTACGCCTGCGCCCACCGCGACGACGACTGCTGCTACGACGACGACTACTGCTACTGCCACTCTGCTGCTTCCGAGAAGAGTTCTTAACCCAACTCACATCAGCCTCAGATGAGCCCTTTTTCCCCTCGATTGGACAGTGAACCGCCCGAACAGGCATCTTACTATTTTTCCGGTTAAGGTCGGTTAAGGTAGGTTCGTTCCGGGATCCTTCAATTTTAGCTTGCATGACAGCAGCACCAAAACCACTGGAGGGGAGGGCCGGAGTACTGTGAACTGGGAAGCTGGGCTCCAGCCGGGCTTGAGTCTAAGTTCATGCGTTTCTACGTGACTGGTGCTAACACATCAAAGATACCGGGAGGTCCTCTGTAGGATCCTGCCGGCAACGAGCGTCTGCTCGCAGTATTTCAGGACCACAAACCCCCAGACCTCGAATCCCCAAAAGCCCTAGGCCAGAAACTCAGATAACACCTAACCCCAAAGCACTGTATGCTAAATCCTGAAGCCCCGAAGCCCTCAACCGTCTAAACCTGAAGCCCAGAACCTAAGTCCGATCAGCCCCTCAACCCCACAACCTAAACCCCAAACCCTGAGCCGTAAACCCAAAGCCTAAACCTTAAACTCGCGGCCACAGGGGAACCGCTCCGATGCCGACTCCGAGGATGCTGGGGAAAAGGGGGCAGGTTAGCTAAACTTGCGCAGGGAAGGGTAGGGCAAGCCAGTTTCACCCTCACCTCGGCGGATCCGGTCGGGGTTGCGTTCGATGGCGCTACGTTTAGAGTTTAGGGTTTTAGGGATTCTTGGGAAGGCGTCTGCCTGTAAAAGGGATTTCGAGGGTTTTGTGCAAGACAGGCTTATTCCCCACATCACTGTGGGGTTTTTGTTTTTGCGCTGCACCGCGCCCGCTTCCGTCACGCCCATGCCCACACACACAGCACACACAACAACACACACAACAACACACACAACACACAACACACACAACACACACACACACACACACACACAACACGCACAACAAACACAACACACAACACACACACACACACACAACACACACACACAACACGCACAACAACACACTCCTCCGAGGGCTCTCGGAGGCCCTTGGAGGGTTCTTGTTGGATCATGCGCGCGCTAAAGGGGTCCTGCACTTAGGAAGAGTCTCCCGCGACTAGAATCCTCTCCTCCGAGGGCTCTCGGAGGCTCTTGGAGGGCTCTTGTTGGATCATGCGCGCGCTAAAGGGGTCCTGCACTTAGGAAGAGTCTCCCGCGACTCAAACCCTCTCCTCGGAGGGCTCTCGGAGGCTCTTGGAGGGTTCTTGTTGGATCATGCGCGCGCTAAAGGGGTCCTGCACTTAGGAAGAGTCTCCCGCGACTCAAATCTTCTCCTCGGAGGGCTCTCGGAGGCTCTTGGAGGGCTCTTGTTGGATCATGCGCGCGCTAAAGGGGTCCTGCTCTTAGAATCTCCCGCGACTAGAATCCTCTCCTCCGAGGTCTCTCCGAGGCTCTTGGAGGGCTCTTGTTGGATCATGCGCGCGCTAAAGGGGTCCTGCACTTATGAAGAGTCTTCCGACACACACACACACACAACACACAACACACAACACACAACGCACTACACACAACACACAACACACAACACACACAACACACACACACACACACACACACACACACACACACACACACACACACACACACACACACACACACACACACACACACACACACACACACACACACACACACACACACACACACACACACACACACACACACCACCACACACACACACACACACACACACACACACACACACACACACACACACACACACACACACACACACACACACACACACACACACACACACACACACACACACACACACACACACACACACACACACAACCGGAGCGGACATCCACGCGGGGTGCGCGCGCATGCTTACGTGTTTAAACCACTCTCTTTTACACTGCTTCAATGCTGACCAGAGTATCGCTGTCATGTCGGGTTATCCGGTCCTTTAATTAGATCTTATTAGCGTGTACGGGCTTTTGAGGATCTTCTCGGGTTCGATAAGGTTCTCTGAGGTTGGCGATTTGGATCTGTGGGCTTTAGGTTAAGGGTTCTTGGGGTTCACAGTTTGTGGGTTGATGGGCTGGGACCTGTGACTGTGGGAGTGAGTTTAGGGTTCTGGGGCTTCAGGTTGGGGATTTGGGGTTTAGGGCTGGTGGGCATTGTTCACTTTGCGAGTTTCCGCGCTCAGCCGTCTGATCTGAAAGCACTCCGAGAGCTTTTTGTTGTTTCAGGTTTGAGTGTAGTAGTAGTCTGGCTGTCTCGAGATGGGCCTGAGGGTTTGGGCTTATCGGCTCAGCCATTGACATGTCAAAGCAAGGTCAGGGTCTTAAAGAAAGGGCGTTTCGATTTCCCGGCCAAGAACACACGACGACGCCGTTGGTTTTGCATGCCCGATAAGGCATCGAAAACCTGCCAAAGACTTTTGTTTCTGAGAACCAGGAAGCCACAAGGGAGAGGCATGGCCTCCACATACAGGATTTGTCCGAGACAGCTGGCTCTTGCTACTGAGGAAGCGGTTGCTGTTGTTCTGGCATCCCGGCCCTCCAAGATTCACGGGAAAAGCCGAACACCCAAAGACCACCAAGCATGAGCACTACAGACTTATCCCACCAACACGAGCACTGGCAAGAAACTCTCAGGAAAGCCCCAGACCCTGATTCTCAGGAGCAACCGCCTCTGACTCTAACCCCTAAACCCCAGCCCTAAATCCCAAAATTATAATCCTACTTATAAACGACTTACCAAGTCCCCTGCCCCTCCAAGCTGCCAGATGTCTTGACGGAACGTTTAAGGGATCTTACATAGGGGTCCTTTTTTGGGATATTTAAGGATCCCTTTAAGGGATCCTTTGAGGAACACTTTGTCTTTTCAGGAGAACGTCCAATTCGTCACCAGCCGCACTCCCAGCTCGGAGTCCGAGGACTTCCTCCGAGCTCTGCCCGAGAGGCCCGGGTTTGTTTACAGTTTTTCTCTTCTTTTTCGGGGGCAAGAAGGGATCTATAAGTTAGCGGATACCATTCCCATTTTCTAGCCATGCCCACCCCCCTATGCCCCCTGAACACCCAAATCATAACAACCTATACCTCAACCCTAAACTCACCGAAAGACCCATAGTAAGACCCACCTGAAGCACCCATACTATGGAACCACCCATACCCCCATGGAGAATAGCATAGTCAGGCCCATAGAGCACCCCCCCGTAGAAACCCGATAGTAGCAACCCGAAATCCCTAACCCGAGAAAGTATCGGCTAGATACTAATAGCATAGCATTAGCTACTTCTCTAGATTTCCATGTTTCAGCTTCAACCGTGCCCTGGAGCATTCCCCCATGCATGTCTCAATGGCCATGAAAGCCGGCCTGGCACTTGGCATACTCTTCCGGACACGAAGGACTGCATTCCAGTTGTTTTCTTTCAATCCATCCTGACTCGTGGTTCGTTCCCACGCTAGGTCAGTCCAGTTTCGTGCGGCCACGGCTTCAACATGTCGGGTGCTTGTCCAGCAAAATGCACAGACGGACTCAGATTGCTGCATCTTGTGACGTGCCAACAGATTTGGGACCAGTTTTGGCAGTCTCAGCGGGCGACTATCATACATGTGCAGTGCGGACAGATGGCCAGCTCGTCTGCTTTGGAGAGAACGATGATGGGCAGTGTGATGTGCCAGCAGATTTGGTACCAGTTTTGGCAGTCTCAGCGGGCGATTTTCATACTTGTGCAGTGCGAGCAGATGGTCAGCTCGTCTGCTGGGGACACAACAAAGATTGGCAGTGTGACGTTCCAGCAGATTTGGGACCGGTTTTGGCAGTCTCAGCGGGCACATTTCATACTTGTGCAGTGCGAGCAGATAGTCAGCTCGTCTGCTTTGGAGACAACGATGATGGGCAGTGTGACGTAGCAGATTTGGGCGCCCGTTTTGGGTACAACTCAAGGTCTGGCTAGTGCGGGCAGATGGTCAGCTCGTTTGCTTTGCAGACTGTCATGGGAAGTGTGATGTGCCCCAGTGCTGATCATGCAGAAAACGCCGGAGAGTGCTTACCCTCAAACCTTCAGCAGTTCAAACCGCAAATACTGCCTATCAACACCCTCAACTCTCCAAAAGTTTTGCCCTAACTTGTTTTCAATCTTTTCTATGGTATAAGCATTCTGCGACCAGTTGCTTACTCTTTCTTTTTCATTTGGTTTTCTCTTCCTACATATCTTAACTTCGTCCCCTACATCTGGTTCGGGATATACGCGGTTCTTCTTTCCCTTCATGGTTAAATTTAGTTTCACTTTGAATTGGTTACTGGGTTTTCGGGCTTCTTTCGGCGTAAATCCCGTGGCCGAGTGTTTCATTCGATTATTATAGGTTAATAATATTCTAATATGTAGTCTGGCCATTGGATGTTCTGTTTTCCTTTTTTCTCATCTGCTTCAACTCTACGATATAATAAATCTTTAAAGGTTCTGATGGCTCTTTCGCTAAAATTCGGGTGCGCCCTCGTTCTGTGATGTTTTATGTTCTCATCCTTCAAACACTTTTGCATGGCTTCCTTGCCCATTGCTCCCTCGTCGTCTGTATAAAGTATCTCGGGTTTCTTTCCCGTCTTGTTGAAACAATCAATCATTCCACTTGCTAAATCCTCTTCCTTTGTTCCTTTTATCGGCACTACGTGCATAAACTTACCAAATACATCAATCATTAGCATACCTACCTTAAACTTTTGTTCATCCATATCGTTTATAAAAAACGAATCCATTTGATACTCATATGCGGAATGGGGCGCGATAAAGCTGTTTTGACCTACCGGCCTTCTTTTTTGCTCAACATTCTTTCTAAAAAACTCATTAATATCGCCCATTGTTATGGTTCTGTCCTTCTCCCGTGCTTCAGCTAGTGTTCTGGGTTTACTGCCAAACCCCGCTCTATCAAAATATACATCATTAATAATTCTCTGTCTTTCGCGCATATAAATAAGTAACAAAAAATAATGGTTTAATACAATTTATTCAATCATCATTTTATACAGCATTTGGCATAATCACTTTGTATTCATTCATATCGTATTTGGGAGCTCAGCGCTTCTTTCCGCTAGGTTTCTTATCACTAATGATTTCGGTAATTTGTGTAGGGGTCAAATCTTCTTCACTTAAATTATTCTCTTCTATGTATTCCTTAAGCTTCTTCTTCTGGTTGTGCCTTAATCTTGCTTCGCGCTTCTTCTGCATAAATTGCTCGTCTTCTTTCCGTTTGTTATAACAAAGCCGTTGATACAATGCCACTTGTTGTTTAATCTCGTCCATTGTCATGTCCTCGGGACTTTTGAAGTGTGTCATATAACTATACTATATATTTATATTATTTCTTTAAATCAGTTTCTAAACATATAAGAGTAGTTAAAAAAGCAAATGAATTTATATAGTACTTATATTGTATATGAGCAAAAATATTAAGCGAAATACAAAAGCGTTACAAACTACCTACGACAACTACAAAAATCGTCTCACACAAGGCACCAGAGCAAAAATACAAAATCTAATTAATTTTTATGAAGACCGTAAAATAGCACAATTCACCACCGCGGACAACTTAATCAGACGTCAATCAGAGCCGTTTTAACCGCACAGCATTCATGATCATCTTCCCGTAGAGTCACGTCGAGCCACGGTGCTGATGATCATGTGGCACATAATATCACTCTCAATCCACCGCCATGTGTATATCAAACTTGGATGAGATATAGGAGTAGTAGCAACGACAGCATTGAACAGCGGCTTAACAAGACCACGAGCAATCACGGTAGCAACCACAAGAGCAGTACGACATGTAACTACGCCGCAGCAAGCATCTTACCACTGCCATTCGATCACAACGGTCACGGAGAGAGGACAAATTAACATTAGACACCATCAACACCAATCATTGGCGGCACTGTCCTGAGCGACGTGGGCGATGATCATTCGTGTCATCATTCTCACCATCATGTCATCGTAATCGTCGTCATCGTCATCGTCGCCGTGGTCGTCGTTGCCATCATCACCATCACCACCACCATCATCATCATCATGATCATCACCATCTTCACCGTCTTCACCATCTTCACCATCTTCACCGTCATCACCATCATCACCATCATCACCATAACACCATATCATCATCATCATCATCATCATCATTTTTTGAGTAGCGCTGAAGCAGTAGTACAGTCCTTAAATGTGCTTTCTTTCATTATGTGCAACATAGATTTCTCCCAAGTGCGGTGAAAGATCGAAAGGCTCATCGCAAGCCCTTGTCCTTTCAGTTGGTTTTCAGGGTTCTCGCCCCGACAGGCCGGATGACGAGTACGACGATGCACCTGGACGCGCACCTCGCTTGCGGCAATGCTGCGGGTTCGGTGGTTGAGGTTTTGGCTGTGTGTGTTTTTTTCCTCAGGCGTTTTTCTTTTTACGTCTGGGTGGAGTGCGGGCCAGCGATTGATCAGCTCCGTCGTCCAAGAGGGTTTCTTCTCCTTGGTGGCAAAGTGATGCAAAGCGCATCACACTTGCCTTCACTGTCAGCCTTCGAGTCCCGCATTTCTTCGAATGGGCGTCGGTTGTGAACGGTTGAGGGGCTCGGGTTCATAGAATGTTTCTTCGAGGCTGTGGGCTGCCGCCAATACCGAATCAAGCACCTTGGGGATGGAAATCTGTGCAAGTTCGAAACTACGGGGCTTTGGAACAGTGCCAGGCCGAGTAGGCACCGAAATCGAGTTCTCCTCGTGTTGTTGTTGGTTTAAAGGTGTGGGATGCAGGGGGTTTGGCCTGGCTGTACCATTGTCTAAAGCAGTAAATCCCGCAAGCCATGGGCGCTAAATCCCTGAAGCGGAAGGCCAACAAGACTCCATAACCAATTGCCCCTAATCTTGCACGCTAAACTCTTACCCTGTGTGCAACCTGCTTTTCTCAATGCTTCACCACTCAAGTCCAACATGAACCCTCGTCAACACCTAAATCAGTAAACCTCCCTAAACTCCTCATCCGGGCGCCCCCTTATCCTTGAATCCAAGACAAACTCTGGCTTCTCTGCCAAGGCTCAACTTGTTGCCACCCTCCGTGAGCTCTTGGAGGACTGAAACCTGACTCCTTTGCTCAAGAGATCCTGAACTCCAACTCCACTTTGCCCAACAAAGCCACCAAAGGCCTGGTATCGCAGCTACACTTGCGACCAGATTCCCGTCCTGCGACCGCCAGCGAAATTCAAATTCAACCGAATGCAGGGGAACAGCCGAAAGCCGCCGAAAGCCCAAATGAAAAGCCTCTGACTTCTAAACCGTTAATTGCAAAATTGCCACAGCCCAAGCTAGAGTGGGCTTACACCACGCCAGCAAAGGACACACCTCGTGATTAGTAGCCAAGCGCAGCGACAAACATTTTTCGTGGCCGTTACTAGATTATACAGTTCTAGCTTCTGGGCGCCGCCCAGCAGGGGTCGGCGAATATAAGTTGTAGGGAGATGTGTAGAAAACTGTGCATATATGAGTATGTCCATGTGTGGGTGTCATTTAGATGGATGTGTGTACATATGAGTATCTGTACCCCATCAGCACTCCGGGCCGCACCCCGTGATCACGCTGCCCGTCCGCAGCTCTTTCGCGGGTCATATTGCTTTGGCAATTGGTTTTCTCTTGTGTCGGGGCTTTTATTGTTTGTTTTGTTTGTTGGGGCCTCTTGTTTTTCTGTGAGACCTAATGTTTTTTCCCTGTTGCGCGAGTGTCCTTTTTGTAAGCGGGGTTTGTGTTTGTTCTTTTTTGGGTTTTGAGCGCGCTGTCCTAGGAGAGCATCGCGGACGCTAAGCCCTACACAGATACCTGAAGCCACGCATTCTCAGTTCCGATCCACAGCCCTAAATCAAGACCGCGCTCTAACAAGCTGATCGGTGTTGTTGGAACTTGATGTGTTTCCTGCTCAGAGGTCGGGATGCAGGGGTTTTGGCAGGGGACATGCTGAACAATTGTTTCTTCTTCTGCTTGCAGGAGGAGGAGCAGTCAGAAACATCGCAAGGCATGCCAAGGGGAAACTCCGAACTCTCCAGTAGTGTGCAGTACAACACCCCTACATCTCTCAGCCTGTCGCTTTGGTTCTGCTTGGTTAGAGCCTGCCATGGGGTTGTGCTTCATTGATGGATGAATCTTGGAATCAGTCCATAACCCTACGTACTAAGTCCAAAGCACATTCAAGCTGAGTATTCAAGCTCACATGCTGCGTAAGCTCCATCGCATCCCGACCCCGACCCCGACCCCTCCAACCCTCCAACTGCAAAACACCGAGCACTGCAAATCGTGACCCCCCCCAAGCTCTATTCTGCCCCAAAACTTTATCACCAAGCCCAAACCAGGCCCAGAGCTGGTCGCATCATGAACACTTTTTCCCAAGCCCTAATACAGTCCACAACAAAAGCCGAGAACGAACCCGTACAAACAAAACCCTAGAGGCCTCTTTGAAACCACCCTGGCTCCAGGTGCGCAAAAAGCTGAGACGGCACGGCTGCCTACCCCTCCTGCAGCCCCTGCAGAAGACCTCCAGGCCCGTTCGCCCATGGGTTCACTGAAGCCCAAAGTGTTGGTTGAGTTACGGCTTAGTTTGGGTTTCATGGGTTCAGGGATTCGCAGTTGTTGCGAGGTTTTGGAGGCTTTTGCTCGTGTTCAGGGCTTCGCGTTGAGGGGTTGTTGGGGCCAGGGCTTGTGGTGTTTCCTGTGGAGGTTTAGGGTCTTAGGCTCTGGATCCGAAACCCAAGCCATGAAAGCAGAACCTGTGGGTTATTCTGGCTGCTACACTGAGAGTCTTGGTGATGCCATGGCAGTGAGGAAGGGCGAGGATGAAGATACTCCTAATTCCTAATGATCCAGAAACACCTTGGATATGATGGTGATGATTCGGCATGGTGGTGCTGGCAATTCGAGGTTCTGCTCGGGCAGTTTGTGGTGTTGATTCTGCTCCTATCGCAATCAGTCCTACGCAGCCAATGTTTTGGGTTTGGTATTGGGTTGTTCTGGGTTAGACGGTAGAAGCGAGCGGTCGCTCCAAACTCACTCGGCAACCTCAATGCCTCAAAAGCTTCTTGTCGCTGGGAAGGTGAACGAAGAGTTCGCGCTAGAGGAGGAGTTCCGAGAAGAAGAAAACATCGAGCACGACGTCAACGTGCAGGCGGGGCTTTCGGTTTCGGGTTTACGTGGTGGGGTGGCGTGGGGTCGGGGTGGGTGTGACTGCCGACAGGTGTAGGCCATGTATCTATATGGACAGGAAGATTCTCAAGCGGAAAGACGCAACCCTGAAACCCAAACCCCTGGACCTTAAAGCCTCAGCCCTGAACCCTAAACCCTAAACCACTAACACGCGGTGCTCCCAGTTGCAGCTCGATGACAGTTTGGCGATATCAGCCGCCGGGAACCCAAGAGGCCAGCAATTCCTCTCAAAAAGCAGACTTGAGTCGAGACTCAGCAACCGCTGGTTAAAAGCCCTTGAAGGATAAGTCATAGCATTTAGCAGTGGAAATACCGTTCAGGGCTCTGGGTTTAGGGTTCTGAGCTGAAACCTGCAGCAGCAAATCCAGTGACCGTGGATGCCCTTACAGCCCGTGCCCTAAGCGCTGGAAGCCTTGAATTGCCTGAGCCCTCAGCCGAGAGGTCTTGAGCCCTAAAGCTAAAGTCTACTGACAGTTGTAAACTACCCCCTATGCCGAAAACCCAAAAGCTTTAACCCACATTGCATAAAAGACAGTGGAAAGACCTTGCACCAAAGTGGTGATTTCAGCTTAGCCAAACCAAGGTGGAAGACTCCCAGCAGCCCTTGCAGGAGCCAGCCGAAAAGAGGTGCGGGTTTGGGACTTTGTTGCTTGGCAGGTTCAGGGTTTGTGGGATCTATATCTGTCCCAGGGCTTCTTGCAGGAACTATCACGAACTCTGCACACCCATGCTGCTTAATAAAAGCTGGAATGCTAGATCCGATACACTGAAAGCACTCGATTTTGAGCAGCCCTAAACCCGAAGCCCTTCTAAAAAACTCATCATAATACTGCGTGTCACAATAACAGCAATAATGGAACAAGGAAGGTCTAGCCATCAAGGGCTTTCTGGGCTCCCGTCTTCTCAGGGTGCCCGGAGTTTCAGCTTCCAGGACTCGACATTTTTAAGCCTACCAGGCTCCGAATGGCAGGTGATGACCCTTTACTGGGGGGAGGGTTAAGGGTTAAGGCTTTTTAAGATGTTCATTCCCAGTGGAACAGCACAAAACCGTACCTTGCATCCTTAAGCCACCAAAATGCCGCAACTCCTACCGCCAAACCCTGAACACCTCAATGGCAATAAAACACGTTTCAAAGCCCGATGACAACAAACATCAAGCTTTCTACAATTTTAAAGCAAGTCTAGCACCCCGACCACCCCCAAAATCCCTCCCCAACGAGCCGCACACTCATACATAACAGAAAAACTTGATCCGAACAAGCACCACATCAGAATACGAAACCCGATATCGCCTGAATACAAAGATCCTGATCTAGGGGTTTGACTCACGGTATAATTTGTAACATGCTCCCCAATCCCTGTTCTATCTATCTCAAACCTTAAGCTCTGATCTTTGAATCCTCACAGGAGCGCTCAAAAGAACCCTTTCTGTAAGGGTTCCTTGAAAAGGGTCATCACGGGCCTTACTATACGGTTACCAAAATAGAGGGGCCTTAATCGTTAGAGTAGGCTCAACTCTAAAGCCTGAAGCCTATTTTAATTCTCAAGACCCCTGTCTTTAGAAGCCCTACCGCGAGCAGGGGGCGCCTGGGTTCTGCGCTGCGAGCCCGGGCCAAGGCCGGCTGATTCGTTTCTCTTTGTTCGACCAAGGTTCAGTTTTCAGGGTTTTGTGTTTAGGCTCAGGTTTTCTGTTTATCCGAATGTTTGTTTGCCTTTGCTTTGTTAGGAAATCTGCGGGTCGTTTTGGGGCTCCATGGGTTCGGCGTGAGTTTTGAGGTTTGTGCCTCGATTGTTTGGGAGGCGCACGGTGTTTAGACGTGTTGAGTGGCTTGTTCAGGGGTTTGTGGTTTAATGATGTTGCAAAGGTAGGGGTTTGGGTTTCAGGTTTGGGGTTGGGGGGGTTCAGGTTTCAAGTCCCCTTGATGGTAAAAGCATAAAAGAGGTTGTGACGCCTTAAAGCTGGGACATAGCGTTGTACGAAACCTCGAGTTACAATCTAAAACCAACTACCCCAGGCCCTTAAAGGATTAAACCTCCGCGCGGCGAGCCTGAGAGGCCTGAGCCTAGCATCCTTGGGGCATCTTCACAGCACTCAACCCTGTACCCTAAACCCTTTAAACTTTAAACCCGGACGCCCCAAAGCCGTAAGCCTTAAGAGGGTCGAAGTTTCACATCTCCTCTCTGCTTGAGCTCAGCCTTTGCTTCTTCGTCTGCTCGGCTGACTACTTAGCAACAGTGTCCTCTTATGGTCGCGATGTGCTTATAGTTAACGTATAGCTATACTGCAACATACTCTTCTTTAAAGCCCTTATGGTGCACCGACATGGGGATGCCCAGCCTGCCAGCCCTGCAGCCACAAAAGGGATTAGGGTTTGGTATTTCATAAAGCGGTTCGGGCAGGAACCAGACATGGCAGCCAAACGATCACAGACGTCTTCGCCGTCGTTGTCGAAGTGCTCGCGGCAATGGTAGGTAGTGCTTGGCAACATGTGCCGTTGGTTGCGGCAGCCGCGGCGCCGTTGTCGTCGTCTTCTTCGTGGGAGGGTCAGCCGCAACATCCAGAATCCGGTTCAATCTCTCGACTTCAGAAATTTGGTATTTATTATCTCCGATTCCTTGTCCCGCAAACCCTAAGATTGAGAATCCAAGATCAGTCAGCGTAGTCCAAGTGCAGGCCTTTGCGAGGGGCCGCGCATCCAAAACTGCCTCCTGGCTGGATGGTCTATCTGAAGGGTTTAGGGCGTTGGAGAAGGTCATCCTGTTCAAGACCTGGCGGAAGAAGCAGAGAGCACATCGGTGTTGGTGTAAACTCTGTTTGTCTTGGTGGGTCCCCTTGTCGAATTGGGCGAACAATTGCCACAACTTGTTCAGTCGAGCACCAAGCCCTGCCACCATAAACATCCTCAGCCAATACGCCCTGAAACCTTCGCATTAAGCCCTGGGCCTTTAACAAACCCTTAACCCTAGCTGGAAGCCCTTAGCCCTAAACCCTACGCCCGGAACGCCAACCCTGAAATCCTAATCCCCGAACCCTTATCTTTCGAAAGCGGCCTGCCATGGGCAGTCCCTGCTGTATCTTTCACGCTTTGGATACTCGAGGACACAAACTTAGAGTTGAGCCCAAAGCCGCTCTGCCATCGCCAGCTCCGAATTTCCGCGACCATCACGACATCCGCAGCATCCAGCGGCAAATCGGTAGCAGGGCTTGCTGTGAGCCATGGACATGGACTCGGACTCTCCCCTGGTCTCCCTCGGTTCCCCAGCACACCGCCCAGGAAAGCTCGGCGGTTAGACCCAGGCACACCCGAGCTTCCTGAAGTCATTGCCACCTAGTGCACAAAGACGGTGGCATTCGAGCAAGATGGCCAAGCTGACGGGCAAGTCAAGCAGTTCTGGGTGCGCGCCAGTGAGTGCTAGCAGCTGTAGCCCAGTGTCGGCGAAGGCCTTCAACATGGTACCAGTGCTTGCAGGTGTTTTCTACCATCTGTCAGAGATCTTGATAATGGCCACAGGACGGATCGGTAGCCGCTTCGATCTCTCTTCAGGAGCATAAGTGATGAAGACTGTGAACGTGTGACAGACGTTCTCTCCCGATGCTCCTCGCCGGAAACCTGTGCTGCCGAACTGAGAACCCAGTTCGGCGCCCCGGCAGATCACAAAGCCCATCAGATAAGAAGCGACAGCCACTGTGGACTATGCCAAGCAGGGGCAAATTCACTAGCTCGGACTTTCCCTCGTGGTTCTTTCGCTTGAGCCTCCTGCCTTTGCCTACCCAGACGCTGCAGAGAAGAGGTGCGGCAAGCCATTCAAGAATGGCGAAGGCAAGAGATGTGAGAAAACAACAAGAGGCTCCCAAAGTGGAGCAGGCTGCTACAGCCGTCAAAGAGGCGAAGAAAGCCAAGACGAAGTGTGCCGCTGCTGCGAAGCAGTCCAGCAAATCGAGAAGTGCATTGAGGCAGCAGCTGTTGTTCTTCCCCAAGTTCGGACAAAAGTGATTGCCTGACAAGCTGTAGAAAGCACTCTCCGTGGACCAGATTTTTCCCTTCATGCCAAGCATTGGGTCCCCAAAACTACCTGAGCTCAAGCAGCCCTGGACACTAGAGTCTTTCACTATCATATTCTTTTCTATAATTATCAGCATTTAGTTTGCCCCAGTCTTATTTCAGTGCTGGGGTTGTCTGATTTGCATGCACTGTACAGCTTCTTGCTTGCATATCCGCACAGTCGTCTCCCGAGACCAAGACAGGCAGTCTCAGCGTGCCCAGTACTCTCCGCAAAGATCCTGTGCGATATGCTGTCCTGCCTGCCTGCAGCAGCTCCGAGGATGGAAAGGGAAAGAAGAAGAACAAGGCTCAGGCCGGATCCGGAATCACAGGTTTTTTGGTGCGTTTTTCAGGTCTGGAAAAAGGTTCGTAAGGGGTTCGGCAGGGGTTTGCAGGAGTTCACAGGGTTGTTTAGGTTTGGATCGGGTCGTAGTGGTGGGAGGCTAAGAGTACACAGTTCTGAGTAGTTGGCAATGATACACATTTTTGTATATCCTGACACTGCAACGTCCCCTTACGGGCCCCAAACCATAATATGGTAGCACTTGATAACAGCAACGTATAGTAACCATGTAGGTTCCTTCAAATGTAATGTAACACCAAAACCTTTCCTGATTACCATGCCGGCTTTTAGATTTTAGCTAGTCGGGTTCTATTTGGGGTTCGTAGGGCTTCTAGGGGTTAAGGGTTTGGGTTCTTCCACGACTTGTAGGGTTTTGCAAAAGTCCCAGGTCCGAATTGGAAGAAGGGTCGATCGATGGGGGTTAGGGTCAAGAAGGTTTGGGTTCAGGGTCGACAGGGAACTCCGAAATCCTGAAACCCGAAACCCATAAGCCCGAACCCAAAGCCTTGAACATCGTGAGGCCCCAACGGAACCGAAGTTGTTATGAGATACCTCAACCCCCGGCAGGTTTACAAACTTCAAGACGCCATCACGTCCGCGTTAACAGACAGACGTAAGGGAGTAGAGCCGATGCTGCATCTCCGTCAAAGTATTCAGGTAGCTATGTCAGCGTTTTCAGGGCGTGCCGGTGTTTAGGCCGGTGAATCTTGGGATTGGGGTGATTCCACTGGAAAGGCCGTGGCAACAGTATGTAGGGACTCGCCATTTGAACGACAATATCATCATGTGTATGTGTTTTTTTTCTGCTCTTGCTATTGGGCTTCCTTACTTTCACCCCAGTTTTGATGTACAGAGGAGCATTTCAGAGTTTGGAGGCTTGCTAGACACTACATCCGAAAACCAAAAAACTGTCTAGGGCACCCGAACCCCCTAGACAGCACACCTTGCAAACCAAAGCCGTGCAAGACACCTTAGGCTTCTCATGGGCAAACGCCCATCTCATCAGAGTAGACTGTACTATGCCCCCCCCAGCATATCCCGTTCCAATTCTTATTCCCCTACACAAGCATCGTAGAACCCTTGAAGGAAGGCCCCTTATCCTCAATCTCGCGAGGCGCAGAGCCCTCCAGCCAGTCTGCCGAGAGCCAACTCTCGCCTGTCCGACGCTTCTCGGAAGATGGGGGATCCCGAAACCCGAAGCTCTAACCGAGACCCTGAACCCTAGACCTTCAACGCTACATCCCTAAATCCCAACACCAAAATCTTCCCGAATCTCTGAACCCTGATCCATGAACCTGGACTCTGGAAATGTTGGGGGGTTCAAGGCTCCTTGGCCTTTGTGTTTGGCTTTGATCTAAAAGGTCCAAATAAGGCCTTCAGGATTTTGGGTGCAAGGCAGCGAAAAATTCGGGTTTAGAGGTTTGTTTGCTTGTCGGTTTAGGGTTCCGGGGTTAGCGGGTTTTTCCGGGCTCTCCCCGACACAGCCTTCAAACTTAAATGAGGTTTTTGGATCGCTCTGAAAGGGCCGGTTTCGGGGCTCCAAGTATGTACAGTTTCCTAAGCCCTAAGCTCTCGACCCTGAAGCCTCAAAACACCCTTCTAAAAGGTTTCAACGTCCCCTTGAATGTGCCGCAAACTGCCCCGGACCCGAAACCCTGAACCCCAAACCATCAGAGCGCTGAAGCAGAAGCACGAGCAACAACCCTTAGTACAGCCTTTTATTCAGAGTTTGTCGTAATTTGTATCGTCTCTTAAAGGGGTTTGTTGGGCGTTTTTTCAGGCATTCCTTCTCCAGGAGATGAGTTCCGCTAGTTTCGTCTTTGACGACGACGAGGAGGAGATCTCGTCGGAGTCGACTCTCGGAGATGTCAACTTGAGTAGGGGCTTCAGGGCTTATAGTGTCTAGAGTCTCGAATTTCTGGGCAAGGGTTGCTTGCGTTAAACCTGGGTTTTAGTCGAGGGTTCACGTGTCTTCAGATGTTGTCTTCAGTCTTTAGGGGTGTATAGGTCCTGCAGGTGTTCACCGGGCGTGCGCAAAGGTGCCTTACTGGATCTTGCAGGGGTTAGCTAAGTGCGGTAGGGTTCTCGACGGTTTCGGGATCGAGGATTTAGGGTTCAAAGGTTAGCCAGCCCTGGAATGCCTTTGTTAGGGTGGTTAGTTTAGAAAAGTCTCCAAGAGCCTCAGGTCAGCATTGAACCATGAAGCCTCAGGCAGGTGAGATTCCTGAAGAGTATCAAGGTTGCAGACTTGTGTAGAGATGGTCATGACGAGAGGGTTTGTTTATTGCAAAGACCCACCGTCGTGACTCGTGCCTTTAGCCGGTGGGGAGTTGAGATGTCATTTTTCTGCAAAACCTTAAAATTCGACTCCTGTAGGGTTTTCACAGGCCTTTAACAGAAAAGCCTGAACAAATAGTCTACTGTTCCGTAGGTTCCCCACTGTGAAGATAGTATAGTGCAGTCTCTTATAGTATAGTACAGTCTAGTATCTGTATAGGAAAGTATACTATTGTATAGTAAAGTAACGCCATTCGGATTATGAAGCACCTATATTAGGTGAATTAGGTGTGGGGCCTTTTGCGAGGCGGGGTGGTCGGGTGGCTTGTGGCTCAGGGGCTCAGGAGGAGCCCTTGTCTGGGATTAGGTTTGGGAGGAGCCCTAAACCTTCGAATATGAGTGAATGGGATTCCGAACTCTACGGACTTGAATCTCACAAGCCCGAAGAATTCCATCCGTCCGGTTCCGAGGCAGTTGAAGAGATCCTTCCGATGCTTCAGCTGTCGGTGGCGCTGCCTCACCTTTCTCTTTGGCCCTTGGGTTTGTTTCGCAGTTCAGGGTGCACTCTCTGGCTGGACAGAGGGCTTCGGGTTTAAGCCCAAGGCCCAGGAACCGTAAACTTGGAACGGGTCCAGGCCAGTTTAGGCTTTGAGCTTTAGGGTTTAGGCCGGAAGCCGCATAGGCCCTAGGCCCTCAAGGCTGCGCAGAGGGGACACAACGTTCATCGTAAGGCCTATGGTATACGGTTGGAGTTGGGGTTCAGGGTTCAAGATGCGATTCCGTAAGTAGTTCTCAATTTCTCTATGTTTGCGTTTAGGCGGTGGGGATCCGTGGTCTTTGGCTGCTCTGAACCGTCAGCGTCTTGGGGATTTGCAGATCCAGCTTCATGGGATTGCATGGTTTTTGCAGGTGTTTTGGCCTAGCAGTATTTCCTGAGGGCTAAGACCTACCGATGTTCAGAACTTCGCGTTGAAGTCTCAGACCCATGTCCTGACTCTGTGAAAGCTTTGTTCTCCAACTGGCATCCAAGTAAAGCACAGATCCGCATCCGATCCCGATCTCCATTTGCACAAGATCCTCCGGCTTAGATGTGAAGGTGTATGGTACTTGTAAGTCCTTCAACACCCAACACCCTACAGCACGTTTCGAACGCGAGAAGTTTTTTCCACCCTAAAGCCCCGACCCGCTGAGACTAGCAACATGAGAGCCAGGTTCCAGTGCAGCCTCTCCTGCATCAGCCGCACCGGCGCAATTTCTGATTCTGCTGAGGGTTTTTGCATGTAGGTTTAGCGATCCTGGGAAGCCGGGAAAGTCTCGAGTATAGGGCACTGGGTGCCATAGTATTATAGTAGAATGTACCTAAGGGAGGTTTGAGGCCCCGATATTGCAGTAGTGTGTTGAGATGTCCGGATGAGTATTGTAAGCGGTGCACGCGGCAACAGGAAGAAGAAAAAACAACCATGGCAAAATCACTTGCCCCACGGTATGCTAATGCGGCACCCCAAACCCCCTCGGAATACTAATACATCCTTCTAACTTCTATCAGCGGGTAGTCATTGAGGAGTCTAGCTTTGGTAGGTCTGCAGGCATGTCTGTATGTATGCATGAATGCATGCACGGATGCATCTCTGTCTGCTTGTCTGTCTATCTGTCTGTCGATAAATAGATAGGTGGAAAGGTTATAGATCGATAGACAGACATCGACAGACAGAAAAACAGCTAGATACATCGCAGGTAACATGATGTCGGTGTTGTCGTAATTTAAGCCCAGGCAGGCCCCTTCTGGGAATCCAGAAACCCTGCACCCTCATCCAAACCTGCATGCTGTCACTCCGCGGTGCCCACAAACCCTCATGTTAGTAAGGAGTTACAAAAGTTGTTTATAGGTTGTATACACAGACCAGAAAGGTTGAAAGGGGTTTTGAATGAAGGCACCTTATGATGTGATGGGGATTCTAACGTGAGGCCCTGAAACAAAGAGGTTTGTCAATCACAACTCTACATTATCCCAACAGGTCGGAATGCTCTTTGAAAAGGCTGCCGTATGCCCCCTGAAGCAAAGCAACACCGCAAAGAGACTTGACTCAAGCTCAGAGCCTTAAATTCTAAACCCTCAATCCCTCCACCCCAGAAGCCGCAACAAGAACACCGAATCCTACAGTCTCGAGGCTTTCAGATCTATGTTCTGGCCTTGGCCCTTGCTGTCGCGGGCGCCATCTACATGGGCCTCGAGGGGCCTGAGGCAGGACCTTGTTATGGCAGTCGGTATTGACATGTTCCTCCACGCCGCGGACACAGCAGCAGCATACCACCACCACCACCACCACCACCACCCACCACCACCACCACCACCACCACCACCACCGCCACCACTTCTAGTTGCCGACGAAGAAGGCGACGACTACTGCTACGACCGCTGCCACATGTACTGTGATTCCTGCTAACTTCGCTACGACTACTGCTAGGAGGATGACTCCGCTGACACACTTCCCTGAACCGAGTATTGCTAGTTCTAGGCTTTAACCCCACACCCCGAAGAATCTGCTTCTTTCTTGCTTAGACTATCTGAAACTGTAAACCTACAAGCTTTATTTAGTCCTGTGCATGATTGCCAAAGAGCTCCCAAGACCGCCATCTACCGACCCCCGAAATCCTAATCATCCAAACCTCAAACCTCAAGCCTCAGCAAACCCCGAAAGCACGGGACTCTACATGCTTAGCTTCTCAAGCCCTGAACCCCCCTCCAGCCTAAGCCCTTGACCTCCTCAGATGGGCGTTTCAGGAAATGATCGAACCTGATGTAGACCCCGAGATAATCGGCTCCTCCTAAGAAAAACCCTTGCATAAGGGAGTCATAAGGGGCTTCTTGATTTGAAGAGACTCCCAGATACAGCTGGGCGCCTTTGACCTCTGGACGCAGGCCTCGACCGGTATTTTCGCAGGTTTGGTTTCCGGGCTAAGGGTTTAAGGCTTGAGGGCTCAAGGCTTAGGGTTTTAGGGTCCAGTGCATCCAGGGCTTTAGGGCTTCGGGTGTCGCTCGGAATTTGTTCTTTCGAGATGTGCACTTGTACTAGGTTGGGATGAAGCCTGGTTTGGACATAGCACTGTGGCTTTTGTGGAGTTAGTCGGAGATCATCTGGTTTTTCTGTAGGGATCTTCGTTTGAGTCACCATAAGCCCATAAGTCCATCATCAAGAAATCATCGCTTTGGCTATATAGCCCGACTATGGTAGTTGCAATTGATGTTTGGGTTTGCCTTCCAGCCGGAAAGTCAACAACGGCCCCAGCCCCAAACCGAAGAAGCCTCCGCTCTATGGCCCTGATCCGCAAACCCCGACACCCTCTATTCTGAGCCCCTATATGGTGTAGTACAGTCCGTATGCATCTTCCATTATATATAGTCCATGTCTTGTCTTGGTACGAAAGGTGCAAAAACCTGGATCCCAAGACGCCCGCTACTTTGCCTTCGCGCGGCGATCGGCGCTGGCAGGGGCCTCTGGGTCGAGTACAATAGACTGGGCCAGACTAAACTGCACTATACTTAGCTGTGGGGCTGTGGGCAGCATTCCAGACTTGGACGAGGGATCCCATGAACCGCAAACATCCCTGAACCCTGAACCAGAGAGCAAACACTGAGGGGCTCCGTCACGCACTCCCTCTCGGACCAGCAAATGCGAGCGCCATTGGGCCCAGACTTTGGGAACGAGTGGATTTCTTGCAGGTGTGAAAGGGAGGTGGTGAGACTTCCGAGCTGCAGTTTAGACGTAAAGTGATCAAGAGCCCTGTTTTATGCCGTGTGTTGGCACTGGTTTCTTTGGTGTTTCGATGATTTGAATTGATGCTCCGGATCCCGTTATAAACGGCTTTTTGAGGTCAAAGAGCGCTCGTTGGGCTCCAGAGAAGCCCTATATATTTCGTCGACTTGATCAACGAACCCTGAGCCTTAAACACTCCGAGACCCCAAAGCTTCCGTAACGGCCAAGGCGGCCAGACAATGGCACAGCATCGAGCTGTTTTGGGAGTGCCTTGGCAAGAGATCAATGTGTAGGGTTTGGTTGGGATCGAGGCCTGTGGCTCTTGGTTTGAGGCTGAAGGATTCAATTTTTGGGTGTGTGTTTCGAGCAATGTTTGCTGTCACCCGATGATGTCGGCTTTATAGTCCCTGTGTAAGCATACGGTTATCCGAATTACGACATACCGCCGAAATGAATTGTCAAGGCACCTATTGGAGCCACTCAAGGCACAGCTTGAGCCCCCAAGCAGAGTTTCAGGGGTAGCGGTTGGGGTTTCTGGGGTTAGGTTTGGGGCGGTGTTCTGCATGAATGTTTTGGGCTTACCCAAGGTGTCCCTCAAACCCGACATGCTTTACCCTACACCCGAAGCCCTCACCTTTACACCTCAAGCCCGAATGCTGGACCCCATCACTTCAACCCACCTTTCAACACTCCAAGCTTGCAGCATAGGCCCTACACCCACACGACCCGCACAGCTAGACCCTGGCCCCCGCCCCCCCACCCGGCCCTTCCGAAATACTCGCAAATCCTGACACCAGAATGGGATCCTGGGCTGAGGATGGGCGCTTCGGAAGAGCAGAAGCTTCAGGCGCTGTCGCCGCGCTGAGTGTTAGAGGGTTCTCGGGGTTGGATAATTGTAAGCGCTTCGGGTCGCCCGCCTCGGCCCGGCTGCACACGCATGTGCCGAACTGGTTGGAGGTGTTCGTCTAAGGTAAGCATCCGGAGCCTGCATCGCTACCCCGTGAAGATTTGCCAAGTTGCCTTGCTGAAGAGAATTCTTGAGCCGAGATCTTGCAGGCGCCAAAATCCAGCAGTCAGAGTGTACACGCGATTGATTTTGCGCACGTCGTCTGCATAGAAGCGCCGTACTTTGTAACTTTCAGTATCTTTGGCCGAGAGTCAAACCCCTAACCCTAGAACCGGGATCAGACCGAAGCCTTCAGCGTCCTTGGTGGGTTCAGCATGCCGTTGTTTCTGCTTTGACTGATACAACCAACACCATAGCCCTAGGAATCGGAAAACGAGATCCCAATGGCAGTCAATCCCGCAGCTCGAAACCCTGAACGGGATGCACTCAATCCCAAAACCGGTGAAGTGCAAAGGCCCTCCTAAGATCTGCCTTAAACCTGGGTTCTTGCCTTTAAAATCGCAAAACAAACCTGAATATCCTCTTAAGCAACACAAAACCTTCACACACAAATTCGCCTCGGCCCCGGCCGAAGCGGTCAGAGGTTCCTTTTCGGATTCCCTCTTATTCCCCACCTCTTAACCCCCTCCCCACTCACCACCCGCCCCAACTAAAGGCAGTCCCCTTTCCCCCCCCCCCCCCCCCCCCCCCCCCCCCCCCTCCCCCTCCGCCTTTTTACAGCCTGAACCCCACAGCCCTTCAAGCCACACCCTTTACCTCAAGGGCCCTGAAACCCTATCAGCCAGAAGCCCTGGGCCCAAGAGCTCATGCCACAAGCCTCGGAGGACTTTCAGCCCGAAGTCATCAGTGACGCCTACATGTCCCGAGTCCATGCGGCCGAGGCCCGGCACGTGTGCTTACGATAGGGTTTGGGGTTCGGTGCTTATTTAGGGTTTAGGGCGGGTCTAGGCTTTGGGGTTTAAGGTTTTGGGCTTTAGGGTTTGGGGTTTTAGGGGTTGGGGGTTTAGGGCTGGTGGTTCGGGCATACTTCGGTCAGTGTCAGGCATCAGGTCTGTCTTGCGGCTGCTGTAGGTACCTGTTGTCAGAAGAGTGCGAGTGTGGCCTACTTCCGACCGCGGCACTCTCCCTGCCCAAAAATGACATGAGACTCAGCGACCCTGAATCAGACGCGCTCAAGATAACTGAGAGCAAAGGGTCTCTCTCCGACTGACACACCACACATGAAAGGCTGAAAGACAAAGCCCACAACCCTAAACCCGAAACCCTAATCCAAAGTAAGCCGTGAGTATCCCAAGCATTAGATTCCCAAAGAAGCCCGAACTTTGCATCAAAGTAAACATTCTAAACTGCAACATCCAAGAGAGCACAATTCTTTAGCTCCGGCACCCTAAACTCACGAAATGCCCGAACACGGGATCCGGGCATAGGTGACATGGCCGTCTTGAGCTAGGGGTTGCTGTATGACTTGAGCCGAAGATGTCCCTAAACCCGCACTCCTCAAGAAGTTTGATCCCGCATCGTACATCTTTAGGGTTGGGGGGTTGAGTGCCTTTGGGGTGTAAGGTGCTAGCGTTTTGCTGCGTTTTGTTTTTTAGGGTACGGTATTGGGTTTGGGCTTGAGGTGTCATCCCAGGGACTTGCTTTCCAAGAACGCGATGCAGGGGCCCTTTCCTGCAGTCGAGAAGACTGCTGCTCTGCCCAAGAAGCAAACATTCCCAAAACCCTCCGAAGCCTTAAAACCCCAAACCCCCATCAATGCATCAACACAACTGTGAAATCCTGAGTCCCCAGACCAAGCCCCTTCCAACAAAATTGCTAGACCCGACGACCCCTAAGCCCCAGTAAAGTCTTTGTAAACTTCGGATTGCGCAAAACACCAAAACACACAACTCACGGCTTTGGCCAGGCCCAGGTGCAAGCGCTGACCGGCTGGAGTTCCTTCTGCAACGCCACACCGGCAGAGGTGACCCGACTCAGGGTTTCGGTCCCGGTCACTATCTCTCCCATGACTGGTTTAGGATTCAGGGTTTAGGGTTTAGTGTGGGAGCAAAACCGGGTCTAATTGAAATTTGGAAGCTACTGTTCGGCAAACATATGCATGGCTACTGCTGTTTATCCCATCCGTCCCATACACAGGTACGGCACGTGTTCCTACATTTTTCGAAGTCGACAATGATTGAAGTTGTTTTCTGCAAACCCGTTTGTATATATCATGGCTATGCCGCAATCTTAAGTAAAGATGTAGCGATCAGGCTTTGGCCCCCATCTTCTCCCGTTGGGGCATGTCCATTTCCTTGTCCCTCTTCTTCTTATTCTGACCCTACTAAGCTCCGAGTAACTCCCGTCCCCAAGCCCTTTTGTTTCGGGTTTCGGGTGTTTTTGCGGTTCAGCTCCCGGCTAACCTGTATGTTCCGAATCGTCAGCCCTAGAACATCCTGTAGCAGTTCCCTTGCACCCTAAACCCCAACATCCTAAAACCCTAAAGCCCTAAACCTCGATACCCTGAGCCCTACAACCCACCTGGAAACCCGCACCAGAACTTCGTAGATGCGTCTGAAGCCTCAAGAACCGCTTACAGAATGCATTATCAAGACTCTGCTTGTGAGCGTCCTCCGAACAACGACAACAGTTTATCGCAAGCCTTTGAAGAGCCTTCATAAACACAAGGAAAAGGCAAGAAACCCGGATCCCTGAACCGTAAGCACCGTTAACTATCGCATGCTACTCTATAAGGCTCTCTGATACTCCAACAACTGCCAGAGACAACGGAGAAGCCCACGACACCCTATCACGTCGGATAAGCCCTACACCGACAAGGAACGACGGGACTGCGACGCCCCAAAACCCTACACCCTGAAACCCTGGACCCCATGGCTACAGAGGGCTGTCTTTGCCTTCCCTATGGGGATTTTCGGTAAGAAAACCTGTCTGCGAGCTGGAAAAGAGGCGCTTAAAAGAAAAAATCCAAACCCTAAACCCCAAACCCTTAACCCTAAGACCTAAGCCCTGAAGCCCTAAACCCTAAGATCTCAACCCCAAAGCCGCCTTAAGCCCTAAAGCCCGGAAGGTGCAGTTCCTGTGCCGGCCTGGGGACTCCCTGCCGGCCTTAGCCTTTGGGACCTGGGAGGCGGCTGCCCTGATTCTTTACTATTATATGCATATGCATTAGATGCATATGTATACATATATGTATATATGTATGAATATGTCTGTGTATGTGCATGTGTTTATACGTATATATCTATATAGTTTTTTACAATATATATGTGTATATATATATATATATATATATATATATTGTTTGCATATGCGTGTGTGTATGTAGTATGTATGTATGCATGTATGCCCAATATATCTATCTATCTATATATATATACACACATATATCTATACATACATATATATATATATATATATATATATCTATATATGCTCACGCCAACCTCGCACCTTCCCATGATCCAGCCGAGCCTGCATTTGTAAGCAGTGGATCACGGGGGTGGGCAACCTCAGATGCGAAAACATGGCCAGGCTCGAATTTCCCCAAAGTTTGTGAACTGGAAGTGCGATTCATTGCCAGGCTCGAATTTCCTCAAAATTCACTCCCCATAGATGCCGGGATTTCAGGAATTTTGGGGAAATTCGATCCCTGTCAGTGTTTTCGTATTTCAGGCTTCAGGAATTCTTGGGAAATTTGAGCCTGGCAGCGTTTTGGCAACTTCGGATGCGAAAGCATCGCCAGGCTCGAATATCACCAACATTCCTTGCCCCCGCACTTTCCAAAGATACCAGTATTTGATTATTATGGTTGTCATGATTAGCATTAGCAGTAGTGGTAGCAGTAGCGGTAGCAGTAGCAGTAGTAGTAGTAGTAGTAGTCGTCGTCGTCGTCGTCCGTCGTAGTAGTAGTCGTCGTCGCAGGAGTGGAATACATGTTGTTTCTGTTGCCTGTGGTTGTTGTTAATGTTGTATATTCATGATTAAATAAGTAAATGTATATACATACATATATATATATATATATGTATATATGTCTCTGTGTGTGTGGTTGCGCAGGTTTTTGTCTGTATCCAAATCATGACGTGGCTCTCTAGCTTTGTTCTCAATGTTGAGAGACATCGGATCTAGCCAGCAGATAAGCTGATAAGCTCCGCCATTTCATATTGCAGGATAAATGGCTGTTTCTGGTTGTGTTACACAAGTGAGCCTTCACGTGCTTCAGCTACCAACGGTACTAATGCTTCTTGAAATGGAACAAAATCATAACTGTAGTTAAGAACAGCTTTGCTCAACAGAAGAAATAGGAGAACCGCTGCACTCTTATAGAATGGAAACCTGCATGTGATTGTGGATACTCTAGAACGTCTCATGCAAACGCAAATGTCTGTTGAACCTGACATCATGGTTCGATATTGTCGAGTTCTTGTTTCTTCAGAAAGGTAAGACCTTGCTAACAGTTTAGAAGGTTGCCCGTTGCAGAGAAAACATGTTCTTGTATAGCTGACAAGCTCCGTTTCATATTGCAAGATAAATGACTGTTTCTTTTGTATTACTTACAGTGAGTTCCCTACTAGTACTCCTTTGCCTTGCTCATGTTAGGGTTCCATTATTAAAGCTGAATATCCGGAAGAAGGGTAACCTCGTTCTAAAGGGGGTACTGTGGAACCTAGCAAATGAGCTTCAATGCCGTCCTTAAAGCATTGTGACCATGAGAAATAGATGTGTTCCATCATAGCTCGAGGAGAGGAGAGGTTTGGAGCTGTTTCTTGTCGTGTTGAAGGATGGCAGGATCTTCATTATGTGTGCGAGTAGTACGGTGGAGCTCGATTAAGTTCTGAGCCGGGATCGTCTTTCATCTTAGTAAGAAAAACAGCAAACGTGTTTAGCATATGAACTTTTACTAGCAAAGGAACCACGAATGCTTTCCAGATAAATGTTAGTCTCAATTCCCACGAAGGCTAAAAGGGTAGCGAGGTGTGCTTCCACATTTCCTATGCTGCTAGCAAACGAAGTTTTGACTTGTTATTCGCGGTGTCGTGTCATAAAGCGTAAGAAGCGACACACCGCCGAATGTATTTGGAATTTGGTGGAGGGAGACCACTTCTTCCCCGAGACGTTCAGATTCAGTTTTGTGGTATTGGCAGACTGTCAGAGCTGGTTGACTTCCAGCCACTGTTTGTGATGAAACAAGGTTTGTAATCACAGAAATAGCACCAACTGAGCAAACACAAGCGAGTTTTTTGTCTTTCTTAACTGAGAACGGCTCAAGTGTTTCTTCCGACTAGCCCGGATGCAGAACCAGATTCTGGTTTGGGTTTTGGGTGGTTTACATATGCCAGAAAGAGCACAATAAGCAGAGGTCAGTATATGTGAGTGGAGAAACCCTGGCAAACACCGAAATTTGTTGTTAGTGCGTATTGTTGTGACGGTTTCGGCTTTAGAGGTACGGGGCTGCAGCGATCCGGGCCTTTCAAAGGAAGGGGGGCTTTCGATCGGAGCCTTAAATGGTCAACACCCTTTGCTGGCAGGGCTTCCTAATGCGGTTATAGCATACTATACCACCAGACCTTTTTTTTTTTGTTCAGGCTCCCCATGTTAAGGCATTCGGGAAGAGCACAGAGAAGGTCAAAGCTTAAAGCTCAGACCCCAAACCCCCAAGGCCTTCAGCCCCAGAAATAAAAGGAAAGCTCTAAACTCAACACCCTCAAGGGGTTTAGGGTTTAGGTTTTGGAGGTCTTGGGCTTAGTTTAGGGTGGTGAGTTTCGATTCTGGGATTCAATGTCCAGCGCTTTCAGAGGGTTCCGTGATGTTCGACGTTTCGAGCCTTTAGCAATGAGCCTTCACACTTATGCTTTGATGTGGAATAGATAATAAAGAGAAGCTTTTCAGAACTTCGGCCCTTCTACGAAAACGGAAGAAAGGTAAACGATGCATCCAGCAAGCTCGTGGCTAGGGCACCAACTTGGGTTTGGGACCCTTCTACATGTGGCTTCCCTTTAGTCCGAAACCTTCAACCCACAAACAGCCCACTCCTAAGACCCAAAGCGCCTAGCCCGAGACCACTCAAATGGCAGGCGCCCAACTTCAACGAGCAGATTCTTGGGATGAAATGGAAGGCCTTGGAGCTGGAGTCGTCCTTGTTGGGATACCTCAAGAGTGTCATAGTCAGTCTCGGTGTCAGGGGGCCTTACTAGCTACTTCCATCAACCTTGGATCGCGGCAAGGGAAAATCCCAACAAACCCTCATGATCGGACGTTGTAGCCCCCAGCATCTGGGCATGATCGGACGTTCCATGTCGTGCTGGCTCGATGGCCAGGCCGGCCAGAAGCAATCCGGCCCAGAAGCAAACCAGTCATCGGATCTGCACAGAGAGCCAGAGAGCCATGCGTCCGCTTCCTCTCCTGGCTGCATTCCTTGCGGCGCTGGTGAATGCCAACATTTTGACCTACGACACGCTCCCGGTGAATTCAGCGGGTACATGGTTTGGGTCAGGGCCTATGAGCTTATCTTGAGCAAGATTCTTGGTCGTTTGTTTCTCGTTGCTTCTCGTATGAGGCTTATTACCTACTACTATGGTCACTAATTGTGATCACCAACTGTTATCAGCTGTCATGTGTCCGACTCTGAAGCCAACTACAGGCCTATGCAGGCAAAGTACGCCTGCTCAGATCCGAGCACCGATGCCGGTTTGGAGGAGTGCCTCTCGGTTCTACTCGCACCCAACGGCTACACCACCGATTATTTGAAGCTGGTCTATGAAGCACCTGCCATAACGTGGAATGACGAAAATCGCGCACGGGCCTCAATTGACGTGCAGTACATATGCTGTCCCTTTTTTGCGTCTCCGTGCATACATTCTTAGCGCTCAGCACGTCCAAGCCCCTTTGCAGGGGTCGGGCCAAGTAACTCAATCGCGGGTTTGCCGATGGGCATCTACAGGGTCGCGCTGTGTGCTGGAATTCGGCCTGTGTCCCCGACATGTAGACCCCAGACCATTGCACTGTTCTAGCTGCTCTGTTCGGTGATGCGGCGCGCTGAGACCAAATTCGATCTGGTGCGCGTCAACGGCTCCACCGTCAAAGTCAAAGTCGGAGAGTCAGTTCCCAGAATCTTGTCTGGTTTCTTGATGGGGTGTGTTTCGATATCCTAAGAAGCCTCTATGCCAAGAGTAAGTATATAGTCCTGCGAACTGCTTGAACCCGAACTGAGTGATGGGCGGCATGGACGAGACCGTGGATGGTGTGGCAGGATCCGAATACAACGGCTTCCTGGTTGCCACGGACTTTGCGTATCCATGGGAACCGGCCAGAAGTTCACTCCAGATGATGCTGCCTGGCTGCTGCTACGTACCAGGAACCCCAAAGCTCTGTAAACGAAAGAACACTTGTGGCCTGTTCTGTCTATGATAGGAGTGTCTGACATCCCTTCTGAAGCCCTGAAGGTCCTGCAACGCTTAAACCCCGAGCATTCTAATAGCATCGGCCCAAGACCCAAAACGACGAAAATCTTGACACCTCAACCCCAAACACAACCTCAATCCCAAAGCCTTATACCCCATAAGCCTCTTGGTGGTCGGATCTGGACGCACCCCAGGCTGGCACAGCTGATCATCAGCAACGGCTTCTCAGCAAGGTGGGCATCCCCAGAGGATACAGGCCTACAACAACCCGCCTGCTCGTAAATAACAAGATTCTCGCTCCAAAAAGACGGTACTATACTGCACCGCACGACTTTGCTTCAATCGTCGAAGCTGCCATATTCGGGTGAAGGCTTGACGAGCTTGAAGGTTCTGGCGGTTTCAGTCGTTATGCAAGCCTTGTAAAATCAGCCGATACTGAGTCCTCTGAACAAGGTAGCCCTTGGTTTTATGTGCCCAGTTATATCGCAGCCTGGGGGGTTTTCGAGAGGGCATGCTGCGCAATTCTTGCAAAGCTCTGTACCTAAATCCCAAGACCACCACCAACCCCGCGTGGCTTTCCAAAAAGCACACGCGCCCTACTTGTAGGACTCGGGGATGGGTTTCGGCACAGTTAAGTCTCTGCTCGTGGTGGTAGTGGGGAATGCAGCGTGTTGTGATCTCTGCTGCCAGGTCTATGCCGCTGTTCACCTACACCAACGATGGTGCGACCGTCGGCCGTTCCCAGTAAATTTTCTAAAGCTCAGGACGCTAAGCCCCAAGATCCCCAAAACCAAACAGCCTAGACCTTCAGAGCCCTCCAACAGCAGCCTGGAGCTTTGGTAATGGTCGAAGTCTCCGGTTGTTTTCATCCCAGGATTGATGACGACGGATGCCTTGGGATGGTGAACAACACCCCCGGCTTTGATGCCACGACCCTTGCAGAGAAGTGCCCAGATGTGAAGAATCTTACCAGCGGGATGTACAAGCACCCCAGTCTTCAGTGTGCTTTTTTTGCTTTGGTGTAGATGACGGTAGAAGGCTACGCGCGAGTGTTTGAACCTCATTAGCAGAGTTCAGCACAGGTACACATTCATTGCTTACCAGGAGTCACATCTCGATTGCCCGAACTGCACTCTCACTTTCCGGAACAGGGTCGAGGTTGGCATTTTCTCCACGATCACCATCAACTCGGACAAGACTCTCGACACCATTGGTTCAACAGCAGTCTCGAAGATCCGTTTCGAGGATAGCTCGAACTCCAGCATGTACCTCGAAATCGAGCTGCCTACCGTGGTGACGACCGGCCGCAAGGATTCCCAGAAGTCAGATGCAAACGGTGCCACTGTGACGGTGACTGGGGCCTTGTTGAGCAATGTACATGAAGTTGCCATAGCATGGACAGCAGATTATTTACTGCAGATCTCCAGTTCTGGGAACTCAGGATGACATGAGCTTCCTGACAAGAGCCCTGCAAATCCCATCGGAAGATCACCTTGAAATCAACAATTAGAGCCTCAATGATTTCTATTCAGCACCTGAAACATCCAGATCACACAGATCTTGTAGGTTTTAAGTTTAAACAAGGGCTCGAACCTCTGACGCCCGAAGCCCTTCACCGAGAAAGCGCCCTAAAACCGGTCCTGGAGCGCTAGTGCTGGTAGAACCATCATGGGGCCCGACGTTAGGAGTTCTGATCTTCGGCACCTAGGCTCTTAGAAGGGCTGAGGGGTTGTTGAGGGCTTGGGTCCAGGGTTCAGAAACCCGCTCATCTTCGTCGACTGGGTTCCAGAAAGGGTATGGGCGGTTTAGGGCTTAGGGCTGTTTGGGAATACTTATATGCACCTTTTTGGGAGCAGAATTGGCGAAGATCAGAAACCCTGAACCGCTTAAACCCTAAAAGTCGAAGGGCCCTAAGTCCTTCTTCGAAAATGTTCAAGTCTTAAAGTTTGGACTCCCTAAAGCTGAGGTGACGAAGATCAGCGACACGTCCTTCTACTTGGATTTTGCGATGGCCGCGCCGGGACCAGACAACATCGCATTCTACGACCCTGCAGCTGGGTCTGTTGTTTTATTTTGCTTTTTCTGGACTCTTGCTCCGGGATCTTATGGGGTTTCATAAGGGTTCTGTAGGGTTTGTAGGTCTTTTGGGGTTTTGTGGGTTTGTCGGACTAGTTACCATAAGTGTATAGATGCACAGAATGCACAGTCAACCCTGTGCTTTCCTTTTTTTTGGAACTTTTGTGCTCTGCAAGAACTCAGGCTGTCACGGGGCAGGGGCCCCCACCCTCTGATACAAGCGTCGGATCTGGGTTCGCCTCCAGTCCTTGCCTGTGGGTCCTTTTGTCATCCCTTCTGTGGAAGGTCATGTAAATTTGCAATTCGTCCGCGGTGCCCTGCCCAGGCTTTGGTCCACAGCTGTTGGTAGGTAGATTGATGTAGACGAAGAGAGCACCAGCCTGTGTAGTTGCACGTTGCACAACGATTCTCAACGAGTAGTTCCTTTCCACGTTCGTGGACGCACTCGGGGTGCTGGGGTTGTGTTTTTCGTCAATCCCGTTTGACACCTTTGATGTACTTGTTGGAATTGGAACATGCAAGCGTGCCAACAAAAAGAGATTATCTTTCGCATCAGTGCAGGACGCAGTGTTCAGGGTGCTCGTCTTTGTAGGCCTGTTTACGGAAATCGCGAGGACACACCAGGCCGACCATAAAACCTTAATCTAGAGGTGACGGCTCTGTATCCTTGAGCGCTGCAAGGTAGCATTAGGGTTTGGGCTAACGGTATCAGTCGGCGTTTTCAAAACACAGATCCAATTTTTTGGTAATCTGTAGGATGGACCATGCTTTATATCCAAATGTGGATGTCGTCAATGAATCCGTATTGGTATGGAGTTTCTTATTCAAGTCGTCGGGTTTCAGGCCTTGGCTTCTCAGAAGACGTCAGATCGGGCTCAAGTATCAAAACTGTGGGTTCAGGTGCTTGGCCCGGGGTTTTGGCGGGCTCAGCTTAGGGCTAAAGGGTTTTAGCTTCAATGGCTCAGACCATTACCTTTTGCACCTTGAACCTTCTGTATTAACATTAGTTCTAAGCCAGGTTTGCATGGTATGTGCCGATGTGCCGTCTGCAAGGACCCCCCAGGCCCCCAATCATAAGACATAGTTTAACGCCTCTGCACCTTTAAACCCCCAGCCGCACTGCAGGACCCTAGTGTGGACGACAGTCCCCACTGCACCCTTCATAAAGCCATACGATGGGTCCTACTATGCACGCATTACACAGCGGATACAGACGCTATGATCAAGCAGGTCAAACCCTAAACCCCAAACCTTGAAACCCTCAACCCCAATCGCTGGGTGTGCGGGAGGTTTGGTTCAACGGCCAGGGTCGGGGCACGCAGATCCCGGCAACTGGGCAAGACTAATATCTGCACATCTTTAACTCCTTAGAAGAAGGACCATGCCTCTTCAAGACTACTGGGCTATATTGGTACGAACTTGGGTTTGGGACGAATTGATGGGCGTGCTTAAGAGACGAGAGCCGAGCATGCATCGGGTTCCATCACATCGAGAAGTGTCCCAGGCGACTGGAACTCTTGACTTATGGAGGATAGCGGGCAATAATCCTGCCCATGACAGTGCCCCAACATCAAGCGCAATGCTTTTCCTGAATGCGCAGCTTCTACATACAGATGCCTCGTGGATCTGAGCAATGCCATTGATCGAATCAAGAGACTTTCAACTAATTTCTAGCGTGTGGTTTGGGATGCGCATTCTGCTGGACAACCGGGAGGAGCATAGTTTACTCTTGATGAACCTACATCGAAATGGATGTGGACGTGTCACACGACACCGTCGGACATGTTCACTTGCAAGTGTTTGCCTAAAGCCATCCAAACCCTGGGTTGGGGGGGATCCCGAAAACTCCTCAAGCGCAACTCCGCAACTCTCAGGTAGAGACACTCCTCACCTTCACTCGGGAGACCCTTGGCGCCAGTTGAGAATAAAGCTACGCTCGTGGAGTCTGCAGAATTTCGGGTTTAGGGCTGAGCCCGAAGCCCAAAAGTCGCACAGCCCCAAACTCGAAAGAGCCCAAGAGCGCGTAGTACTAAAGCCCTAAACCAATAATCTAAAGCCCTGAAGGCTTGAACCCTGAAGCCTTAACTGCAACAAGAAATGAAAGCCCAAATTCGACGGCCAGTCGGTACAGCCTGAAAATTTCGCAGTCGTAACCCTGGAGCCCCAAGCCCTCACTTGCTAAATGCATGGGTCGGGGGTGGGGGCGACAAGGGATTGGGCAACTACTGGGGCTGTAGGGCTTCAGGGGATGGGGGACTTTGACAAATTTGGGTACCCGGGTACCCTATTCTGGAGTCCTTGTTAAAAGGATACTTTCGGGTCCCTTACTTTGATTCCTACGTCCCGAAAGCCAAACGTTAAGCGCCAAATAGCCACCGAATCCCCTTACCCCCAAAAAAGCTGAACCCCAAAGCTCCACAGCCGAAGCACACCGTAGACATCAAATCCATAACCCGCGATAACTGCAGTGCATTTCATCTTCCACACCCTGAAGCCCTAGACCCCATAGCCTAACTCAAAGCCCTACTTAGGGTGGAGCCGAGTCTGCTAGAGCGGTGGCTATCACAAGGTGGGAAGATGGACTTCTCTAATGCAGCAGGATTTTCGGGTTGGTTCATTGAGGGTTTAGGGGTTTAGAGGTTATCTGTGGATCATGTATCTGAAAAAAGCTTCAAGCCACTTTCTTTCATGATGTGGCGCAGTGTGTGCGGCGTTGAACGACTCGTTCCTTCTGGTTCAGCGTCGCCGTTGATATTCATGGTTTTGTCTCTCCTGAGGCGCAACTCTCAGTCCCATGCCCTATAGAGAGTGACTAACCCCTACACTCCAAATCGACAAGCCTAAACCCTAACCCTCACCCCTCAACCCCAAACTCTGAAACTCTTCGTCTGGTCTGTGGCTCTTTCGGATGCGGGGCTCCCCGTAGCAGGCGTGAAACCACCCTTTCTCTTCTACACCATGCTCCGTCCGGTTCATAATACCCTGCTTCCGAGCATATTCCATTTCGGGTTTAGGATTTATGCTGCAGTAAAACTACTGTAGTAAAACCCCCTGGTCCAAAAAGCACCTTGTTGTAAATATTGAGGACCCTGGACTACTGTAGTGAATGCCTCACAGGCTTCCAGATGAGAAGGTTTTAAGTGCTAAGGTTGAGGCTAAGGAAAGACCCAAGTATTCCAATGAGCGAGCAGTAGTATTAATTCGCAAATGTGATTTTGCGCCACCCGCAACCCCAGCGGGAATTATGCAGGGCCTCGGTGTTGATTACTTCTGCCCCCTCGCCCCTTGTGTCCTAGCTGGGTCCTACACCGAAAGATCCGATCTCCGGATTCTTTGCCCCAGGCGCTGCCGACAGCGCAGATCAGGAAGATGCGCCGCCAGCCTCAGAGGGCCGCAAGGGGTAGGCCTCGGGGGGCTTTGTGGCAGACTTGCGGTCGAGGGTTCTGGTCGTGACTTATTCGGGCTTCGCGGTTCAGTTTGCAGGTTTTCAGGGTTATGTCGCCAGATGTCAACCACAGGATTGGTTGGCAGTGTAGTATCTAGCTTGGGGCCCAGGTGATTGTGAATTTCGCGTGATGTCTCCAATCGTTAATCTTCATAGGTCACAGCCTTTTCTTCATGAGCAGAAACCTTGCGTTAAAGGCTTCTTTGGCGGTCCCTCATTGGAGCAACCGGAACATCGACTGAAACCCGACGGTGCGATAAAAGTCACTAGCCATGCCAACTCCTTCCATAGAGCCTAGACGTCAAACCCGCAGCGTGATTCCCCAGAACTTCAGCTGCACGAGGCGCTAAGCCTGAATTCACCCGAACCGTAAACCCGACACCCTGCACGCAAAACCTTAAATCGGAAACCCGCAGCCCTAAGCTGAAACCTAAATCCTTGAGCCCTAAGCCCCCAGTCTCTAAAGCTTCAAGCATTTGCCCTTTCTGCTGTAAGCCCAAACCAGCCCAAGCCTTCGCTTCGCCCACAAAAACCCGAAGCCATCATCAGCTTTGGCTCTTAGGAGGCGGCTCTTGAGATCTACGTTCCTATTCTACTTCCCTTCGGAGGCATCCTCCCTTCTTGGGTTGTTTAGGGTTTAGGGGTGGGTGCGTTGGGGAGGGTTGGAATTTTTGCTTTGGGGTTTGGGTTTGAAGAAGTAAGGGTGCGATTGAGATGTTGAGCGTCGAGCTGTTGAGATCTCCACGTTGTCTGGTTGACGTTTGCCTTGCCTCAAACATATGGGTAGCTCTTTACATGAAGTTCCTGTTTCAGGAACTCAGCGGCACTCCTATGAAAAGGACACTAACTTAGAGAACTACTTTTCAGACTTGAAAACTCTTGCTTCGTGGCTGGTCAGGCACCGCAGCAGCTTCAGTGCATCAGCCGAGGTCCTAAAGCCAAACGGCAAGCCCTAACTCACCAAAAAACCCCGAGATCTTTTCCACTCCAAGCCCCAGGCCTCGATATGAAGGCAGAAAGCCGCCGCAATTCAGGGTTCTACAAATTTCCACCCCGGGAATCAGCTTCTTAGGGTTTCGGCTTTAGTCTACTTCTTCGCGGATGCTCTGGTGCCTTACAGTGTTTGCTGTTGGGTGTTGCCATGCCCTTGTTCTTGTGAATCTGACCCGTGTATACCATGCATCTCCCCGTCTTAGCTCCAGCTCAAACCCCAAATCTAAAGGGCATCAACAGCCAAAATTCCAGACCCCAAGCCCTAAACCCTACACCCGAAACCCCGCAGCCTAAACGAGGAGCTTCCAAGCTTTCTGCGCTTCGTGGACGACGAGCTGCGGCCATTCCTGGTTCAGCTTCAGGATCCCACGCAATACTCGGGAACGGGAACGCGTATCATTATTGTTTTTTTTGGGGGGGGGAGAGGTTCTTATAAATGTTGCTTATGATAAGGAACCCAAGGGATTACAGAAACCGCAAAGGCTATCATAGAATAGGGTTTTTCGGGGTAGATAGTATATAGTATACATATCAGAAGGAGCCTTGAGGAGTAGCGTTTCCACCTTGCCTTTGGTTCAAGGTATCTTGCAGGGGTTTGTGGACGTTTCTCCGCGACCTCTGGGGCTTTATTGGACTCTATGGGCGCCTTAAGGGTATGGGTACAGGGTTCTTGTGTTGGAGCATGAAGGTTCATCAAGCTTCTTAAGGCTATGGGATGCAAGGGGTTTGTATTTCACAGTTGCAGGTTTTCGTGTGATGCTCTCGTGGAGCTGGGACTAAGCTTGGCTTGAATGGAGCTCGTAGTGGAGAAGTTAGTATGAACCGCGGTCTCTTAGTCGAGCAGGTGGGGAAGAGGAGCAGTCGTAGTGGTAGCACCAGCAGCAGTCGTCGTCGTGGAAGCTGGAGCAACAGCAGGAGGAGAGGAGCAGGCTTTGGAGTTTGAACGACTGTCACAGCTAGGCCATAGAGGCTGCGCATCCCCGTGGCCCTGACAGTGCTTCCATGGTGCCGTCATGTCGGTCAGTACTTTTCAGAATCCGACGATGCATTCACTCAAGCTCTCTCCCTTTTGCTCCTCTGGGTGTTGCTGAAGTTTCAAGTAAAGGGAGTGAGCAAGCAGGTAGTGATCAGTCGGATTCCCGTGAACCTTAACCTCGAAGCCCCAGGCCCTAGGCTCTAACCCCTAAACCCTCATCCATAAACGCGCCGCTTCCTTTCGGAGAGGACGCGTCCGAGGAAGCATCCGGCGGTCTCAGAGGTTTCTTCCGGATCGACGGCAGGCGCCCTTAATTTGGGTTCAGGGTTTCGGGGTCTTGGATTTAGTGGTGTAGGGTTTAGAGATTTAGGGTTTAAGGGTTTAGGGTTGCCAGGGTTTTGGTTCTGGCGCGTGTTGGTAATTCTAGCTTACTCTACAATGTACACCACTAGCTGCAGGTCTTTATACAGGTTTGATAAGCGTTCTGCAACCTGTTTTTGGGATGATTTTGGTGTGTAGCAGGTCCTATCAAGTCAATTGCTGGAAATCCTGAAAGTTCAATTGCATGCCGAAGCTTGCAGGAGGGAGGCACGCAGCATTGCTCGAGCTCTGTTATTGCGTGCGTAGTACAGCTTCCAGGGCTGATATCACCACCAACGTTCTGCATTAACCGAAGTTTGGATAATCACTTCTATGATTCCTGGGATCAACAACGCACTTGTAGTGATCCGCTGCACTGCGCCGTTTCAAGTTAGGGGTCCATTGATGCTCTATGCAGGCATGGCTCATATAGCTATTGTACGACGAAATTCATGTGGAGTGGGTTTTGTGCTGGACGGTTATTTGTGCGGTATGGTGTGTGGCAAGAAACTACTCACATGCCCTAAAACCAAAACCTTTGACTCAAGAAACTGTTTTGGGTTTTGTGTGTCTGTGTGTGTGTGTGTGTGCGCAGACGTTTTTTGCCCTTCCTGGTTGTGGCATTTATTTGAGACTGAGGCCGGCCCCGTTTAGTCCCGAACCTCCAATGGCCCTGACGGGGCTCAGGTTTTCGCAGGGGTGTTCAGGGCATTCTGGGGCGTTTGAATTAGGAGATGGGAGGCGCGTTCGCGCGGGCATGGATCTCGCGCGGCAAGAGTGAAGATGCCAGGATGTATCGCAACTCTTAAAGTTGACCTCGGATAAACTCAGGCCCTTCAAGAAAGGGGTGCTTCCTTAAGAATCAGGGTCCACATTATTTGGGATGTTTTGCATGTGCTGCCATAATTGCTCGAGATGTCTTCACAAGCCTTCTTCATAGGATAGCCCTTCTGCGACTTCTTTGGCGCAGTATCGTTGCCTGATCATGTTCAAGTCTTGCCTGCTGGTGATGATCTTCACCTTCTTGCGCACGCCGTCGGCCGTGCGACAACAGGTCCATGCGGCGGCCACGGCCAGAGTCCCCTCGGATCGCTACCTGGATGAACAAAACAGCCGCTATGACCCGGACTACGCAACAGAAAACCCAGATCACATCCAGAATATCATTGACAAGTGTGGTGGCGAGACAAGGACAACATGCATTCGCAAAACGCTTGAGAAGTACACTCCCTACTTCACCAAATGGGATGTCACGTACACCACGAACCTGTTGCAATACAATCGGTATTACCCAGTCTTCATGGAGCGCTCGACGCGGCTCATGTTTCATTTCGGCTTCCTGCACCAATCGACCCTCTTCATCAGCAGCATGTAGAAGGGCCGCAAAAGGGCTGCAGGGCGACAAGGAGGGAACAAAAGAGCTGCAGGTTTGGGCTTCTTCCACGCACGCCCTCTCTGGCCCAATGTTCCCCTTTGTGACCTCTCTGCCACGATTATCTTGATGTAGTCTCCTGGGCTCTTCGAGCCGGAGGGTTGCCACCTGTGCAGAATTTACAAAAATTCCAGGAAGTCCTTGCCCTGCTACCCTTGCATACCTACGGTCGGCCGGCACTCTCCCAGCAGTCTGGACTCTCTTCCTGAAGTGCTGGTCCCTTCCCGCTTCTGCCTGCGTGTCGCCAGCAAAATCATGGTTCGTTTAGCACTGATTCTCTGCAGTCTTTCCAAAGCCCCACCCCTGCCGTTCCAAACTCCAAACCACGGTCCGAGACTAAGCCGTGCACCATCGTGCACCCTCAAGCGACAAGCCCTGCAAAATCGTGGGTCTAGAGGACTCGCAGAAACCCCTAAAACCACGGCTAGGATCTGATTCTGACGAGGGCCTCGCGGAGAAATTGCAGCGTTTCGGCACGCATAAACTGGAGCCTGAGCCTTCAACCCAAAGTGCTGAACCCTGAATCCTATATCCTAGGCCCTGAACTTCGTACCCAAAGGACGCAAGCAAGGCCACCTCACAAAGACAACCCGACATACCATCCATTCTCACGCCCGGCGCCAGGGACCTGCGAGACCTTCCTCGCTACTTCCGACACGAGGATTTCCGGGTTTCGGGTTTTGGTGTTTCTGTTTCAGGGTTTTAGGGGTTGACGGCCCCTGGACTGGATTTGGGAGTTGGGGGTTTCGGGTTTCGGGTTTATGGCTTCGGGCTTTGGAGTTTCGAGTCTAATGGTTGACGATCACAGGTATATGATTCCCGGATTTGGACGATAAGCTGTAGGGCTGGCTCCGCGGACACGAACCTGGAGAGTAGGGTCTCAGGTGAAGGTGGGGTTTAAACTCTGACCCCTGGACCGTCGGGGTTCAGGGCCCGTAGGGTGTCAGGGAGTGGATTCACAGTTCAGGGCTCAAGTAAGATTATGGGCTTCGGCGGCAACCAGAGTTTAGTGAGTACAGTTCACGGTTGAGAGCCGAAGTAACTGGATTTGGCTAGAGAAATGGATGCGTTGCTGATAAGTAACAGTATTGCGCAGGGGTACCTAGAAGATAGCCCTAAACCCTGTTAATGAAGACATGAGCTTGGGGTTGGGGATAATCATACATCAATGCTGCAGCGTCACTCAAAGACTGTGGCAAGCCTGTGCAGTGCACAAAGCTGAAGCCGCGAGCCGTACAGCACATGATCCAAGCAATATGAGCCCAATCACCCTAATCCTTAGGCTTGAAGTAACCAACCCTTACAATTTAACCTTAGATCCTTGAGTCTGCACCCTCCGTGAACTTCTTACGCTCGAGTCGTAAATTCTTCACGCTACAACCTACATACTACTCTTGATGGACAGATTCATTTCTGAGATGCAGGGCTTCAAGCGATCAAAACTGTGCGAACTACACTGGCTCTTTCGGTCCGGGTAGTTTGTTATGAGCAGAAATCTGCACCGAATCGAAACCGAAAGTTGGAATGCTGCGCGAGGTCTTTGCTGATGTGCGACAAGATATGGTTAACACCCAACACAATCGAAGTCCTAGATCCCCGATGATGCTAAATTGTTTGCTTTAGCTTGTCAGGGTTGACTAAGGTTGTGGCAGTGAAGGTTCAGGGTTCAGGTGTTCGGCCTTTTGTGACTTTAGTGGGCAAGGTGAAGAAACTGACACGGCTAGTGCTAAAAGCCCTAGTGTGAATGCACCCTCTGTTGTACATGTACAGGAAGCCATGGCCATGACATGCATGTGTTAATTGTATATATTTCCCGCTGCCGTTAGGGCCCTTGAGTCATATTCAGATAGCTTCGCAGTCGGCGAAAAGATCCACCAGTTTTCTCAAACTGGCAGCGGAGCCAGGTACCTCCGGGACCTGTATCTGCGCGGATCGCAGTAGCCTGTAGCCTGTGCTCAATACCTACCATTGCATACCTCCCTCTCAATTCTTTCCCTTCGAACTTTCGCCAAGCATGTCCGTGGCCGGTCTTCGGTACAGTCGCTCCACCTACTCGAGTACTCCCCTTGAGACTCGTAGCGGGAGCTACATATATGATGGCACCCCCAGTACGTTCCACGACTGGGAGTTTAGGACCTCTATGAGGCTTAAACTGTACGAAGATGCCATCAGGAGCAAATCTAAGAAGACCGTGGAGCCAGAAGAAGAAGGCAGTGACGATGAGAGCCGCGTCGTGGAGCAGAGTCCGACTGCGGGAGCCACTGCCCCTGTACCTCCCGAGGACAGGCCCGACATAGATGCAGCCGAGGCAGCTGCAGCAGCCTCTGATGGTGGATCTCGCAGGAGACCATCTGCACCGAAGTCACCTGACTCGGTCACAGAACTGCCGGTTGCCGACGAAATGTCATCCTATGCGGTTAAAGCACGAACCGAAATGGTGCATAAAGTGCTGGAAGGACTTCGGGACGAAGCCTTCGAACTCGCCCGGGATATCGGTATCGAATCCCTGACTGCCCCTGGTGGCCTCCGGGATTTCATCACCAAGTTGAGGAATGTCGTCTTCCCCCGTGCGACCGAAGAAGCTCGAGAGCTCTTCCGTGCGGGCCAAAAGCAAGGTGTCCTCGCACGCCAAGGTGGCGAGTCGATGCTGTCGTACGTCAGTCGACGACGACGCTGGTGGAAACTGCTCAAAACTCTCGACGCCAGCATCGAGCTTTCCGAGCCGATGCGCGTAGAATTGCTATTGGAGCTTTCCGGTTTGACTCGGCAAGAGTGCCTTGTCATTAAGGCATGCACCACTAGCAACCGGAGCTTTGAAGCAGTTGCTGCTACCCTAGTGGAGCACTACAGCGGCGTTCACCTAAAGGAAGGTCGTTCCTTAGGTGGCGGTACCTTTCAGGACCGCCGACCGCATCACCATCCTGGTGCCCGCCGCGGGAACCCTAAGGGCTACGGTAAGAATAGGTCTAAGGGTTTTAACCGTCGCGCCTACGTCGCTGAAGACGAGACGCAGTACTACGACGACGCGCCGCCGGACGACGGCGACGATGCCGAAGAGTACGACGACACCTCGTACCCCGCCTTTGGGGACGAGCCTGAGTACGATCCTCACTCCTACCCCGCCGGGGAGGAGGAAGAGGACCCGGGCTACGAGGAATTCGAGCTCGAGGAAGAAGAGGCAACTGCCCTTAACTGCCTCGAGGAGCTTGATCCCGAGGATGCAGACAGCGGCCATGTGATCCAATTGCAGCTTGCCGCGAACGCCGCATTCGGAAAAGCGAAGGGGCGTAAGGGCAAGGGCCGCAAAGGAAAAGGGAAAGGTAAGGTAGTGCGATCACACCTTACGCTCGACGAACGTCGCGAGAAAATGAAAAACCTGAAGGCACGGTCGAAATGCCTCAGGTGTGGAGCTATTGGTCACTGGGCAGGTGACCCCGAGTGCAAATTCCCTACCTCTAAAGGAGGGAAAGGGAAACCCCGGGCCCACATAGCAATTGTGGAGCCGCGACAGGACCCCGACGGGGGCCTGTACGTTCCCTCAGGGAACGATATGGACCCTAGTGGCCATATGGTGCGGGATCTAGGCGAACCCAGATCCAAGGCTGCCCCCTCACAACCATCTAGCTCAATGCAGATGGAGGGTGCCGACCGAAGATTTAATCTCGGTCAACACAAGGGCCAGACTTACGAGGAGGTATCCCGTAAGACTGAGTTCGTGCGCTGGGCCCTCGTCCAGCCGAGCCCTGCCGCGCACCTTAAGGATTTCCTCACCTGGTTTAATAGATATTATGTCATTCAGCAGGGTGTAGGAGGTCAATACTATCGCGAAACTCGTGCCTCGATAGGTATCCCTGAGGGAACCTATAACCCTCGCCCGAGGGGAAAGGGCGCGAAGAAAAAGACTCCACCGAATCCGCCCTTGGCGGAGAAGTGTAGCTCGTGCACGGAATTCTCCTACCAAGGGAGTTCCGCGAATTACGTCCGCAAGACCTGCAGGGACTGCGGCCATGTATCCCAAGAAAAACGGGAACATGTATATACCGTAGACCCCTCTGTATGCTCACACGAAGCAACAGACCATCGGGGTAGTTCGAGGATCACGTCCCGAACCTTCTGTAGAATGTGTGGCACTATCGTTGATGAAGTGCCGCAGGAGTTTCACCGAGAACGGAAAGCCGTCTCGGAACGCATCTTGGAAGCGACGGACCTCGCGCTTCCCCTGGTTCAAGCGGTTACCGCTGACGACGCGACCGCTGACCTCGACCCTGAGGCAGTGCTGCAGATCATGGGTTTGTACCAAGATCGCATCAACCAGGCCATTGCGTTGGAGGAACGGATTCACCCAACAGGGCTTCACTTGTGGCTTAAGGAAGCAATCACCATGATAGTCGGGTCTAGTCCCATAAGTCTCTCCTGGGAGTTCGCCCCGACAGCAATGGTGGCCCGAGGGCGCAGCCCCGGGCGCAACAAAGGAAAGGGAAAGGCTAAGCAGCCTGTTCCAGCCGTTCCTGCTTCAGAGCCAGATCCAGCTCCAGAGCCTGAGCCAGCCTCGAATACTCCGGAGCTGTACAACATCTCGGATCCCCTGGGGACCGATTCCGTCGTGCACAGCCAGGACCCGGATCTCGATCGCGATTATCGAGAAGCTATTCTAATAGAAAGCTTCAGGGCCGATGACGATCTGTACGACCCGTTCCCGGGTGGTTCGTCAGACGACGGATCGCCAGGATCCTACAATGTTGCTGAGCTGGACGATTATATCGCCAGGCAAGCTCAAGAGGATCTTGACGCAGCCTTTGAGCAGGCGCGCCAGCAGATTCAGAATGATGCCGAATCCGACAGTGTGACGCCTCCTGCCTCAGCGTCGGCGGCTCAGAACCGTCTGCAAGTGCGACACGTTCCCGGAAGGGAGATCATGCAGCTGGACTTCCAAGCACGCCAGC